GCGGTGCCATTTCGGATCGGAATCGGCGTGGATCGCGGCGACGGGTACGGCGGATCCGGAAGGAAGAGCGACGGTTACGGTGCCTGTGGAGGAAGACTTCGCCGTCGCGGAGAGTAGCGGAGCCGTGGAAACGGCGGAGACCATAGACGGAGAATTCAGATCTTCGTATTCGGGATCGTCGTCGTCTGCCTCGTTTGGCTCTGGCATGACAACATCTTCGTTCTCACGCAAATCCTCGTCGGAGTCTGTCTCTCCTCCTCCACCTCCCACTTCTACTCCGCCACCGGCGCTGCCGTCTTCCTCCAGCTCCGGCGATTCGACGGAGAAAACAGCGTCACGCTCATCCGATGTCATCACCACGAAAAACTCAAAACGCAGCTAGAGAAACCAAAATTGGAATTAGAATCGTATTAGCTCCGATCGAATCAGGATAAAGAGAAGAACCAGATCCAGATGGAGATTGGGGGAAAGAGGAATTGGGTTCACGAGGATTGATACGCTTTGTGTTTCTCGGTGGTAGGGCATGAGAATCTTCGACCCAGCCAGGGCTAGTTTCGGTATTCACGAAACATAATAATGACTAGGCATTGCAGGCAAGTGGTCCAGACTCGTACCCGTGCTTGGTTGTTGTGGTTTGGTCTGAAAAGTCAACACTCAACCGCAACCGCAGCTCACAGAAAACCCGTTCCTCAAACGCGATTCTTTGTTTGGGCGTTGACTAAAAGAACGTCTCGAGGGACCGAAGGCGTGTGTGTATGCAAAATAAATACTTTACTTTTTTGTTCGAGACGAATGTGTAGACGTGTAAACTTGTTTTTACTCAGAAAGTTATAAAAAGATAATTCGACAGAGAATAAAAGTATTTACCAAGTTCAATTCCAAATGGAGATAAAAGATACAAAGCAAGTCAACAAGAACCGAAATTGAGTTTTTCATTTTTACCTTCTCTTTTTAGAAATGAACAATTTGAAACAGAGCTTTTATTTGGTTAAAGCAAGTGTATATCTTCTTCTAACTGTCATCATGAAGAAGAAGAAGAATGTGTGTGATGAAGGAGAAGAGCTTTAGTATAAACGGAACTTCTCCTTGGTGTTCTGGAAAACTTGTTCAGCAATAACGGCGCCGTTTCCGTCTGCTTTCTTAATCACCAGGTTAGATTTCTGGTAAACCCCAGTCCCTCTCAGAGCATCAGCTATGAAGTCATCAAACCCGATGGCTATCGCTGCTTCGGCTTTGGCTCCATAAACCAATCTCTGTTTATTAGCAGAGACATCGTTTAGACCCCATGACAATGAAGAGATAAGAAAGATGGGTTTGTGCAGGTATATTTTTACCTTGAGTCTCGATAGATGGATGGCTCCGAAGCACATGGGACATGGCTCACAAGATGCATAGATCTCGCATTCTGATAGCTCGATTTGGTTAAGTTTCTTGCATGCCTGCGCAATCACAATGTATTCAAAACCAGTTTTAGCAATGTTTAAAGAATTTGATCAATCTATCGAGTACTCTTTTTTACCTCTCTAATGGCTGTGACTTCAGCATGTGCAGTAGGGTCTGTGTATTTCAGAACCATATTGTGACAGCTAGCGACGACCTCATTCTTATGAACAATCACCGCACCAAATGGGCCACCATCACCGCACTCAACTCCCTTGTAAGCTTCTTCAACAGCTTGCGTTAGGAATTTGTGGTCGCTGTCATGCACAGCTGATCAAAGACAAAGTAGAAACATTAACCATGATAATTTCAACTAAACTAAGAATGTTCCTGTTAAACTAGTGGAAAGTGAAAAAAGGGCGTATCACAATTGATGCATTAACCATCACAAGAATCATTAATGGTCAAGCTTTTCAGAACATTTGGTGGAACCATAATTGGGGGAATACTACAGTCATCACTTTATAAAATGTCAAGGTCTATACCTTCTTGGTGACCGGCAAATGCTGTAGCCACGGAGATGGTTCCGTCTATTGCTTCCACTACACAGTTCAATGAGAGAGCAATCAGAACCTCCAACCACGAAACATCAAAGAGGAAAAAAAAAAAAAAAATCAAATCGATACAGCTCATGTTCTAATCAAAGCCATTAATCAACAACAGCTCATGGTTACTCACAGCACAAGTTAGAATACAAAAGAGACGTATACGATTACTTATGATACAAGTAAACATCGCTAACGGAGGAATCTTCCAGCAAAGATGACACAAAAGTAGAAGCCATTGATTCTAATCTCACTTAAAATCGAGCACAATACTAAATTCGTAAAGCAAGATCATCTATGCTTAATCAAAAACGTCTAGCACATGTAAAGTGTGATGATATGAAAACAGTGCGGCGCTCCGCTATGTCACATGTCGTCTGTGATTGACAACGAGTCATAGACGGTGGTAACGTGTGGTGGCTAAAATTCTTGTTAAAAAAAAAAATCATCTGCATGTGAAGAGAAATGTCTAAAATATGCAGAAATAGTCCAAATCGAAGAAAATTTCTAGATTCCCGATCTGATAAGTTAACCAATAATGAATCCAAAATCGGAGGAGAAAGTTGATCTGGGAAAAGGATTCCGATTAGATAATCGATTCCGTTGAATAATCCAAAACCAAAATAGCTGCCATTAATAATCAAAGTTCTTCTCGGATGCAAAACAACAAATCTCGCGGAGAAAATAACAAATTTGGGGAAACTAAGCACTCCGATCTCGATCCACAAGATCAACGGAGCATAATGCAAGGAGTAGAGATCAAAGTGAGAAGATCGTAAATGGTTACCTTTAGCTTCTTCCATGACTGAGAATTTGGCAGATGATTCGGAGAATACTAGTGAAATCGATGAAGGTAGAGAAGAAGGAGTTTGTGTGGTGGGTGAAGAATGAAGAAGAAGAGAACCAATTGGTGTGTTTTATAAGCAAAGCAGAGGAGTCCAAAATTTGGGATTTGGGAGATAAAGACGAACACAAGAGAGAGAGAGAGAGAGTCTGAGGTAAATTGGAAAGGAGAAAGTGAAACTGCAAGGAAGCAATTAAAGAAACTTTGCTTTATTAGCCAAAATAATTTTCAATGCGAAATAGGTTAAGATATGAGGATTCCTCTAAATACTTCTTTTTTTTACTCATTTTTCTCTTAATTAAATCTTAGATACGCATGATGATTACCCCCAAAGTAATCAAGAAGTTTGAGAAATCTTTATTTCAATCCAGGATGTTAGTATGTTACAAACCAAAAGAATCGAATATTCCGTTTAATACTAAACTCATGTAAATCCTATAGTTGTTTGATAAAATGAAAATAAAGAAAACTGAAAAAATGGTACAACTACAATAATAGAATCGGGATAAGTTAAATGACTCATATAATATTATCCATAAACACAAATGGTATGATAAGTTAAATGACTCATATATTGTAGTTTTATCCATCCATAGAAACACAAATGGGATGAGGAGCACGTTAGCATTTTGGTAGATACAACTCATCTTCCATAAAATATGCAAGAGATAATGTGCCGTATAGTTTTGTAGCCAATATGTCGATAAATGGGGTTGTTATGCTTTTACATTTTCGTTGGCCATAACTCGATTCTTTGTGCTAAAAACAATATGAAAAGACTTTTAGTTTCGCACTTTGATACTAATGTAGCAATGTTAAAGTAGTAGCTTTCACAGTTTCACACGCACAAATTCAAAAAAATTACAGCCTTCAACTATCAAATGCCAAATTAGTAGAGAGAAAAGGACAATTCTTGGAATAGACGAATACATGTATCCGTGAGTATCGTTACAAGCGATATGGTAAACAGTATACAACTATTGATGCGTTTCAATTATTGAACGAGATAGATGCACGTCACCTATATATCGGTTAGTTAACGAACAACGGAATAAAAAAATGAAAGGGACTTGAATGGCTCATCTTTGTTGACCTTCACATGGAGGCGCATCGATGGTCTTTCTTAAAATAATAATCATTTTAACCTTCTTTAGAAACTTTTATATGTTGAGAGACTTTATGGATGGTGCGAAGTGTTTTGAAGACCACCTACATATTACACTTCAATATAATCACCTTTCCTAGAAATGAATAAGACTTGCAAATAGAAGACCAAGATCGTTTTTGGTCGTTGAAGGATCAACAAAAGTAGTTACGCAGCTAAACCAAATTCACTCTTAGAGATCACAAACACACAACATGCTCGCGTGTACGTCTTCTTTTACTCTTTCCCAAATCTCCGCTCTTGCCACCAAAACAAGGAAGATAGGGTGTAACTTTATTTTATGTCAGATTAGGTTATTTAACACATGCCAAAATTTGCAAGGGAGACATATAGGCTGTTTACGTTATTTTATAGCACATTGGGTATTTAACACATGACAGAATCTCTGTTTTCTAACTAATGAAGAAAAAGCAATGATATTTTATTCCACCCTTTCGGCGAAACACTAAGATACAAGTAAAAGCCACAAGACAATACATTGCTTTAGCCGTTAATTGCAGTTCACCTTATCACTTTCGTGTGTGATATTAACTTAGCTCAGTCCCATCAATATGTAACGTATAGAATTGATTTGGTTTTAACATTTCTCTGTTACAATGGTTTGCTTGGTCTCAAATGCTAACATACATTGTGCTGGTGTGTTTAAAGTTACTAGTTTTTAAGGAACCAAAACAAAATCTGGCAATACTAATCACATATGTAGCGTATAGATTTGATTCGATATTACTCAGATGTTATCACAGAGGACACTGCTGGTGTGTTAAAGACTACGAGTTTTCAAGGAGCGACAACGAGAAGGAAGTTTTAAAATAAATGTATTGAAACAAAATCTTAACAAGACGTTCTCTACCGATTAAAAAACATAATCCAAAGCGAGATAAAACTGATTGTGACAAAATCGAGATGTGATTAGAAGAGGTCTAATAGCAGACACTGCGATAAAGAAGAAAGGACGCAGAATAAAACACATAATGCTGCCGCTGCTGCTTCTGTCTTCATCAACATCTCACTTCTTCTTGGGGTCACCAGCCTTGGTCTACACACACACACACAAAACTGTTAGTAACAAAACAGCAACGAAACAAAGAATTGCAAACTTAGATTGTTGGCAATCTCACCTTCTTAACACCACGGATTTTCTTGGCCCTGTTCTTCCTCTCCTTAATCTGTTTCCTTGATTTCTCGACCTTGGTGTCAAGTCCGTTCTGTCAAATCACAACAAGAACCATTTCAGTATCCAATTTCAGGGAATCTTAACTAGTATGAAGATTCCAATATATACGACTCTGACACTGCTTCATAGTAAAAAAAAAAAAAAAACTAGGCAGGAAGTTTCACTAGAGAGGAGGAATGTAGTAAGAGCGGAAGAGAACTTACCCTGATAAGCCTGTACTTGGGCTCGAATTTCTTGGCACTCTCGACGGTGTCATAGATCAAACCGAATCCAGAAGATTTGCCACCTCCAAAGTGGGTTCTGAATTTGAATACAAAGATGGCATTCGGGTCTTTCACCTCGTACATCCTTGCTAACTTCTCCTTAAGCTCGGCCTTCAAAAGTAAATTACATTCAAAAACATAACAATTAGAAACTGCTCAAAGCACAAAGAAAAACAGAGAAATGGCTTGATTGAAAAAACTGAAATAGACACAGAGATTGAAGTAAAGAACATACCTTTGAAACATTGGCTCTTCCAGGGTGGAGAACATCAATGACCTACATTCATAAGCAATTACCATTAATTAGTACATAATCTGAAGGACAAAATGTACATTAATAAACACAGGATTGCTATGTGTAAGTTATCTATCTGTTAAAATCCAGTAAGCTCAATTCAAATTGTACGATCAAATGTGAGATTGAAATCAATCATACAATAAATCAGGACGAATCAACTTGTCAAGTACTAAAAATGAGACCTACTTCCTCAAATATAAACATCAAAGGTATTAAAATTCAAATCTCTAGGGGGAAAACAGAAAGAATTCTCAAATGAATCTGCTTATTTAGCTCCCTATAGTTTAGCATCCGGTTACGTATTTGCTACGATGTAGCTAAAAACTGCCAAATCAAAATGAAACATAGAGCGTGAAAGATGCAGTGAAAGAGTGGGACTCACAAACTGCTTCCTGGAGAGAAGTCTGTTGGTCATGAACTTCCTGGTCCTGATGGTGACTGCTTTTTCCGCCATGGCTGCGATTGCTCCGAGATCAGACTGAGCTCCGGTTGCGAAAATCGACGAGTTTCTCTCCGCGGCAGCCTTACAAGAATCAGACGGAGCAGCCAAAACCCTAAATGAAAATATATAGCTCTCACTTTCATGTTTTTTATTAGGGCTCCTTTTCTTTAGTTTGTTGGGCCGACTTTAAGTGGGTCCATATTGATAAGTTAAATTAGTTAATTTCGGGTTTGATAAAGCCCATTGGGGTTAAAGTTAAAACAATACTCCTGTGTTAATAAAACTATACAGTTATACGGTACCATTAATGACGACGTATCTGCTGTGATTAATAAAGGTCTACTAAACTATTATGAAGTGTTAAAAATATTATCATGTTTTAGCATTAAGTACAAACAATTTCAGAACTAGAGAGCTTTCTGCATGCCGGTTTATCTCTGAAGTTTTGCAAAAATATTCTATAAAAATGTTTTTTTCTCTCAGGCTTACATATGTAATTGTAAACGTAAAATCAGAAAGTAAAACAATCAATCATAGGATTAATGTTCGCATACCGTGAACATTTTTGTTGTTGCTAACATTATTGTAAAAACTTCTATGCATATTAACAAAAACAAAGTGTTCCTATACGTTCGAAGTCTCCATTCCACTAGATTTTTCAGCTGACTATTACTACAATGATCAAATGATAATCCTTGAATCTCTCTTTACTTCAATTTGTCATTTGCTTTGAAGCCACCTCGTTGAATCCGATGGCTCATCGTAGACTCGTAGTCTATGGTCATGGAACCAAGATAGTTATTAGTATACTGTGTCACACCTTACTTGCCATCGCAAGAAAACGCATCTTCTTGGTCAGAGTGGTTTTGCCCCAAACGTGATCTCCTCGAACCTTCCACGCTTCTCTTCGCACTCGTTTCCACAACACTGAATCAAGTTCAAATCCATGAGCGAACCCAACGAAGAAGGGTTCGAGTCGCAGCTGCAGAAAATGCTCTCCAACTCGACGCCTGATGATAATCTCCAACTGGGAACAAGAGAAGCAATCTCTGCATCGATCATGTTAGCTATCTTTGTGACGTCCCGGTCGTCCATCTCCAGCTCTTCCACCATTTCTCTTGCAACGCTGATTGCTGTATCAGTCTCTGTGTCAAACGGGAAGTATATGTTTCTCACAAGCCCTACAAAAAATTGAAAATGAAAGTAAAGTTTCAAACTTTTATGCTCTGAAACCGTAAAGATCCAACCTTTTGTAGTCCAAAACCACAAAGATTGCATCTTTTAGACTCAGGTCCGACTTTTCACTCTTCTTAAACCACATTATGAAGGAGTAATGTTATAAGAGTATCACACAAACCTTCCTTGTCAGCGATTCTGAGTCGTAGGAACAGTCCATCACCATTATCTCTTCTCTTTCCTTTGACGCTTATATGGACATTATCTAAGCTCTCATCATCTTCTTCTACTTCTTCATGATCATCGTTATGAAACTCAAAGACGTCTACTCCGTGTGACTCCTCCACTGTCTCATGGCCATTGTAATCCCACTGGTTTCGACTATCGTGGCTACAGTAACCGTTTGAATAGTGAGGATGATCAAAAGAGTTTCCTTTGGTTTGGTCATTGTAGTAATAGTCAGCTGTATGATATGAATGACTAAGAAGAGTAGGCCCAGCTTCATCTATCTGACTTCTTGTTGCGATCTCTACGGGTCTCAAAGTCGAGTCACCATCATCGGTACAAAGAAAAGGGTCGTCTAATAGTTGACGAGCAGAGAGCCTGAGGGACGCAGTGGCTAAGCATTTCTCTATAAAGCCTCTAACTTCAGGATCCTTCACCTTCTCTAATGAGTCTGGTTTCTTGCCCGATATAACTCTCTTGTAAATCTGAGCAGGGTGAGAACATTCGGTGTATGGATAATCAAACGTTACCATTTCCAAAACGCACATACCAAACGAGTATATGTCGACTAATTCGTTGTATTCTTCTTTATAGACTTCAGGAGCCATGAACTCTGGTGTCCCTAACCGAGTCAAAAATATAATCTTTCAGCATCAACAATATAATTTATGGACCAAAGCAAAAGCACTGAGCAACAGATTGCATACCAACACAATGAGCAGCGTGAGAGTTTTGCAAGATAGCAGCAAGACCAAGATCACCAATCTTGACTTCTCCTTGGTTCCCATTGACAAAAATGTTGTCACACTTGAGATCTCTGTGGATCACAGGAGGGTCATGGCTATGAAGATAGTGTAAGCCTCTCAAGATCTGTCTACACCAATGCTTCACAGCTCTTATGTTCACTCTCTTGTGTTTTAGCCTATACCTGCCATTCACCAGATTTAAATGAACCATCAACAACATCTTCAATAGCTACATTTAGATGGAATTGTTTTATGAAAACATAACTTGAGATATGAGAAGAGGCTTACTGCCTGAGGGTGCCAGAAGTGAACATTTCAGTGATGAAGTTGATGTTTCGATTCTCGATATCGACCCAAGAAGTGTAGAACTTCATGATGCTTTTGTGTTTCAGTGTTTTGAGGAGATGGATCTCGCAGTAGAGCCTTTCTAGCTCCTGAGGACTCTGCAAGAAATCGTAGAGCTTTACTTGGTTCCATGCTACTTCCATTCCTTCATACTCATCAAATGCTCTGTAACTGCAAAAATCCATTTTTTTTTAAAAAACCACAAAATTAGTTTTGTCTATTTCAGAATCACTAAACACAGTATTTAATCACTTTTTGTCCTTTGAAATGATAAATCTTTTGAAGACTCAATCATGAATTTGTGAATTTTCATGGATTAGGAAACGAAAAATAATCAGACTTTAAGAAGCTCCAACATCAATCCAGAGAAATGTACGAACAGAAACTGAAAATTGAGGGTAAATTTAAGAGAGAGATTGGATTCTTACACGGTTTTTGAAGATCCTTTACCAAGAACTTCATGATACTGCAGCAGCAAAACAAACACAAAAACCTCAGCAAAACAAAATAGAGAGAATTCGATTTATTGAGATTGAGAGATGAGAGGGAGAGGAAATTTTACTCTGCCATATCTTCCAGTAGGATCAATTTCGACAAACTCAGAGTAATCAGGTTCTAGATGGCTGAGATTGTTCATCATTTCCCCGAAGCAGTATCAAAAAAAAACTAAGAGCGATACATAGATGGAAAATATAAAGAAAACCCCATAAACATAAAATAGCAATATATGGTAATATATTTATTAAAACAATTCTCTGCTTTTGTAATTTGGTAGGTTTTTGGTATTTTTTTCTTTTTATAGCCTTTTCATAATAAAAATCTTTGTACCTCTGACAACCAAATAAACATTAAACTCGTGTAAATGAAGAGAGAGAGAAAGAGAGAGACAGATGTTCGTTTGAGCTCCCAAGAGAAAAGTAAACCAGATTCCTTTCTTTCTTTCTTTTTCTTTTTCTTTTTGCTTATAAATTTTCTTTGGTTATATATTTTTCTTTAGTCGTTCTTATTAGAAAAATAGAGCGTGGTCCAAACGAGTAAACAAATGTGTGAAATTTGTAATTTTTCTGGCAACAAACAAATGTTGGGATAAAATAGATTTTTCTGTGATATCTACCCATCTTTATATTAAATTTTTTTCTTGAGAATACCCATCTTTATCTAAGATATATGAGGTATTTTCTTTATCTTTTTAGTTTATAATAATTATATGCGTTACTTATTACCATCTATGATCTATTCAAACTCGTATAATGCATAGTATTGAAAGAAAGTAGATGTGCCTTAATTTAAAAATCATATGCGTAACTATAATTAGTTGAATCAATTTTTGTAACATTAATGAAACTTTTATGTATATCATAAGATTATCAAAATACATAATCTATAAGATAGTAGTTTAAAGTAGTTAATCACGAGAAGATAAATATATTGAATAAAATGACATAATAGCACAAAATTAGTTTGTAACTAAGTCAAAATCAAATGTAATACATATAACTAACTTATATAGTTAACATTTATTGCCCGGATGTATTCTTATTTGTGTGGGATTTCCATTTATGAGTGACGGGCCCAAACTATATTGATCGGGGAAGTAACAAGGATCCTTAATTTGATGTTGGAATTGTACCAAGTTTTTAGATTCCGTGGTGGCTTGTGTGTAGAGGCTAACGAATAGTTTTCTTGAATTGCGGTGTTGGATGGTTTTTCTAAGATCATGAGACGGTTCCCAAAGCTGAAAAGGGGAAAGAAAAATAAAACATATTGGCTCTCAGGATAAAAAATTTCTATAAAAATTTCTATTAACGAATAATATCTCAAAATTTGGAAGAGATCTTGAATAGTATATAAGGGTATTAGCATCTTCACTCATTAAATAGTAACTTAACATGGTATTAGAGCCCTAGTCTACCCAATCCAACCCGATCTCATTCATAGTTGGTCTAATCATTGACCAGGCCCAAAATTGGTGTCGACGATCCAAACCCAAACATATCAAAATCGATGGCTAAAAGTGACATGGCACAATCATTTTCACTGGAGTTTCCATAAAAAGCATAGACTATCGCCGCTTTAAACCCTTGCTTTAGATGCAATTGTGCGTATTTGGCACAAATCGTAGTTTTTCCAGAACCTGGTAACCCAACGAACATGACGATAGTGGGTTTGGATTATTCCGGGATGAAGGGAGGCAATCCTCGATCTAACAACTTCATCGCTTCTCCGGTGATAGCCTTTTCCAGATTTTTCCGACAGCGACCTTTCAACTTCTAAGGTAAATTTGGAAATGGCATCATACATGATTATCAGGTTTCGTGTATCGCCTGGCTGATTCGCCAGTTCGGAAGGAGAAATTCATGCCCTTTATATATTATTCAAGATTTCTTATAACTTTCTATGTGTAATATTATGATTCCTTAATAAATTATAACTTAATTCGTTGTTTTTTATACCAACTGAAATAAAAACATTAAGCAACGAAGATGAACCAAGAGCTTTTGAAAGCAAACTACAATCAAAGGCTTAATAGACGTTTGTAGACAAGATTTTTGTGCCTACATATATCCTCGATGTATGAAATAGTAAACTATATATAATTATAAATCTCATCTGTTTCTTTTTATTGTTAGGTCAAAAGAATTTATGTGGATTAGGTTTGTATGTTGGTTCGTTAGAATTTTAGGATATGTATTCCAACTGTATCGCACTCAACCGGTATAATTTTAACAAGGACAAATATCTGAATTGGTTAGTCACCTCGGTGCTTCCATAACTCTGCTCGGATGATAGAAATTGACATGCCGATGATAAAAGTTCTACTAAGTTTTTGAAACTTTATGTTTATACTAATGAGCTTTCTTAAAATTTATGTTCATACTCAAACTATATTGTAATTTATAATCATATATGAAACATGTATTTTATTTTTAAATTTATTTAGTAAACTGTAATCTAATAATATATCCACTTAATTTTCTCCTATACGAGTTTTAAAGCATAGCAAGTTCCGTCCATTATCTTTCTCCTCTTAAAAATCAACATAAATATCACTGATCGTTTTTGACAAAGAAAAAAATATCACTGATTTATAAAGCTTTTTTGTTATAAGATTAACATTTTAATGAAATGCGATGGTGGATTCACGTCGACAAACACGCTGTCCAACTACTGCTAGATATTTATGTGTGAATTGTTTATATTATATTCATTCTTTTCAATGATAAACTTTGTCGTAAATGACAAAGATGATATGATTAAGATAAGCATCAAGACGAAAATTGACACTTTAGACTTTACAGTTAATGATAGATTAAACAATGAATTTATAGTCTGACGATAAACAAATTCACTAATAACTAATCTCGCAACTCCGTCGGCGATTCCGTGGTTGTCTTTGTACGGAAATAAGTAGTCAAGTTATATAATCGCAAAAGCAATCACGCCACCAACCCTTTTTCACCAATGTGCTTGTTGATAATTTTTTACCAATTATGGTTATATTATTAAACTTCGCGGTTACACTACCTACGTCTCAGAAGCGGCAATGACTAAACTCAATATACACTGTCGTAAAGAAATCTCATAACTACATATACATGACCAAACTACATGACCATTTATTTGACAAGCACGGCCTTGCATGACCAACCTATATTACACCAAGCAAAAGACCTCAGCTTCTGAGCTGATTTCATATATAATTTCCCATGTAATTAAGAATGCTGGAAAAATCTTATCTTGAAGACTTGAACAAAGTTATTTTCAGGTGATAAAACTTGTGAATCAAAACCTTTCATTAGACGGAAGAGATTGTTGTAGAGCAGACATAGAAAACGTGTATCCACATTTCTGGCAGTTGCATTTATAACCAACGTTGTTGGTTTCAGATCTCGTTAATATGATCTGGCCCAATTAAAGTCCTTCAAGAAAGACAGCGTGATGAAACCAATCAAACTGGAAAGGAAATATGAACTTCGAAGCCCAAGTCTTTAGTTGACCACTCCACCACCTCACAAGCTCATTAATTACCTTGCCGACCAATTTCTGAAGAGAGCCCATCATCTCGAGGGTCCAGATGAAAGTTCGAATGCGAGTGTAGTAAGTAGTGACCAGGATCGAACCAATAAATGAAAGATAGAAAATACTATAAAAGTAGTATATTAAATAGACAATACTATAGAAGGTAGACGAGGAAATGTTTATCACTCTTTTCAGCAAAAACCCTAGATTACTTGAGCATGAGAGCATAACTATCCATTTTTCACTCGACTTGTACTATATTTTCGGGAAATAAATTCAACAAGAACAAACATTCATTACTAGGTTTTAGTTTTGGTTTTCCTCTGTTTGATATGTTGTGCTGTTTAGATCATCCGGTTCACCTATAAGGATCTAGCATCCACATATACATTGAAGAATGCGTTAAAAAGATTGATAATTTCCATCATCACACTTTGTTTAATGTAAACCTGTGCCAATTAAAGATCCTTACTGTTAAATCTTGACCCTAGCAGGGGCGGACCTACATGAAGGAGGGTGGTCACCTGACACCCCTAAAATAATTATATATTTAAGTTTTCAGTTAATACATCAGCGTTAACACAGCTTAGTTGGTTAAAATCTCCTTCTCTGACTCCCTAACCAAGGTTCGAATCCCTCCACTGACACCTAATTAAAATTTTGACCCAGGTAAATAAATTTCCTAGGTCCGCCACTGCCCTAGTCTTCGTTTCTTATACCATTGCGAGATTTTTTAAAAATAATGCTATGACTTCTAAGATTTATTACGACTCTTTCAGATTAAAAGTTAAAATAGGCAATAGATTATAGACTACGTTGAAAAAAAACTAAGCATGCATTTTTCAACATTCTAAATTTTAAATTTTTCAACATTCCCGAAGAAACGGCTTTTACACGCAAAGTGGGCGGGGGAAGAGGTGCATTCGTTAATATATAAATCAGTAAAGAAATTGAAATTACAAGAAAGTCACCATGAGAATAATGCAAAAAGAAAAGTTTGACAAAAAGAATAATACAAAATTGGGACCTAAGTTCACGTTAATTTATGTGTTCAAAAAAGGAGTTCACGTTAATGTGGGTCGGTTCAAAAGTATATTGATAACTAATTACGCCGATGGTTTGTGATACATTACATGCAATTATGCAAAGGTGACGACGTGACGTGGCATATGTCAAAATTGGGTTGTCTAGTATTTTTAAGGAAAACAATCAACTCAATGTGTCCAAAACTCCAAATGTTATACTACATACGTTCGTTTTATGAAATAATCATAGATTAATTACTTTCATGCAGTAAAAAATGTTCGGTAGCGATTTTCATTGGTATTTTAACATGTAAAGATATAATCGAAGGTTTTATGTCAGATAACGCCAAAAAAAAAAAAAAAAACTGCTTCTGATTTGTGTTAAAATTTAAGCTTTCAGAACTGTTATTATAAATTTCTATTTAAACAACCAACAATATCATTTTCTCAATAACAGATAAAAAATCGTTTTATTTTTCATTCTTTTACTAAAAGCTTATTTATTTTGTTGTATTGTTATATGTTTTTTTTTTTGGTCGAATGTATATATGCTTGTAATAATTCATCTGCACCTTTATATTTATTTGTATAAAAGAAAATATAAAAAACTACGGTATTCACGAAAAGGCCCAAAAAATCCAAGAAAGATGGGCCCGTTTTGGGTTGTAACGCATGACAACTACTCGTGGACAAGTACACGTGAATACCATTTCCTTCCATACGTGTAAAACCAAAATTATTTTCTACAAAATTATTCTTAGCTTTTTACTTTCGTAAGATTTTAAGCAATATTTTCATGAACATAAATCAATGATGACCAATAAAATCATGTATTTTATTTTTCTTTTCGAAATTAATGGATTTGGAAATGGATCTATCGACAGGGATACATGTCGAATAAGGCAAACAGCATAGTTTTGGAGTTTTTGTTATTAAAACCCATTTTAAAAATCAGAAAACAAATTAAACTATTCGCCATACAATCTTTGTAGTCCGGATCCAACCAAACAACATAACTTTTCATTAGAATATTAACAAAAAACCCTACTAGAGAGAGAAAAGGGCTTAGATTTTGAGAGAGAAATAATGCCTGTAATGATGATGATGGAGCTGGCAGTTTCTGAAACTTTAACGAGTATTTTTTTCTTTTTTTTCTTATAATCCTCTATAAACCATAAATACAGTAATTTATTTTTACCAAAACCTTGAATATAGGATTTGCCTCGAAATTTTATTTATTTTGTTATGATGAATTCTTGTAGTTGAAGCATAACATTTGGTCGACCAAATGGACCATCATGATGCATATTTACTATTTATAGTGTTTTCTTATTGACATCATTTATGTACGTACGTAGCATAAGAGTTGAAAACATTCTGCAGTTATGCTTGTCTCGTATGACGTATCCATAATATTATTTTTAAAAACTTATATATATGATGTGTAGTTTCTCAAAATAGATTCAATCGCCAAAACTGTAACACCAGCCATACGCTCGGAGACAATAGTTTAATGCATTATATACGTATATTTATATAAGTCGTGCTTGCATTATCGAATTCGTTTTCAATGGACCCATTTCAATCTTCTAGTTATTAACTTCATATCGATTCTTTAGGTATGAATTTATCATGGGAGAACAGATCAACTTATATAGTTCGTAGACTTTGATCGTATGCAATAACTACTAAAAAATTCATGTTATCTACTTATCTAAAAAAAGTATTCCAAGATTGGGAAGACATGGAAGAAGAAAAAAAGAAGTAGTGCCAAAGATAATGTAATTAGTTGGAACTTTCAAACCCTGATAAATAAGCACTTGTTTTTAACCCTCGAAAAGAAAATATATAGCATAGCCTTTCTAAAAAAAAAAAATGTATGTTTCATTTCTGTTTCAGGTTGCATAAGTGGAAAACTAAATTTATAACTTTATAACATTTCCATTTACATCATATTTATAACTTTGACTATAATTTTTAACATTAAATGATACTGATTCTCGAACATTGAATATCCTTTACATTCACTAAAGAGTTCATAGTTCCTGAAACTAAAGTGTTTATAAGATCATAAATTTTCAAAGCGTACAATTAAACTATACTAATAAAAGTGGAAATTCCATACCAAATTATCTGTCAAACCTTGAATTGTAAAGATGTGTGAACCAAATTTGTTGAACAATAGTGTTCGTTGATATACAAAACTAAAGTCTTAGTTTTTTTTTTTTTTTTATAATAAATTTGGCAACTTTGGGGATGTCAATTTATGCCGACTCAATTGCAGTTAGGTTTTTATTTCTCGGTTTAAATATGGTAATAATTTTGAGAGTGAAAGGAAAGGAGTCTCCTTTTTGTCTGTTTCTGTCTTCGTTTTTGAGAGTTTTATCGACTAACCCAAACTCACATATTCCCCCTTTTACTTTGCCGATTTGCTCCCTCCTCTTTCCTCTCTCTCTCCTTACTCTCCGGCTTTATCAAATCTCTCTCCTTTCACTGTTGATTTCTCTTGAAGACAACGGATCCGAATCGGCGAGACCTCTCAAACCATTTCCCCGAGGATTCTGTAGATTCCGATGCATTTTTGAGATGCAGTCTCCTTCTCTAAACTAATCAATCGGTCTCATCAGGTAAAAATCCTCACTTTCTTCTTCCTTCTCTACGCACATCATCCGTCATTGTCTTAGTCAAATTGGGTTTGTGTACGATTCACAGTTTGACCGCTAAGTGTTTGTTGAAATTCCGGTGAGAGAGAGAGAGATGAAGGATTTTCCTTCCTGCTTCAGCGAAAACGGCGTTCAAATTGCGGACTCGTCGTCTTCAAACTCCGGCAAAAACGCGCAGAATCTGGTCACTTGCATCTACCATTGCCGTATCCGAGGAAGAAACTGCTTGATCACAGTGACTTGGACTAAGAGTCTCATGGGTCAAAGCGTAACCGTCGGGGTCGACGATTCCTGCAACCAGAGCCTCTGTAAAGTCGAGATTAAGCCGTGGCTGTTCACGAAACGGAGAGGTTGCAAGAGCTTGGAGGCGTACTCGTGTAACATCGACGTTTTCTGGGATCTCTCGTCCGCGAAATTCGGATCAGGCCCCGAAGCTCTGGGAGGATTCTACGTGGGTGTTGTTGTGGACAAGGAGATGGTTCTGCTTCTTGGTGATATGAAGAAGGAAGCTTTCAAGAAGACGAACGCTTCTCCTTCGTCTCTAGGCGCTGGGTTCGTCGCCAAGAAAGAGCATGTCTTTGGTAAGAGAGTGTTTGCGACGAAAGCTCAGCTTTCCGCGGATGGGAAAGTACATGATGTTGTGATTGAGTGTGACACGAGTGTCACTGATCCTTGTCTCGTTGTTCGTGTGGATGGGAAGACGTTGTTGCAGGTGAAGCGGCTCAAGTGGAAGTTTCGTGGCAACGATACGATAGTTGTGAATAGAATGGCTGTGGAAGTTCTGTGGGATGTTCATAGTTGGCTCTTTGGGATGCCTTCGGCGGGAAACGCCGTGTTCATGTTCAGGACTTGTCAGTCTCCTGAGAAGAGCTTGTCTTTCTCACAGGACATGTCAACAACAAACTCCAAGTCTCAAAGTTTTGGTTTTTCGTTGATTCTGTATGCTTGGAAGAACGAGTAGAGTTTGTGGGTACTAACAAAAACCTTGTCTGTTGATTCCTTATCAAACATTTGTTGTTTTATAGCATGATTAAATGGGTTGATTCATGATTTGATATCTGCAATATAATTCCTTACACAATGCTGGAACCAGATCAGTCTTGATCTCTGTATACATCAGTTACTTATGTCCTAGTAACTGCTTCGTTCTTCAGGTCCATAGTGCGAATACAAGCATTATGAGTTTGATCTGTTACTTTAGTAGCTCTGGTTTGTAGATGTTTTAGCAAAGTTTTGCTTACCTTCTATTTATGACAGATTGCTTATAAAGATTGTTTATAGTGAGACATGTGATTTGTACATGAGGTATTGAGGTTATTTAATTCTGAATCAGTAATAAGTCAGGTTTTTCTTAGCTTTCGCATTTGGATTCTTTGCCTTACTTTGCTCTGCTTCTTTAGTCACACAAGATCGCCCAAGTTCAGTTGTTCTTTAAACACTGTAAAATGAAAATGCTATTGTGTCTGTGTGTCAGCTTTAAACATGAATTACTTGAAAATGATCGTAAGATTTGTCTAGAGGTTGGCTCTTTAAAGCTTTTTTCATTTTTGGTTTTCAAAAAAAAATCGTACCAATATACATCAATCTGACGTAACACTGAGAAAATGCGAATTGCGAAGTGTGGCAGATAAGTAAGCCAGTGTCTTCGTCTGAGAGATTCTTCTACTAATAGATTCTTTGGTTTTAATAGATTTTGAATTGTCACAGAAACTTTCTCTGTAGTGCAAGCAGCTTTACCTGTCAAATTCAAACTGCACGCTGTTCAACTTAGAATCTAGGCAACTGCTTGCCGTTAAATGGCCTCTGTCTTTTTGGTCAGAAGAAGTTTCATGAGAAAGACTCGAAAGTGAGAGGAAGAGTGTGTCTTTTGTGTTACTGCAACATTCTCTTGTGACATCACCACATGTTTGCTTTTCTGCTTCGGTTCTGTAGTAAAAATTAAAAAGCATGTCACGTGGCCCCCACCCAAACATGAATATTTTTTTTCCCAGGCCCACTTTAGTTTTTTGATCAATCGGGCTATGTTTCCAGAGCAAGTGGCATCAATCACTATCTCTTCGCTTATCTTGAACAGCTGTGTTTTCAAATAGTAAAATCGACAATTAGAAGCAGCGGATAATGGTGGATGTAAGCAAGCAAGCAAGAAATCCGAACTTACATAGAAAATCTTTGCCTTGAGAACGATAGTTTGCCTCTCTCATATCAGCAACACTTCTCCTAACTTTCACCCCACGGTACTCGATGCATTGCATTTAACAACGGTCAAACTATTAACCTAAAACCCCCAATTGTATGTCAAATTAACTGAAATCAATTTCTTCAATATAGCTGGGTCAAAAAGCCCATAATAATAAAGCTTGGCCCAAGTAAAAGGCAATAGAAATTAGGTCGCTCGCTCTCTATAAATAAGACCCCCTGCTTCCACTTCCTTCATATTTCCCTCTCCCATCCTTTTGGCGATTTAGAGCTCCCAACTCTCGATCGCCATTCTGCGAATTCGGCGTGACAAGACAACAAACAGACAACAAAACAAAAACATAGAAGTCAGTCAAAACAGAGGATTCGGGTGTTGTTCTTTTGCCACTTAAAGAATGATTGCTGCGAATTACTCTGAGATAGGAGGAGGGAGTTGTTCTTTTCCACGCAAGAGACATCTCGATGATAGAACAGAATTTCCTGAAGAAAAAAGGCAAAGAACGACAGATTATCATTATCCTCAGGGCTGGCTATATTGTCCCAGTTTCGGTCATGAAATAGGATTCATCATTCCTTCCAAGGTTCCTCTCAGTGAATCTTACAACAGTGATCTTCCTCCTGACAAAAGATACGCTCTCAAACAGTGGATAACAAATGGAAGGATTGGTCTAGTGATTGATCTGACCAACACGACTCGTTACTATGATCCTAACACAGAGTTAAGGCAGAAGCGCATAGGGTATGTTAAGATTCGTTGCAGTGGTCATGATTCTGTGCCGGATAATGTCTCTGTAAACACCTTTGTTGACAAGGTTCATCAGTTTGAGAGAGAAAACTTCTCCAAGAAGTATGTTCTCGTTCATTGCACGCACGGCCATAACCGCACAGGTTTCATGATTGTTCATTACCTTATGCGCTCTAGGCCGATGATGAGCGTTACACAGGCCCTGAAAATGTTCTCGGATGCCCGCCCGCCCGGTATCTACAAACCGGATTACATTGATGCTCTCTACGGCTTTTATAACGAAATCAAGCCAAAGAGTGTCATTTGTCCAAAAACTCCTGAATGGAAGATGTCTGAAAACGAGCCTCCTCGGTGTTTCCCTTCAGTGCAAGAAAACAATCAGGAGGAGGAGGAGAAAGTGGAGAAGAAGATGACAAACGATGACGTTTTAGGGGATGAGATACCTTATAGGCAGCAGTTATCTTACCAAAAATTCTGTTACGAAATGATGAAAATCAATGGAGGAAAAATGTATTTCCCTGGCTCGCATCCTGTATCATTAGACAGAGAGCAGTTTCAGCTCTTGAGGCAGAAGTACTATTACGCGACGTGGAAGGCAGATGGAACGAGGTACATGATGCTCTTGACAAGAGAAGGGTGTTATCTAATGGACAGGATGTTCAGATTTAGAAAGGTGCAAATGCGTTTCCCTTGCAGTGATCTTCAGAGATTGCATGACTACACGTTGCTTGACGGAGAGATGGTCGTTGATACTTTTCTTGATGGAGAAAAGCGGCAGAAGCAGGTGAGGAGATACCTTGTGTATGATTTGGTTGTGATTAACGGGAGATCGGTCGTAGAGAGGCCTTTCAGTGAAACATGGAATATTATCGATAGAGAAGTGATCAAACCTCGTAATGATGAGAAGAAAATGAAAAGCCACTGGTATAGGTACGAGATGGAGCCATTTGGGGTACGGATAAAGGCTTTTTGTCTACTCTCTGCTCTTGAGAACAAGATTTTCAAGGAGCTGATTCCTTCGCTCACGCATGAAGCAGACGGGGTGATATTTCAAGGGTGGGACGAACCTTACGTTTACCGAGCGAATCGTTATCTACTGAAATGGAAGTATCCGGATATGAATTCGGTCGACTTTCTGTTCGAAATGGGCAAAGATGGGCGTGACATGCTCTTCTTGAATGATAATGGGAGGATGACGCTTATGGAAGGATATTCGGTTGAGTTTAGAGGTGATGGTTGGAACAAACCGGAAAGTTACTGTGGGAAGATTTTGGAGTGTTCATGGGATAGGGAGAAGGAAGTGTGGGTTGCCATGAGGATCAGAGTTGACAAAGATGGACCAAATGGCCTCGTACAAGGTCTCAGGGTGATCAAAAGTATAATGGACAATATCACGGAGGAGGTTTTGGTTGACGAGATCAAAAAGATTATCCGTCTTCCAATGTACGTTGAGCGCATCCAAATGGACATTCAGGCAGCGGAACGCCGCAGGCATGGGAACCGTTAAAAGCCCTATTATGAAACTGTTTGAAAGTTTCGAGTTAATGAACTTTTTGTTGATGGATTTTCGTATAACAGTTATTGGAAATTAAAGTATTTGCTAAGTATTTTTGAACACTACTACTGTCTCATTATATAATTCGAAAGTGAAAACAAATATAACAAATATATAAGCAAGAAAGAATATATAAAAAATATATTCGTTTGCTTACTGGGGGCTTTGTAAGAAAGTGTTTGGCTAGTGATCAGAGTTTCAAGCTTCGTAAGGCGGAAGAGATGAGCTGGAGTTTGTCCGGAGCTTTTTGTTTGTACTCTTTCTCTAGTGCAGCTGCAGCCAGAGAGGGGAGCTCTGGGGCCGTCGTTGAGTCTGCATCCTCTTTGTTCCTGCCTTTTGAGAGTTGTGCAATGGCGGATGCACACTGTTTTTGGTGTGATTATATATGTCAGTTGTAAATAGAGAGAGATCTGTGAAAGTTACCATAGTAGACGAGAAAAAAGACTTACCAAACAGATTCCGCAAAGAGCTCTCGTGTTTTTGCCGCCTGTTAAGTCTATGGTGGCTGCGTAGTATTTTCTTGCTGAGATGAGGTTTTCTAATCCACCGATTGTGTAGAGAACCTGAGATTTGAAATTGAACACAAACGAAAGAGCATTAAATAAAAACAAGTAAATTCAAATTTGGTCGAATGTGGTCTGTTTGAGGAAGTTGAACTTACATCAGCATATGCTAGGTGGTACAATGGAACAGTAGGGTGAGATAGTATGAGCTCTTCGTAGCAGAAAGCTGCTTGTTTGTACCTGTTATCAAGACATAAACCTTGAAACGAGAGATAATATGAAAAAAAAATGATGTAGTTTGTTTATGCGTCACAATCTGGAGGGAAGAGGATATAAAGTGGTTTACATTTGCAAGGAAAGATAAATCTCTGCAAGTTCTCTCCATGCATCATGATCAGCCATGAATCTACAAACAAGAACAACCAGTGAGGTTATATCATATGGTTTTTCTTCTCTGTATGCTGGCTGGGATTAGTAAACACTCACAATTCAAGATATTTGTTAAGAAGCTCAATAGCTAAGGAAGGTTTGCCTAGTGCCTTGGATATAGCCACCCTTCGTTTGTGTATTGCCTGTATGAGACATTTAAATTTTCCTTACAAAACTATACACTTGGAAGTAATTTGTGAGTGGATTCATCAAGGAAAAGGTGTGAAGACTTACTTGGTCGAGTGGATTATCCTCCAAAAGGCTTGAATATGCTTCCTCAGCCTCCCCCCATAATCCCTTCGCTTCAAGCAGCAATGCCTCCAGCCTCCCTGTAATTTATTGCCAAAATGTGGCTTAGGGCTAGGATCAATAATATAAACTACACTCGAAAGTATCATCAATTTCAAAATAACCAAAAAGCCTACGAATATGGACATGTACACTCAAAAGACACAGCAAATGGCCAAATAGACAAAAACTAGTCAGTACAAACATGTAAAAAAATATAAGAGAATTCGGAAAAGAGACAATGTTTGCATTCTTGTTCAGGGAAAAATTTATCAAATTCATGAATCATCTGTTGTAGAAAGCCAATAGAGTAGAGACGAGCAAACAATGATATTGTCCAGTTTATAGTGCTGATGTATTTACTTACCAACCCTTTTGCTTTCAGGAAATTTCTTCTGCAACGCCTTAATGCAGTTCTGCAAAATTCCAAAGTTGACCTCATCATGAGATATCAATATCGATTTCGCGCAAGCTGAGAGAAGAAAGTATACACACCTGTGCGACATCAAAACACTGGCAGTCCATAGCTGCAATTGCCACTTGCTCATGTAGGGTCCATACTGGAAACAAAAAGTGTAAGAGATTCATTTAGTTACATGCTAAACATAAAAGCGCAGCAAATATAATTGCAGACCTACACAAATCTGTAGCTAAGACAATTAAAAAAGAAAACAAGGCAATAAGGATCATAAAAAGATTGCTAATCATTTCATTGGCCAAATGATAAATTCTATTAGAAATGATTATTGAATTGCGTTAAGGATCCATCAAAGATGAAACATTTGATTACTAAAAGTAGAGTCCATTGAGTAGCCTTCTTCAATGCAGGACCTTCCTTGATCAGATACAAAATTGCCTTTAGAACAATTTCACTGGTGGCCAAAACAAAATCAATCTAAGACTAACGAAACATCAAAGTAAACTAATTGACAAAATTCAGCTCAAAATCAACGAACACAGTACACTTAGACCAAATTTCGAATCAATGTAATCATAGTAAAGCTCAGAAACCATACAAATGAGGCAGAGCACGATTCAGCACAGAAGAACGTAAAAGGCATCAATGAAAATATAAAAGCAACGATGGAAACCAGGAATTCGAAATCAACACACCATCTGGACCGAGAGCAGATCTCTTCCCCGGATCACTCAAAATCGAGGAACCATGCTTTAACACCATCTCCGATCGGCGAACCTTGAGCTTACGAACGAGTGAAAGGTACTCCCAAGCCCCGCCTCCGCCATTGTCGACTTGAATCTCGAGCTGGTTCAACTGCGTCTCCTCTGTTTTCGTCACCATCTCTCTCGTGTATCTGTTACCTGAAACGTTTCTCGACACATTCACTTCCCTTACGACGAAATAGACATTAAACCGGTCTTGGTTTTGATTTTATAACTGTACCGATCTGGATTTAAGCCCAATAACCGGCTCAAATCAATGATGAACAATACGGTGCGTTTCATTCGAACAGTTTTTGTTCTTCCCCTTCGAGGCTTTGAATCCTTGAGAGAGTTTGATGATGCCTTAGTTAGGCAGCTTATGGAAAACTGATTTACAATTACATTACTAAAGCTGAGAAACTATATTGTTGGTGAGAGCTCAAGTGTGGATCACATTGACAAGGCCCAAGAAGGAAATCACAGTCTGAGGCCCAGTGTGAAGTTGCAGGATAAGACAAACTCTGCAACGGCTATATCGAAGGAGAGAAAAGAGGAGGAAAAGATGCTCCAAGGAAATAGCTTTCAAGCTCTGTTGTCCTTATCTGATGCCAGCTGCGATTGAAGATAAAGTGGACAGCTAAGGCACCGGATAGTTAGGATCTAATCTTGTAATCTGTCTATATATAGAGTAGTCACGAATCATCTAATAAAGATCAAAGTTCAGTAAATCTCTGTTTTTCCTTATTCCTTTCATATATCACTGACATCAACTGCACTTTATAACTTGTTTACTCGAGTTCATAAGTTTTTTCTAACTGGAATAATGATTACAGAGACAACAGCAGAAAGCTGTATATTTTAGTATCAGTCTTTCTTGGATTATCATCAGGTACAGAGGTTAGCTTCAAAGAACACAGCCCTAAGAGTCAAACAATTTCTAACAAATCGTGGAAGAAGCATCATGCCCTCGAACAAGTTTAAAAAAGGACTTCAAAAACACCCTGAGTTCTCTCTTAATCTTCCTGCTTACTAGTACTAGTTTCCTTGTAGCTCTTGGACAACCATATCGCTGTTTCTCTAGGCGATACTTTCCCAGGACCAAACGGTTTCAGCAACACGTTCAGCTCATCGTACCTCTCGTCCAAAAGCAATCTTGCGCTGAATTCAAGAAGTCCTTCAAGTGCCTCAGCTCGTTGCCGATACGAGCTAGGGTCAAATCTCTGTCTTCTTGATGCACCTGAAGAAGCTCTGCTTGATGCTCCAGCAGTCGCGTTCTGATCAGACAAATCGCTTTTGGTTTCACGTTCTGGTTCCAGCGTGAACTTGTCCTTTGTGATTGAGCAGTCCAGTGGCGGCTCTGGAGGCGGGCTGTATGATCCTCTTGACGATCCTACTTTCTTCTTACGCACGACGGGGATGAAAGGCATTTCTTCGTATGAAGCTAGAGGGAACTTGATCGTGTCGATTCTTGGCGAGTTTACAGAGACATCTGGAGAGTTTAGCTGATGGAGTATACCGATACTCGGAGTGTAAAAAGTGTCTCTTGTTCCTTTAGAAGGTTTCTGTGAGACAGGCAAGGAGACTCTACGTATCGCTGGTTTCTGTCACATTGGAACGAAAATATAAACAAGACTGAATCAGCAGTTAGTAAGATAAAGAGCATTTAGATGAATCATCTTACCAGAGGACCACTCTTAGGCTGGTTTGATCTCACTGGCACATATTTCGAAGTGTTGGAAACCGCTGAAGTTTTGGAAACAGCGGGTCTACGAACAGCGACTCCAGCGTTGTCGTTGGCAGACAAATCCACTGGCGTGCGTCGGGTCAAATACGTGTGGAGGGGTTTAACAGAAGAGACGGAATCATCCTGGTCAACCACGAACTTGCTTGGACCAAAGCTTTTGCTTTTGCCAGAAGGACGCCTTCTCTGCTCAGGATAGCTACTTCTCCTTGTGGATTCAGGTTCTGGTAATTGGGATGACAATGTGTCGTGTCCTCGGTAGCTCAGCTTGAGAAGAACCTTTTGAACGTAGGGCTGAAGCAGTGGCAGTCTGAGAAGATCAGAAGCCTATACAGAAGAAGAGAAATGTTAAGAATCAGGTTTGTACAGCTCCGGGGTAAATGATCACAAATGGCAACAAAATTGTGCGTACGCTTGGTCTGAGTTCTGGATTCTTCCTGAGCATGCTTTTAACCAGACCTCGACTGGAGAAAGCAGGAAGGCAAATCATATGGAAGTTGTTGCGCGACTCAGAGTAAGTTCACGTTACAAATAAGAATCTATATAACTTACAAGCCAATAGTATATTGCACAGGAAGTGGAGCAACGATCGATCTGTTTATCCTGTTGATCAGCCCTTGCATGTCCTAAACGAAAGAAAGTTGTAACGAATATCAGAATATCATGAACATAAGAGAGAAGAAAATGATCTTGAAGGTGTGGATAGAGAAGAATTTACAAATGCTTTGAACGCTGGTTTCAGAGCCGTCATCTCATACATACAACATCCTGAAAAAAATTGTAAAGAAGAATAGACTCTGATTAGCATTTTTGTTATTCTAGAGAAAAGGTTAGTTTCTTAGGCATGGATGAGAAACTTGCCTAGCGACCAAATATCAGACTTTGAGCCGTATGGAATGTCAGCAAGAAGCTCAGGGCACATGTAGCTTGGCGTTCCAACCACCTTGATTTAAAACAAATCATTTCAGAGCCTAACACTAGAAACAAACCATTGAAGAAGTTTGAAATCTACACTTACTGAAGAAGCAAGGTCGTCTGATGTCAAGATCTTGGCTAGTCCGAAATCACCTGCAGAAGTCATTGAACTCAAGTTTTTTCAGACGATTTGGAAAAAGGATAGAGAATTGACATATTAGGTAAGCATCTTACCTAGACGTATATCGTGATCCTTTGTCAAGAATATGTTTGAACACTGAAATCAAACCAGTAGATTTTGTATTAGTATGATTCCAACACGGAGATTATTAATATTCATGGTTATGCTCGGAACCAGATATCACAACCAACCTTGACGTCGCGATGGAGAATATGACTGGCATGCAAGTATTCAAGAGCCATCAAGAGTTGTACCAGCCACTTGCAGAGTTTCTGAAAACAAAGCAAAAGGAGAGATTCAGAACTTTATGTACTAATAAATCTTTCAGAAAACAGACTTTAGATCAGATGTGTGTAACACCTACCTCTTCAGAGAATTCTACACCGTTTGCTTTCTTTATTGCTTCGGCCCTGTAATGCAGAGGAAACAATGCATCAGAAACCCCTTCAGAGTCAAGAACGGACAAGAAATTTCTGAGAAGGAAACAACAACTTACATGTCACCGCCTTTGCAATAGCCTATGACAATGCACACGTAACAGCCCTGAAAACACATACCAGAGAGTCGATTATGTACTTTTATATGTTACAAAATAAATATGTAATGAAGTAACATAGAGTCCTGAATAACGTACCTTTTCAACCCAAGAATCTTTATATTCCACGATAAATGGATTTCGTATCTTTGAGATCAATTCCATCTACAGAGAAATAACAATAAAAACTGTTAAGTCACAAAACCAAATCAGTGGCATTTCTTTTAAGGCATTTAACTACAAACTTACAAGCGCACACTCATATTCCAAGTAATCTAGTGGTTAGACTAAGATTGATCAATCTAATTAACAGTCTAATAGAACTTCATACTGCAGAACAAATACAATCCATAATAGCTATTGAAAAAAAGAGTTCCATTTCAAACAAATGAAGAGTCATCATAAAATCTCATGAAAGCAAATATATAAGTGTGGGTCTTTGAAACACATTGGGTTGGAGAAGAGACAAGAATCAACCTCTTGATGAGCAGATCTTCTTGTTCTACCAGTCTGCCTAGCTAACCGAATTTTCTTCAATACATACCTTCAGACATCAAATAACAACAAAAGAACAGAACATAACACAGAATCAATTTGCAGACAGAACAAAAGTCTCTTTCCAGTTTCCATTTAAAGTGATGACAAGTTCTTACAGTTTCTTCTCATGCTTATGCCTCACAAGAAGAGCTGACCCAAAGGACCCTTTCCCAATTTGCTCAAGAACCTCGTAATGCTCCATTGACAAGCTCCTAAAAAATATTATCTTCCTCTATAGAATCTGAAGCCAAATGAAGATAAGCAGAAACAGCAATGATCAGTTTTATCTCAACTCAAACCATGGTTGTTGTAAGCAAACACTAACCGTACCTTTCCGGACATAAAAAGCAGCCAAAAAAGTGAAAGAAAAAACTTAGTCAGCTAATAAAGTGAAACTCTACACGAATCTTCAACGATTTTTTTTTTTTAATTGTGAAAATCGCCTGCCGACCCACCAAACTAAATAAAGTCAAATTGACACGAAAATGAAATTTTTAGGGGTAGAGCTTAGAAAAGCAATGTATCCACATCATGAAAACCGACTCTTTCTATTAACACATGCCCAATTAACAAAAATAAAACCCTTCAAAATTGTTTTTTTTTTGTTTTGTCTTGTTAAAGCTCGAATCTTTATTGCAATAATTGGCGAAATTTCCGAATCATTTCTCCTCACATTTGCGGAAATGAAAGGAAAAAACAAAACCCATCAAGTGTTTAGGCCGATTAAACACCACAGACACGAAAAAATGAGTTCTTGAGCTCGAAACTGAGAGAGACAGAGAAGAGCAAACCTAAAAAAGCGTCGGTGAGTGATTGGATTTTGAGGAATGTGGTTGTGGCATTTTCCGAGAAGAAGCTACAAAACGGCACCGTTGCGGAGGAAGTAGCGACTGTGGAGATAAAAGGGCATCGGAAGCTGGGAAAGAAGCTGCTTCGCCATGAGACCTGCTTCTCTCTCTCTCTCTCTCTCACTGAGGAAAACGACAGAGCTACCGTGAGAGACGTAAATCGACTTTCTTATTTCTTTTTATAAATATTTCTGACACTCTATAGTGTCTATTAATTGTTTAATATAACACCGAAAATATTTTTGTGCAGTATAATAGTTTCTCAAATAATTGGTCTATTTATAATCTTCACAGGTAAACACTAGAGTACTAGACATTGCACTAGTGAAAAGAACGAAAAAAAAAAAACAAATAATGGAGATTTTTTGTTTTTTATTGGTCAACAAAACAAATTAGTTGATGTGTTGTCGCGGTGTGATTTAAATATATCTTTTTAATCGATATACAGTAAATCTAAGTGTAATCTAATATATTACAGAAATACAGTTCATTTACTTTAAGTACGCATTAACGAAAAAATATGTTTAAACTATTCATTTATCATAACACATACTTGTGAATTGTGATTTTAAAATATCAATCTACTGTATAGTAAGTGTTTAAGCTAGAATTGTCACTCATGTTTAGGCAAATCATGTCATAGTGAAATCTTGTTTTGTTTTTACCATCTCTCGGACCGATTCAAAAATATATGAACCTAGTTAAGCAGATGTCTTGATAACTCTCGATGTATGAGGTAACAATTAGCTTTTAGCATGTGTTCTTTGAATGCCGAAGTACCGATGAATGATCTGAATATCTGATAGTCTCAGGTGCAACATGCTTACTAACAACTGCCCATTCTTTAGTCAGGACTTCGACCTTGTAAGATACATCCATGTTCAGATTTTTACTTGCGTTAATTGGTTTGATTGATACTTTTTTATAAGGATAATAACCTAAACATGTCATTTTGGGAAAGAAGAAACACAAAAACACAACGGAGATGAGTATGAGTTCTGCAGATAAATTTACATATTCGCACATTTTAAGATTCACATATCTAACATATGATCCAAATGATAACAAATATATATGACAGTATTGAAGTGTTTCGGATTCGTGAAACTGTCTTCTCCATCTTAATTATGTAAAAATAAACGATATTTCTCTATATATTTTCCACACGAAAACCTAAATATTAACACATCACACCTAGAATCTCTTTACTTTGATCCAATGCAGCTCAATTGCCCTTCTATTATATGTGAAGTGTGAATTGTATCTCAAAATAGATTTTATACAGTAAAATTATTCGTGTCGACAAAAACCTTTCTATTCCTACTACTTGATGAATGGCAATTGGCAAAGTACAATTTTTTAAAAGAAAGAATATTTTTTTTAAATTATTCAAATGCATGTGAAAGAAATTATTATACCATTTGGTGAAATATTAGACAAATTATATATGGATTGATGTTTTGTTGTCTTGGTTATTCAGTTCTTGATTGTTTTAGCAGATAAAAAGAGGAAAAAATCATCAAGTTTTTTTTTGTTGTTGTTAAAAGAAGAAAACATCTAGTTCGTCTCTGGATAATATCCTTCTCGTCGGTCGTGCATTAAGAATAATTGTTTTTCTTTCTCATTCAAGTTTTGGTTAGGTGTGTCTATTACGTGTTGTGGATACGACTTTGATTCATATTTAATAAAATATTTCTACATATATCTCTAACAGCAACAGTGCCGTCTCTATCATTGAGCTTCGAGGTTCCTAATAAGTACTAGTATTCTATAAAAGAACAATTGACTACAGCTAAGTAATACAGTGTGTGTGCACTTTGAAGTGTGAACACATCTAGCTTATTAACTTTTGTTAAGTTCGATCTTGTGTATATGATGACATGTTCAAATTTGACAGGTTTAAGTGTTATTCGGATTTGAACTTGAAAAGAAAACATAACAAGAATTATCTTCATCTTTATCCTAAAAAACAATAATATTGTATATATGATTGACAATGAAAAATCAAATATTAGAAAACATACAACATCACATGTAAAACTAGACAAGAGTTTTTGTATTTTTTTGTCTAATACGTGTATTCTCTTTTGTTTTTGTTTTCCACATTAATCTGAACTAAAATGAGACATGATTAATATTTTTCTGAATTTTCATTTTGCTGATCCATCCCATTTTCTGATCTTTTTTTATTTTGGTAACATGTGGAATGGTAGAAATAAAACGGTAATTGGAATTTAACCATTAGTTTATTCATAGTTCAACTGAATTCCACTGTTTGTCGGTGCACGTGTACTGTCAAGTGTCAACCAAGTTAGTGAATATACGTTTCCACTGATGATGCATATTCATAACCAAAAATTGTGATCTTATAAATAAATAAAAAGCAGAAAAAACTGGAACTAAACTGACAATTGAACATTACTCTTTTCGGCAATTGAACATCATTTATTAGAACTCACGAAACCTGAAAACATTACTTTATTCGTCGTTGGCACCATCTGCAACTACATGCATGGCTGCAGGAATATCAAGATCACCGGATCCTACCCGGTTTTCCTCGGGTCGGGGTTCCAGATCTCCGGCTGACGTGGCGGTGGCGGTGGCACTGGTGGTGGTCCCAGTGGAGGGTTGGCTGTACAAAGCTGTAAGTTGGTGAAAATAAGGACAAGTCCTAGAGTCAAGTGGTCTCTTCTTGTTAACATCTTTTGTCTTCCTAAAATACTTGTTGATGTTTTCCCATTTCTCTTTGCATCTCTTGGCACTTCTCTTGTACCCAGTCTCCAACATTTTCTTGGATATTCTTTCCCACAAAGGAACTGCTTTTGAGGATGATGATAATGAGTTCCCATCTTTATGATGATCATCATCATTCGTGCTACTGATACCGCGTCTAATGTTGATAAGTGCCAACACTTCATCCCTAGGCCATCTCTTGCCAAGATCACTTTTTTCATCACTTTTGGGTGGTTTTTGGTTTTGGGTTTTGGTTTTTAGGGCTTTAGCTGAAATGGGTTCAAGTGATGTATGTTGAGTTAGGGTTTGAGATAATGGTGATGATGAAGTTTGAAACTTTCTCGTACTTTGGGTTTGTGGTAGAGGTAACAGAGATGAGTCCTGAGAAGGGCTTGGGCTTTGGACCTTATAACTACTACCATCGATATGATGCTCATGGTCTGTGAACTTGGATATGAAATTGATGATGTTGGTGTTTCTATCACTAGCCATGGCTTGTTCTTGTGCTCTAATCTCTACCTCTTTGTTGAGCCTCTCCATCTCTTGCTTCTTCCAAGCTTCCTCTCTCGCCATTTTCTCTTCTTCCTTTTTCACCATATCTTCTAGAAGCTTCTTATGCATCTCCTCTTGTTGGGCTATCATGTTCCTCACAAGACCCTCGCAAAACCCTTTCAACACACCAAACCTCTCCTTGTCTTTCTTTCTCTTCCTCTTCTTCTTGTCTCTTATGATCATCAACAAGCTTGAAGAAGATGATGACTTCGCATCACCTTCTGCGTTTCCAACTTTGACAGCATTATCAATGGAGTTTACTTTGTTTTCCATTGATGCTTCTTCTACTTGACCCTGGTGATCTCTTTTGTCATCCTCCAACAAGTCTTGTCCCGTAACCTCCACGTTTCCTTTTCCCTCCAGTGAGTCGTTCCTCTTGGTTTGGTTATCCCCAACTTCTGATGAGACATTCTCATCATCATGACCATGGTGATAAAACTCTTCAACCTCGCTAAATGTCCTATAACTTCCCTTGTTGTAATTGTTGATGTGATGATCATTAGTGTTGTTGTTACTATTGAAATATCTTCTCTCTTCTTCTTCGAATTTCTCTTTGCATTCTTGTGGACTCCTCTTAAACCCAACTTCTGCCAACTTTCTACAGCCATCATAAATTTCATAAACGACATGTAGCATCATTAACCATGCCCAATATACATACACGTATACCAGTATATAATTAATATACAAGTATATAGTAATCATTTGTATCCATTAGTTTCATCGTTCGATTATAAAAAGAAAATATCATAAATTTCACAAAATGCCAATTATGTATAAATACGTATTAATGGCCAATCATTAGTTAATATCAAAATTTAAACTCCCAAAATTGTTTCTTCGAAAGAAACAAGATCTAGTCTATCAAATCAAATTGCGTAACCTGAATCCCATTTATAATTAGGCGTTGAATTTTTAGTTTTATCAGACACATGTAACACTAAAGAGACTAATCTTTTAACAAAACAAAAAAAAACACTAAAGAGACTTATGTTCATGTCCGTATGCATATGTATATCTAAATTATACATATATAGAAGTTATATACATATGTGTGACTAGGTATTATACCTTGAGGTGTGCTCCCAAGTGAATTCAGGGAACCAGTTCTCCACCGTAGATCTGAACCTAAGAAGGGCAAGGACTTCATCACTACACCATGGATGATGATTATCACCACCATGATCCGTATGACTCATCCACTCGGAAGTGGCACCAGAATCTTTGATGTCATGGTGATGATGATGGTGATGATGGTGTATATCCAGGCTCAACATATGCTGGGCTTGATGGTTGGTGTAAGAGGAAGCGAATGAGACAGGAAAAGGGAGTGATCTTTCGGCCGCCGGTTGATGCGGCGGAAGCGGAGGAGGTGGCGGTGGAGATGCTACGAACCGGTGGATCTGCTCCGGTACTCCACCATCAAACATTTATTTTCTTTCTTCTTCCTCTTCTGTTTTTTTTTGTTTCACTTAGCTATTCACATCGAAATCTCTTTTTCTCTCTCTTTTTGGTCTCTCTTTTATATTGCTACTTTTTTTTAATTGTCTTGTCTTATAGGAAAAAATCTGAGGTTGATATTAATGAATAATTGTTGTTTATGTCATTTGATTAATGGCTTAACTATAGATTTTACTTTTAGTCTATATAGTTGATTATTAAAAATCTGTGTTGAATAGATTACAAAATTTGACATAAAAACTAATTATTATTGACGACAAAAAAAAAAAAAACTAATTATTATTTTTTCTGTTTTTATTCTAGTAACTTTAGCGAGAATATTCTAAACCATTATCGAATTATTTTGGCATATAGCTGCGAAACAAAACAATTGAGACTCCAAGGATAATTTGAATTCATGGTCCTGTTTTCTTTTTTCTTTCTGCTGAAAAAGTTTAGATGCTATACATTATACATGAAAAATGTCTACAAATATGTTCTCTGATTAAATCGGAATGTATATAAGAAGAATAACATATGTTTTGTTCTTATCGTTCCATATATTATTATACTATCTAGAAAAAATGAAATCACAAGATAACTATTTTACTCAAATTCTGCTTTATAGATAAACACCCGTAAACAATCCAAGTTTATTTATTTATATTATGGGTATTGCTTAATAATTGACTGACAGTGAGTGTTATTTCATATATATGAGGAAAAAGCATATTTTAGATTCAATTTAGAGAATGGCAAAGACAAAGACAATATTACTAAAAAGGCCAAACATCACCTCTCTCTCATTTATCACTGACATTTTGTCCAAATACAATAAAACGAATCATTTAGCCCATGATATAGCCACCCCATATGCTCAAACAAATTAAATGAAACCTAAGCATTTGGAGGAAAACAGTATAGTTGAATACCATACATATTTAGTAACATAATTTATAAAGCTGGTTCTTCAAATTCATCATTGTCTTTTGTCGTAGATTCCTATGATTGAAATGGGCATGAGCAAAATATTCAGTCCTTCTGTTTCTAAATAGGTGATGTAGATGCATGCTTATTATTAAAAAAACTATCCCTACACTTAAGTCATTTCTTATTTTATTATAAGAGTAAAAACATAAGAAAAATTACTAAAACATGAACTAATATGAAGTAGATGAAGTGATGAAATATATTTAAATGGAATCTTTTTCAGCTTATCTATTTCCAAAAATATCTACAGAGCACCGAAATTTTCGTTGATTTTTTTATAGAGAAATAAATTGTGCTTGTCTCATTTTTACATCAATTGTTCTTGTCTGTATTATGATACTTTACAAGAAAAATATATAGAATTTTGGAGGTACATTAGAATCCTATGCAGAGGCAGAAGCAGATGCAGATGATAGTGTAATAAACGGCAAGCGGGAATGGCAGGGCACGTGAATACATGCAGGAACTGGGGTCCTCTTTATTTATTATTATTTTTATTTTTATGACCCCATTTGTCTTTTAGGTTTTACTCATCTACTTCTGAGGTCCACCTATTTATGGTGCACCTTTCTTCTCTTGTCGCTATGTTGCGTCAGCAATCAGTACCTTTTCCATTGGATCATGGAATACTATTAGGACGAGGTACGTGCAGATTCTTGCTTTCCTTTCTTTTTCTTTTTCTAATGTTGTGGTTTTAACTTTTAGTCATATCTTTATTTGTTTTGTGCCTACTCACAAAGTCACAAGTGAAGCTATTTTACCCAAGCCCAAGCTATTTCATCATAACTCTGTTTATCGGTGATGCACACTGTTATCGACGACTTATCATGAATCCGCGAAGAAAACTCTTTTCAACCCTTTCTCGGATATCTCAAGCTTAAGGGATCGTCAAGTTTGCTCATATATGGGCACATGAGTTAGAGATAAGCCCATCAAGAAATGTGAATGGCGCGATAACCTATTGAAACAATTTAGTTATTGTGACTCCACTAAAGCCCATACCATAACCTTTGAGCTATATAAAGAAGAAGAAACATTTCCTCTGAAGCCCATTATTTGGTTTCGATTCGGATTCAAAATCCAGATAAAAAGAGTGTTCGAATAAAAAACCAGACCTTGATTCATAAATATTAAAGAACAGTAATAGATAAACATATTCTTGTATCCATCTTTCCAAAGATTGTTTGAGGTCACCATGACCACTCTGGCACTCTACCCCAACAAATGTTCTTACAGACCCACGAAGGTTCCAAAAGCATCATTTAAACCTTTTATAAACATTTATGTCCGACACATTTAATTTTTAAAAACCTTTGTTTCACCATTGAAATGTATAGTTTTGCTTGTCTCCAATGTAGGTATACCATGAAAGTTAGTTGAAATGCAACGTATATTCGATATTTTTCAACGACAACCCATATCAGCAATCCAGTATATTTTTAAAATTTGTCTTTCATCACTAATATTAAGGTTTAATACGGGGAGTGTTAATCGTATTATCGGTATATGCCTTTTAACTTATTTGTTCAAATCTATAAGTTGTATTTTCTCATGGATGTATATATTCGGATATTCCTTTTTTTTTTGCTTTATCTATGTATGCTAAACTTCATTTTGTCAGCTGTGGATGAATTTTCTTATAAGAAATTTTATTCTTAAACAAAAAAGATGATTCAATACATTAAAGTTCGTCGGTGCGACACATTGCAAGAAGATAAATGTTGTTGGAGACTAACCAAATTCCACGTGCTACATTGTTGGGTCCCTTGCGTACAAGTACATTAGAATAATAAATGGCACAAAATAAATTGGTAACTTTCATTTGCCGTAGACTTTGCATGAACATTTATGGTGATGTGAGTATATTTGGACACACAACTGCTACCAGTATTGATCCATATCTCCCGTGCATCATCAATGCAATCTCAACCAACTCTCATTTCAAGTCTTCTCATCTCTTCCATGTGTCTCGAAGACTTTTTCTTATTTCACACCAAACTAAAATGTTAAACATCATTTTCATAGTATTCTACTTCTTTATATATACGTGTTTCTGTTTTACTCATAGGCACACAACCCAATACACAGTTTCTTTCTCTATATCCTTTTAGTAATCTTCTTATTAAAAATACTTTTACAAAAAAAATGGGTATTGCCCGAGAGAGCCGGGTCGAGGTCAAGTCGATGCTAACTCAGGTATCTAGCAAGCCGTCTGGATCGGGTCGGGTACACCCGTTTACCGCCTTAGACAACGCCATGAGTCCCCACACAGTCCACGTCATCTTATACTACGCTCATAGTCCATTCGGATCCTTCGACGTCGAGTCGGTCCGGAACCCGTTATCGGAGCTCCTCTCCCTGTACCCGCCCGTTATTGGTCGGGTCACCAAAAACCCGGACGGCATCTGGGAGGTCAAGTGTAACGACGCGGGACTTCGAGTCTTGCAAGCCAAGGTTTGTGTTGGTATTGATGAATGGCTCAGATCAGCCGATGGACATGAGGAGCTTGATCTAACGGCTTGGGAAGACATGCCAGAAGATCCTAGTACTTGGTCGCCGTTTCGTCTACAGGTTAATTATTAAAAAAACCGTTAAAACTACAAAATATTTCATTCGATAACGTATTTTAACGCAACCTTTATTTAGTTTTTAAGTTTTTTTATATGTTAACAATTTTGGCAGATAAACGAATTTGAAGGAGGAGGAGTAGCTATAGGCCTGAGCTGCCCACACAGACAAGCAGACGCAACAACGTTAACTGTTCTGTTAAAGTCATGGACAGAAGCTCAACGCCATCAGTGCATCGTCCACCCTCCATCCCTCTCACCTCTACCATATAACCTTACGGATATTGACGCCGTTAAATCCGACGGTGACTCCTTCCCAGAACCCATTTCAACGAAAACAGCCACCGCCACGTTTAGATTCTCTGGCTCCGCTTTCAAGAGATGTCTTGACGAATACTCTATCTTCCCTAAAGCGTCGCCGTTCGATGTGTTTGCCGCTCTTTTCTGGACACGTGTCGCTCTGGTGAAGCGTAATACCGATCGAGTCTCCATATGTGTGGATTTCAGGAGACTGTTGCCCGAGCCGCTTCCTTACGGTTTCTTCGGAAACGCTTTGAACTTTTCGTCTCTGGAGATAAGTGACGTGGTTGATAAGGGGATTGGACACGTGGCACGTTCGATAAACGATCACGTTACGAGTTTAGACGTGGAGAAAATCCGGTCAGACCTAAACCGGACTAGGTCATACGGTCAAATTTACGGTAAAGATTTGACGATTGTGAACATGGAGCATATGATCGTGGGAGGAGAGCCGTTGATGTACGAGGCTGTGTTCGAGAACGGCGCGAGACCTGTGCACGTTAGTTACCGGATCCGAAACGAAGGCGGAGAAGGGGTGATCACGGTGATGCCATCGCCGGAGAAAGGGTTTGGGAGGACAGTTGCGGTAAGTTTGCCGGAGGAGGAGATGTCAAGGTTGCTTTCGGATCAAGAAATCCTCCGTTTGGAGCCAAAGATCATTCTAAGCGGTGTCAAGTGATTAATAAGAAGGATGTTTCGATCCAGGAGTGGTTTAGATAAGAATTGATTATTGAGGTTAAAATAATGGAGTTTAAGATTTTCATGAAATTATTATTTTACGATAGTTGATATTGTACTTTATCGCCGGGGGGCTCAAAACCATAAATTGTACTTTGTTTTTTTTTTCACGGATACCGACAGTCAACTTCACCAACCATAATACAAATCACAGGTACATGGACAATCTAGTTTTGACTATTTATTGATGCAATATTCCAATGAAAAGTACAATTTTGACAAAATTAAATAAATAGAAAACATACAGGACCATGAATATGTTTAGTTAGCTTAGCTCCATGCATTCTGTACATATTTGATATTATTGTGATTTACATGTGTTTAGTTTGCAAATACATAAATCTAAAACTGCATAATGAGATACTGGTTTTGTTGTATTGCCATTTGTACTTGTTTTTGCCTAATTTCTAGTAGTAGGTTTTCCTGTAAAATTTTGTTATTGACCTACAAAGTTTTTGGAAAATCATAGATATATAATAAAGGTAGCATAGTCGAGAGTATATTCACGTAAGTATATGAAATGTTTATTGGTAAAAAGTATATGAAATGTTATCAGAATTAGTTATAAGACTAGTAGAGTACCCGCACGTTTGTGCGGTGTGACGTTGTTGTTTTGTGTAGAAAATTTAAACCCTAAATCCGAACCCGACAAAAAACCCTAATCAAAAAATTTAAAAACCCAAACTTTTTTAATAGGTCTAAACATGAAAATCCGAAATCAAAAAAATCCCGAAAACCCTGACTGAACAAAAAAAATCTGGAAACTTTTTCACCCGGAACCCGACCCCAATACCTAATCAAAATTTTAAAATACTCAATTTTTTTAATATATCTAAACCCGAAAACCAGAAATCTAAAAAATCCGGAAAACCCTAAACTGAAAAAAAAAATTGAACCTAACCCGAACAGAAATTTTCAAAGAAACCCGAACAATTTCTATATCTCTATATATATCTCTATAAAATTATGTCTCAGATTTTCACCCAAACCCGAACTTGTCTATAAAAACCCGAAAATCCAAAAAGCATATTCTATTGATTTGGAATTATCGTTAGATTATGTTAAGTTTTTTTTTTGCAGATTTTTAAGAGATGGAAAACGGAAGTTTTCTAAACCATCGGTTTATTTTAAGTTATTATTCTTGTATCCAAACAATTTTTTCCATTTATTCTTCTATCCAAATAGATTTTTCTCTTATTCTTATATCCAAACAACTTTTGTTTCCATTTATTCTTCTATCCAAATAGATGTTTCTCTAATTCTTGTATCCAAACATTAGAATGTACTTCTCAATTAATAATATAAAGATAGTTATATTAGAAACTCTAGGAAAAGGAAAAAAGAAAACAAAAATTAGGAAAGGGCTTACGAAACCCACCAAAAGAGATGCTGGTATAAAATTGGGTCTCCCCCTCCAGCGGGATCAAAAAGCCCCATTTTGACTTGATAAACCCAAAATAGATATTTATTCTTAAAAGAAAACAAAATAAATTTCAGCTGTATTTATAACAAACTCCGAAGGCAAACCCTATTCCCTAGTAATCAGCTTGAACGTAGTACACACACACTGTATGACTTTTTCCTTTTACTCTTCTTTGCAACAAATCTATTTTTAAACAACAAATTTTGTCTCAAACCAAAGAGAACAAAATGGACGTCGAATCTTCTACGTCCCCATCCTCTTCACCATCTGTTCATCAAGAATCTAGAAACCAAGCTACTCAGAATATGCAGAAAGGAGGATGGAGAGCCATCAAGTACATTATCGGTTCGTACGTACTTTCTTGTATTTTTATTTATTTTTTTGGAGTTTAATTTATTCTCTTGGAATATTGATTTGTGTAAAAATTCCATTGGGTTGGTGAAGCAAACGAGTCGTTCGAGAAGCTGGCCTCGATGAGCTTAATAGGGAATCTATCGGTGTATCTCACGACAAAATACAATCTTGGTGGTGTATTCTTGGTGAACATCGTCAACATTTGGTTTGGTTCCTGCAACGTTCTTAGTCTCGCAGGTGCTTTTGTATCTGATGCTTACCTTGGAAGATTCTGGACACTTCTCCTCGGTTCCATCTGCTCTTTCGTCGTAATTTTTCCTTCCTCTCTTCATTCCAACATAGTTGTGTTACATTTTTAATTAGCTAACTAGAAAATGCAAAGATTCTTAAGTTAAATCTTATATTGTTTTTGATATCTATATATTGACAATAAATTATATTATGTTGAAAAACCTATACAAATATTGAAACTTATCAAAATATGGCATCTCAAACATTTGGAAGTTTGAGGTCATTGTTTTTATTTATTACAAGGAAGTCTTGGCCTTGATTGATATTTTCTTTGATAGGGAATGGGAATAATGGCTCTAACGGCGGGTCTTCCACGTTTAAGACCAGAAGCTTGCCACGATCCATCTAATTGTTCAAAGCCGCCCGCGCCATGGCAGCTAGCGGTTCTCTTTGGCAGTCTAGGTCTACTAGCCATTGGAGCAGGAGGAATCAGACCATGTAACATCGCATTTGGAGCGGATCAGTTCGATACAAACACTAAAAAAGGCAAAGCTCAGCTTGAAACTTTCTTTAACTGGTGGTACTTCTCCTTCACTGTGGCTCTAGTCATTGCACTAACAGGCGTCGTCTATATACAGTCTAACATCAGTTGGGTCATTGGTTTCGTGATCCCCACGGCTTGTCTTGCATTCTCTATCTCCATCTTCGTCATCGGTCAGCACACTTACATCTGTACAAAGCCTCAGGGAAGTGTCTTCGCAGACATGGTTAAGGTTGTTGTCGCTGCTTGTAAGAAACGTAAGGTGAAATCTGGAGAAGCTATATCGTTTTACGTAGGCCCTCCTGCTGATGGATCATCAACCACTTTGGTCCAACAAAAACACAGGTTTGTACAACATGTTGTAGTTAGTTACTTTCTATAGTTTATATCCTTCTTGTAAGCGAATCTAAAAACTTTTTTATATTAAACAAAACTTTACAAACTGTTTTTTTTTGTGAAATAAAAAGAGACACAATTTGTATGTTATAAATTTTTTTTTTCGTGTAATTGTGTTGGTAGTTCCATCGCTTAAATGCTATTGTATTTTACAACACGCAAACAAATCAATACACAACTTTTGGTACTTTTTTTTTTGGTTTTAAACTTTTGGTACTTTTATAAAAGTCTTTAACATTTTATGTTTTGGTGTGACAGGTTAAGGTTTTTTGACAAAGCATCGGTGATAACTGATCCAAACGAGTTAAACGAAGATGGTAAGGCGAAGAGCAACTGGAGATTATGCAGTGTCCAGCAGGTGAAAAACCTCAAATGCGTGACCGCGATTTTGCCGGTTTGGGTCACAGGAATTGCGTGTTTCATGCTGACTGACCAACAGAACATTTACGGGATCCTTCAAGCGATGCAGATGGAGAAAACGTTTGGACATAATTTCAAAGTCCCAGCAGGATGGATGAATCTTGTCTCCATGATCACTCTCGCTATATGGATCTCTCTATACGAGTGCGTCATCTTGCCAATAGCGAAACATATCACAGGACGCAAGAAACGGTTAACGATGAAGCAGAGGATAGAGATAGGTATCGTGATGGGGATCGCTTGCATGGCCGTCGCTGGTTTCATGGAGAAGCGGCGAAGAGCTTCCGCTCTGAGCAACGGTTCGTTTGTGTCGCCGGTTTCGATTGTAATGCTTCTTCCTCAGTTCGTGCTTGCGGGTTTGACGGAAGCGTTTTCGGCGGTGGCTCTGATGGAGTTTCTGACGGTTAAGATGCCTGAGCATATGAGAGCCGTGGCGGGAGCGATCTTCTTCTTGAGCTCGTCGATAGCGAGTTACATATGCACGCTTCTTATCAATGTGATCGATAGCGTGACACGCAAGGATGGGCATTCGTGGTTAGGAGATAGAGACTTGAACAAGAACAAGCTTGAGAACTATTTTTTCATTATAGGCGGCATTCAAGTAGCGAATCTGCTCTATTTTAGGTTCTTTGCTTCCAGGTTTGTCACTGAGACGGATAAGGATAATAGAGATTTTTAGATAAGAGGTTTGTCTTTTTCTTCTTTCTTTTACTAGTTAGAGAGAGGTTCAGTTCTTTTTTTCCATTTCCTGTGTACTGTGGCTTATATCCTCCGATAGTATCTTTTCAAAAGGGTTACTTATCCACATTATTGAAGATTTTTAAAAGTTTTTAGTAAAGTATTGTTATTACTTATTAGATTGATGATTTTAGAATGTCGTTCAAATTTTATTTTGTTCGATTTTTATAATTTTATTAAACTTAAGTATCATTAGGATTTACTTTTTTTACATTTTAAATCATTAAACACAACTTTCAATCAATTTTGGACTTTAAAAACCTCAAGCAACTTCACTATAAAAAATTCACAAATGTACCCTCATTGGATCTATATTTATAACGGGCCTGACACTATCTCAAGTGCTTGTCCCCATTTTATTATGAATCGGGTAAGAAGAAGATCCATTACAATTGACTGATTAGTTTTACACACAAGGTACACAACAACTCTTTGAAAATTACAGCAATAAAAACGGGTTTTAAAATTGTTATTGAACTAAGGGCTGCCAATAAAAGTGACTTGAATAATTGTTACTTGTATGCAAGGCTTTCCGGCAAAACTCGTGTAGTTTAACATTGCTGTAAACGCACTGTTCATTTTGCTTATATTGTCAATAAAACATTTTCAAGCAACTTCGTGTTGAAACCAGTTGAAAGAATCAGCGAGAGACAGGCAGTATGAGGATTTTATCTGAAATAAAAGATGCTGAAATTTTATCATGTTTTACGTATTAATCTGGTTACCAGAAAATACTGGCGCATTTAAAGAGGTTTCTGAAAAGTTGATTTTGTTACTTATTTCATTAGAATACTTAAACATAAATTGACATTTAAACGTGTTTGAGTTAGAGAGATTTCATAATGGAACAAATAACGGAATTTTTTGCTTATGATGTATATATAGGCACAGTCGAAAAACTTTTTGAATCTCTTAATTAGCGAACTAGTCATCAAATGAGGGTGGAATTCACATGGATCAGGAGCGGGTGTGGAGGCAAACGGTGACAGTCAGGTTTACATTATATGTTGTTTCAAATGTACTCTCAGTCACCGACTCACCGTATATCGTCTGGTTAATGTGTACTTGAGATAAAACTGAAGGATTTTATGTAGAAAATGAACATTACGCTAAAAAATCAAAGAGTTGACTTGAGAATGAAGGTATATTGTTGTCACAATTGCTAGTGTCCACTAAGTAGATTTATGTTGGCACTATTAAATATTGGAAAGAAAAAACACAGTTGTATATACACGATGAATTAGACATTAACGGTCTTATATATAGTTCAAGATAGTTTTTATATCAAGAATGACAATCCACGCTTAACTATGCACGTTTCCAATATTTCGTAAAATCATAATGCAAAACAGAAAGATTGCAAAAGAGTTCGGATAGAGGGACAAAGGGAGCGAGGGGTTTAATGATAATTCGAAGAAGTGAATGAACTGGTTCTCCAAAAAAAGAAACAAAAAAAAAGTGAATGAAATTGTTGGCAAAGGGGAATATTTATTACAAACGAAGATAAATTAAATCCGTCGTCATAAATATGTCAAACAGTGTTTGTATAGTTACGTGCATAATGGCGATTGACTCAACTTCAGTGTATGTACCTCAATGTCATTAAAAAAAAAATCATAACAAAACCTTACAATCATAAGTGTAGATACATCTTAGGCTCCAAAAAATATTTGTTTTTTTCTGGAGTACAAGCTAGTACAAATATACATGATGATGTGTATTTTTGCAATTATCTACACGACCACACTATATGATATGGAAATTGTAATTAAGGAAATGAAACTAATGGAACATGATTCCTCAGTAGGTCTAAAAGACTATAACTAGGTCTCCTCCCAAATCTGGGAAAAATAAGGTGAATGGTGACAAAAACCCAAAAGTAGAGTACAATTATTTTTATTTTATTTTTACGTAGTTGAATAATCAAATAAATAAAAATATTCAGCGTGGGTCCTCTCGATCTTATTGTGCACCGCGCCGGACAGAATTTACTCGATTCCACGTGCGATAGGCTTTCTAAACGGGGACCACTATCTGAGTAAGACAATCGACACGTGGCCAGCATCGGGTGCGTTTCTCTGATAATCATTTTAATCTAAACCGTTGGCTTTTGTGTAGTGTGTGAGAACATCGTACCAACCTGTCTGCTGTTTGGGAATTCCTATTTGTGTCTATCGAAGAGGTTTGATCTTCTCTGATACTCTCTCCGTTTTTTTTAGATAAATTTTCTAGTTTTTTCACACAGATTAAGAAAAAGTTGATTTTCAATCATTAATGCATAGATTTCTGCAATAAAACAACTTTTTATAATTTTAAACCAATAAAAATCCAACAAATATAATCATTGTATCTTGAAAACTGAAAAAGTGTATCAAAAAGGTAAAAATTTAATCTTTGTGAAACAACACATAATAGCTAGAAAATTCATTAAAAAAAACGAAGAGAGTATGTGAATTCTATTATCTTAGGATAATTCATGAGTCCATTTTTTATTACTTAAAGATTATATGTTTCTTTGTATGAGATTGCCTACTCTCTTGCATATCCCAAATGGCCAAAACTCGGTTTTCTTGTTTGTTTACTTTACTCTTTCACATATCCCAAATGGCCAAAACTCGGTTTAGTTTTCTTAGTTAACTATACATCACATTTTGTAAACACATTTTTTATGTTATTATGGATTTGTTTTATTGATTACGTCTTCTCCATCTGGCAAACCTATAAATAATTAAAGCTCCAAATTACGGAAGCCTCGTAACTTATATACTATATATTATATAATATAGCTAGAGAGATGTATATAAGATGATTAGATAAAGAATGTCAATATAACCAAATTTCTGTGTCTAATTAAATAAGAATTTGTCATCGAATGATTTTACAATAACATAATCTGTTTCATATTACAGTTAAGTATAAGTGTATAACATATATAGCATAGTGGTTTGTTCTCACCACATCTACATGGGCTCAAATCTAGGTATAATGCATGTTGACAATATAAAAAAACACCCCTAAAATATGGTAAAATAGTTAGAAACCACAAGAATTCTATAGCTCAGAGATATCAATACAACGATATACAGTATGGCGATATAACTTTAGTTTTGTTTTAACACTTTGTCTTCCCATTTCCACTCATTTGATTGGAATTCGTACCATAATCTCGAATGTTACGAAGAAGGCTAAGGTTGTGACTAGTGAATTTGGTAAAAAAATAAACATAGGAGAAGAAGAAAAGGAAAATAGAGGAAAGGGAAAACATGACCGATGAATTTGGGAGAATAATAAAAGGGGAAGAGGAAAAAAGTATTCAAATAAGAGGAAAGGGAAAATCAAACTGAATGTTAACTCTACTTCTTTTACTATTTTCCCTTTTTCAGCTGACAAATATTCTTACTTGTTATCGCTCGAATGGAGGAATAAGAGATGAACCGCAAGTAAAAGATTTACTAATTTACTTCCCTCTAACAATACCTTCTAGTCACAGTCTTAAAGTTTGCAAAGTCCTGGCCTCATGATTCCAGGTTTAGACGAAACTCTCTGATGCCGAGTGTATCTTAATAGTTAGCCATGGCTTCCTGGAAGCTTTTAATACTTAATTGTTGTAAGAATTTGTCCAAAAAGATCGTTGTAAGAAAATGTGTCTACTTGATTGAAAATCCATCGAATTTTATAGAATCAATAATTTATATGGTGGCTCTATGATAAGCGACCTCTAAAGTCAAAACAGTGAGTTCATATTCATGAGAAGGAAAACAATAGTAAGCATTTAATGAAAAAGCATGTCAGAGGGCTTTGCTCATCAAATTTTGGGACTGCAATACCTATCATTTATCTGAAATTAAGTAAGAAGCGCACATTTACAAAGTCGTTTTATTCACAATTATTATTGTCAACAAGACAACCACATATGTTTTGTTACTATGAGATGCGTGTTTATTAGTCTATATACATCACCCACAAAAGTAATTATCATATACATACACAAATAACAATCATATACAGTGTATATATCTGTTCTTTTATATACTGATTCATATATACATCATCGAAATCATATGCGCATATACGAATGTTTCCTAAATCCTCAAACATAATCGCATGGAAAGAAATGATTAATATATATCACCTAAAGTCTAGTTGAGTTGCATATATAAAGGTATCTCCACACTGATCATCATAAAACATACGAGCCCTAACTGTATCAGGAATCAAAATACTGATAATCTTTAAGCAGCTGGTGGTTAAATCTTTAATTAAATAAAACCACATATTCAAGAACATAACGAGTCAAAAACTTTATACTGATTAATAATAATGCTTTTATTTTTCATAAAGATCTACTACAGAAACAACATCATAAGTGGATAATGCAAAGAAGTTATTACATTAAACACATGGAGAAGCAAATACAATAATATTACATAAAAAGGGGAAATTTTATAATTATATATGAAATATGATCATACAGTTGCACCCGAGTAATTAGCCATCACAGACTGACCTTGCTGTGGTTGCTGCTGCTGCGGTTGCTGTTGCTGTTGAAGCGGCAGAGGCGGCTGCGATTGTGGTAGCGCTTGAGGTTTCGGCCTGTTGACTCTCTTCCTCTTCTTCTCGTAGCTAACGCCGCGAGCTTTGGCTTGGAAGTCTCTGACTTCACGAAGGTATAACCTGACGGCGCGTGAGCCAAAGGGGTTAGCCTCGGGAGGGCCACCGTTCTCCTCGTAAGCGGCTCGGAGGCGGCCGATGAGGGCGTCGAGTGAGCCCCAGGCTTGTCGGAGAGGGCAAGGGCATGGCGCGGGAGGGTTAGGGAGGCCGAAGAAGGCGCAGTTTTGGTGGTGAACCTTTGTTTTCCCGAACTGGTCAAGGTAGCGGAGGAACTCGAGAACGTGTGCGCCGCTACAGGACGGTAGAGAGAGCGGAGGACGGTGGTTCCGGAGGTATTGGCAGAAGGTGTTCCAGTCACGGCGTTTCTGGTTCTCGTACCGGCTTGAGGAAGGAGGTGTTAATTGTGTGGAGGTATTAGGGTTCTTGTTTGCTTGGTGAGAAGCGATCAAGTCCATGTTTTTTCTTGTTTTAGATTGGAAAGAAGAAGAAGATGGAATCTGATTTAGGGTTTTTGGTTTTTTATGGATCAAAGAGATTAGGGTTCTTTAGATCATTAATTAACCAAACAGAGTGAAAGGGAGAAAGAGGGACTTAGCTGATTGTCATGGTGAGATTGATACTAAAAAAGGGATAGATTCAACTTTGGCAGATCGAATCCAACAAGCGCATATGAGCAGAAATGGTGAGGCAAAGAGAGAATAATTAAGCTGATAGAAAAAAGGAGAGAGAGAGAAGTGAAGTTTGTTGCTCCTTATAGAAGATGAAAGAAAGGGATATATAAGTGGAAGATATCAAAAGTAGGATTCTTTTTTTCCTTTTTATTATTTTCTAGCTTTTCTACTTTGGGAGACGATGGAGAGACAATACACAAAATCACACTTGTCAAGAATCAAGAGTGTATGTAGCTTCAAGACTCAAGAGCTTTAAAAGAGAGAGAGAGAAGAAGGGGAGTGAGTGTTACACAGCGTAGAAAAGGGTAATTTCATAGAAGAAGAAAGAGAAAGAGAGAGTGACCAATGGGTCAAGTGGGGAACTTGAAGTTGAACATTGACATGACATGAGGAGGAAGAGTCTGTGTTCTTTGCCTGCAATTTGCAGCGACATTTTCCATTTTATTATTGTTTTTTCGTTACTTTATGCGTTGTTTCATTTATTTACTTTGTTTTCGCATTATTCTTGTTTCCTTCCTCTACTTTAATTTCTTACTTTGAAAACGACCTGATTAACATAAATATCTTCTATATTTTTCCGGAAATCATGGGTTATAAACTCAGAATAACACTTCTTTTAACCCATTCGTTAATTGATGATAAACAGTGGATTAAACTAAATTTCTGAGAGGGGAAAACAAATGCCTCCTTGTTGACAATTCAAGATGCTGTAGTGTCCATGCCCCAGTAATTAAATTTGTTTGCTACAAGTCGAGTAAAGTTTTATGTATACGGCTTCGTTTTAATGGTAAAAGCTGCCAGTTGAGCAGCGGTATTAGTAATTGTGTTAACTTCTGCAATAACTCCTACAGTAATTTTAGCACCAAACTCTTTGGACCCCTTTAGCTAAAATAAATAAATACTTGGACCAAAGTTAACAAGTACTTTTTATCTAAGAAAATCCTATAGATCGAGGATAACAAGTATACTTGAATCGCTACTGAACATACTGGATATTAGGATATAATACATGATTAGGTTAGGGTTTTAGAATTAATAATGCTAACTCCACTAAGCATTATTATGATCTTACAGTTACACACGGTAATAAAAATACTCGGTTCTTTACTTCTTTTGCTCAATATACACTGACAGAAAACTGGACGAAGAAATAGCTCCAGCAATTTGATCGATGAAAACGGATATGGACAGTTTTTGAAGGATCAGTGGGAGAGAGTTATTTTTCGCCAATATACAAGTCTAATCAGCCTTGGAATTTTGCATATTACTTCATCGATTACAAGCCAATAATATAGATAACATTTATGAAAGTGAAAGCTTAAGTCGACAAGTACCGCGTGAAAAGCTAAAACTCATGGCATGATTACTTAAAAATTCTAGAAGATTATTATAAGCTAGTTTTTTTATAAGATTTATTGTTTCTGTTGATATGATTATTGTTTTGTTAAGATCAGAGTTTTAACAAATTAGAAAAGGAACTAAGCAAGATTGAAGAAACAGCTTAACATATCCGCAGTACAGATAAAAGAGGCTTTGCATCTACAAAGATTAGAGACAAAGATCAAGGACATCGAATTATCAAGAGATAAGTACGGATAAATATAATAACACTAAAGTAAAAAAAATAAAACAAGGGTGCCTTTTACATGAGAGGTAGAGCCATGAAATTAGCGCGTGAGAAACTACGCGTTTGGAATCCATCTCTGTCCGTGGAAAGCAAAATGCAACAGTGTTATGATTTGACACCAACGTCACGTTTATTGGATTTGTGTATAACTCCGTTAATTTCGTTTCATGTATGTGATGTTTGGCTGAAGAGATATTTTCCAAAGTGTTACAAATTTTCTTTTTACTTTTGTACAAAACCATATATAGACGAGGTACTCGGTTAATTTCAGTTTAGTTTCGGTTTGAGAAAAAAAAAATTAAATCTTAGATATATGACTAATTTCTCCAAGAGTCTTTATACGAACAAAGTTATAAAGAATTTATCAAAATTTCATAACTATCTAACATCATCTAGTCTCATGATTAACCAAATCATCATAGTAAAAACTCATCTAGTCTCATGACTAACCAAATGTTTTGTATACTAAATTTGGAATTCAATTTATAGAAAATGTAAATTATTATATACCTAACGTAAGCACACGGGTCTATTAATTCTTTAATCAACCATTGGACAAATAAAAATTTCATACTCTTATTGTTAAGCCACTCGTGGTTTACTTAGAATACTAACCGTTGCATTTTACTATAGTACTATTACTTTCTTTCCACTTCTAACAGTGCCACTAATCTTCTACTATTATAACATACTCCGTATTTTACAGCTTTTATCACTAATCAGTCTTCCCCTAAATTATGAGAGACACATGATGTAAATATATTTTGATATAGAGCGAGAACATTGTACGGGGAACAGAGTTCCAGCATTTGGGAACTGAAGCCCTATCAATATCATACTGCCATGGATCTATAGGGTTAAACTTTTAAGACTTTTTTTGGGTTTAACCGAGATAATTTATTCTTTAATTATCATAAGTTTCAAAATTATAGTTCCCTTTTGTAGCAAAATACATCGTTCCATATTTGGCAAAAGAATATAGATCAGTCTTCACATGTCCTTATGATTCCCTTCCTCCCTTCTTGTGTGTCTCTCAGGGTGCATTCACTTGATTATTTCTTTATTAATTAATTACCTTACCTCTTTTTCTTTTGTTTATGTTAAAAATTTACCGACACTTTCCCAGCCAAAACAAAACTGTACACATATACCATATTCTATACATACATACGTACAGTGCATGTATGTACCCTCATTGAATGAGAATTATGTAAAAATATATTTAATTTTAATTATTTACAATGTAAGCATATAAATTATTTTCAAAATGAATGAAGCAACCAACAACGTACGACAGTTACATGAGAGCAGATACTACACGCAGGCGTATCCGCACGACAAATAAATGTTAGCACAATATCGTTGACCAAACATAAGGTAGCACAATATTGTAAAGACTTATAATTCATTCTAACCTTTTTTTTTTAAACAAAAAAAATCTTTGATCTTCCATTTTTTTGCTAATAGTTTATCTATAAAAAAAAATTCCACAAAAATGTTTTCGTCTATCAAATTTACCCATCAAAATCTAGTATCTGAAAACTTCTTCACAATTGATTTGTTCGTATTCCACATTTGTTTTAGTACGCTGCGTGTAATAAGTTAAGTGTTTACCTAAGGTATATTAATGTACTTAGCAATTTAAGTGTTAGATTTTGATAGGTAAACACGTTTTTGGATACCATTTTGTGAAAGTGCTAGATCCACAATTTTTTGATAGAAAGGACAGGTCGAATCCTGTTTTGCTAAAAGAGAGTTTAGTAAAGAGCGAGCTAAGTTCTTTCGATTTTCAGTTACCTGCTGCAGCTTTCGGTGCTTCGTATCTGAGTAGTAGGGTTTGCAAACATATATTGGGTTCGAGAATCTGTAAAATTAGCGCACAGATAGGCATCGTTGTCCTCCTTTTGTTACAAGATATCAATTAAGTAGACCAAGAAACTTATTGCCATTAAAGACTGCTAGCTTCTTCTGGATGTTTTGCAAGCAATCCTCCTCTTAGCAAGACGAAACATATGCATACGAAAATTATACTACTTTACAAAATTAAGTACTAGATGGCAACACTGGCTTTGAATGGAGTGACCGAACAAATGCAGGAGAGAGGCAGTCGGAAACAAATGCAGAGTGATCTGGATTTAATTGCCAATCACCAGTTTTATTACAGATTAGAAACAAATGCAGAAATAATAAATGATTTGCATACAATCAAAACCCTTTGTAATTTTTGATCTGCATTCAAAAGGGAGAAATGTGTTAAAAAACCACATGATCACGTACAGATCAACTTTTTTTTGTTTTTTTTTTTTTTCTCTTAATTTAAGTATTAATTGCTATATAAAGGTGCTATTATAATTAATATTTAAAGCATTTTCATTCTAAAATCTCTTAAATCACTAACATATTATATAACTAAAATACCCAAATGAAATTATATATCTTTAATATATTATAAAATATCAATTCAAAATTATATTTAGTTAACAGTCATATTTATAATATATAAATTATTATAATGAATTCATTAGTATTATAGATTTATATCAATGATATGGAGAAAGAGGTATTATAGCAAACATTATAAAAAAAAATTGTAAATCTACTATAGACAAATAAAATACTTGATTATAATATTTTCAGTATGTATTAAGTATGGGGTTCGGATTATTAGGTCGAATTCTGATTGGATATTTTGGGTTTTGGCTAATTATAAATTTTGTAACGAATTTGGTTAAGTTCTTTTCGAGTTTGGGTTTTACTGGATGTACTTTCGATTCGGAACCAATTCATTTACTTTATCATCAAATATATATGGTAAGTAACCGAAATAGTTATTTGAAAATCTGGATTTCTTTTGAAATAACTAAAAAATCAGCATAAAAATATGAAAGTAACTGAAAGTATAAAGTAAATAATCTGAGAAAGTAATTGAAATTACTTAATAATAATAAAATAATATGAGAAAAGTAATCAAAGGTACTTGCAAATTTATTAGGGAATATATATTGTAATCAAATATAATATATGTATTATAATAATTATATTTCTTGCATATATAACTGTATTTGCTTATTATAGAATTTTATTTGTATTACTTTTATCTTGTTTCACAATTCAAGAAAAAATAAAATTTGTTAGATTTATTTTATCTGTTACATATGTTTGATATGCATTTGTTCTGTATCCAGATTATGATCTGTATTTGTTCCGCTTAATCTGGATTTACTGTTTGATCTGCATTTTTTGATCTGTGTCACCATTCGAAGCCACTATCTTTCCATCAGATGGTGAAAATAATTATAATTTTCATGCCAATTAAATCTTCATGGTTTACTTCTTAATGATACACCAAAAAGCAGAGCAAAAGAGTATATATCCACACTAATTTGCTAAACATGTCTAATCTTACTGTTTAGAGAGTTTTGAGGTTTATAACAAAAACAAATGTTGAAAATGAGAATCAAACATTAAAACAGCAATCTACTACTACTATCAGTTTATCACTCATTTTACGACCGGTGAATTTTGTTTTAAATAGTTTAGTTATGAGTAAAAAGGTGGCGGGAAAAGAAATATCGAGAAAGGAATATGCGTTAACCAAACCGGTTTAAATCCGGTTCAAAATCTGTTTTCTTTCTTTTCGGGCCTTATCACATTTTTGACGAAGATGATGATGATAAGGCAATTCTATCGACCATCATCGTCTTCACACTCCCTCTCTCTCACCACTCACACCACCATGCTTTCTCTCACGGCGACCACTCTCAAATCCTCAATCTTCTCTCCTTTCAGAGCCACCCATGGATTATCCTCTCACTCCATTACCCGACCCGTTAATCCGAAACAGTTCACCATCAACGCCTCCCTGATACCCGCTTCCAGCCGACAAGCCCCGGCCAAGCAACAGCTCTACCAGCCTTTCCGTCCTCCTCCGTCTCCGATTCCTCCCAAATTTCGATCCCTCGACGCCGCCGGAAAAATCGAAGTCCTCGCCGATCGATTGGGTCTCTGGTTCGAATACGCTCCACTCATTTCCTCCCTCTACACCGAAGGCTTCACTCCTCCCACAATCGAGGAGCTCACCGGAATCTCCGGCGTCGAACAGAATTGCCTCATCGTCGGCGCACAGGTCCGCGACTCTCTGGTCCAATCCGGCGCCAATCCGGAGCTGATCGCCGCGTTCGACACCGGAGGCGCCGAGCTTCTCTACGAGATCCGTCTCCTCAGCGCAGTCCAGCGTATCGCCGCCGCTGAATACATCGTCGAGAAGGGATTCGATACTAAAGGAGCTCAAGATCTCGCGCGAGCGATTAAGGATTATCCTCACCGTCGTGGAGACGTTGGGTTTGGAGATTTCGATTACTATTTACCAGGAGATTGTCTCGCCTTCATGCTTTACAGGAAAAGCAGAGAACACAAAACGACGTCGGAGCTTAGAACCACATTGCTTGAACAAGCTCTTGACGTGGCTGTAACAGAGAAGGCCAAGAAGGCTGTGAGTCGGGAGCTACATGGAGAGACTAAGGAGGAGAGAGCGAAAGAAGAGGAAATCAAAATCATTCGTGTTCCTGTGGTGAGGTTGAGGTTTGGAGAAGTAGCGGGAGCGAGTTCTGTTGTTGTTTTACCTGTTTGCAGAGCGGAGGAAGGAGAAGAGATGGTGAACGAAGCTCCGATGGAGTTTGAAGCAGGAGGAGAGTTTGGTGTGGTGGAAGCTGAGAAAGAATGGAGTCGATGGGTGGTTTTACCGGGTTGGGATCCGGTGGTGGCGGTTAGGAAAGGGGGAGTGGCGGTTTCGTTTAGAGATGATAGGAAAATGTTGCCGTGGAACGGGAAAGGAGAAGGGATCATGGTTGTGATGGATAGAGAGAAGAAGACGGTGGAAGCTGAAGATGGATACTATCTGGTTGTGACTGAAAGTGGGATGAAAATGGATAGAGGATCGGTGTTGAAGGAGAGAGGAGTGGAAGAGAGTTTAGGGACGGTTGTTTTGGTAGTGAGGCCGCCGAGAGATGACGATGATGATTTTCAGATAAATGATGAAGATTGGGATTAGAAAAAATATCATTACAGAAAGAATAATAGCTACTTAGTAACTTCCATGAAACAATACTCATGTTTTTGGCAAATATGTAATTCTTGGTTTGATGGAGTGTTTCTAGCTACCTCAATTGGCTTTTACAGGCTCTTTTTAAGTATGAGTCTGCTCCAAAATACTCACCATAATTTTGCATGAGCTACATTTTGTGCAGCTAAGAAAAATGTGTAAGGAGTAGGTGATCATATTGCAGCTTCTAAAAGCCAATCGTGCAACACTACAATAGAACAAAACATTGAAGTAGCAGTTGAATAAGATTGTTCCGCAAAGATCCAGAAAACCAAGAAGTATCGTAAATACTTTACAATTACAGACACCTATGCATCTAACTAGTAAACTAACGTTAGGCAAGAAATGCATCCAATCAAAGCTTTAAAACTAGTCTCAGAAGATCGTTTGTGATACATGCATCAAAAAGTGACATTGCAATCTTTCTGACCTCTAAGTATTTACTTCACGAAACAGAACAGACGCAGTAGAATGTTACTGGGAAGGACCAAACGCTGAGAACTTGGCCTGTCAAATCAAAAGGTGGAGAGATGAGATTTTTCAGATTATTCATAGTTCTGAAACCAAAAAAGACAGAACAGACATATCTGCCTTCCTCGAAACATTTCACTAGCTGGATTAGCAGTCATGGCTGATACAAGCATTAGCTGGTGCGAAGTTTCTCACACGATCGATAAGTGCAGAAAGCTCTTGGTTAGCGTAATCAAGCCGATCATTTGAGACCATAGACTCCGTTAGCAGAGTTTCCGTGAGTGAATGAAACGTTTGAGCAGAGTCATCATCACCAATGCCCTGGCCGTTTTGATTATCACCACTAACAATGGGACTTTCCTGTCTCCACCGTACCAGAAAGTACTGGTCCGGTATATGAAAACAGTTCTTCACAGCCAGCACCCGAAGCGAATGCCTGCACAATATCCCCGAATGCTGGAACTCCTTGCACGAACAATGAATCTCCTCGCTTTCCGGATTCCAGTACACACAACACTCCCCTTCCATTTTCTTAAAATGGTGTACGATGTATGGACCATTGGCCATCTCAGCCACCGCGTACTGAACAGACAACACCATCTCGCTCTGCAATACGCTGAAGGCATAAGGCGTCAGAACCCCTCTCGCGTGATGTTCCATAGGCATACATGTTTTCATGCTCGGATATGGCGGGATTTGCTTGGCTAGACTCGCAGCGGCACTGACCTCTTCAAGTAATCCTTGCATGCACGTCTGTCCAGCGACGATTCTTTTCAAGAAAGAATCTATAGAGAGGTTAAACTCAGCAGTCATAGTCTGAGCTACGAAATGTTCTCTAGTGTAACAAGGTGACCATGACACTCTGCACGAGTAAAGCAAAGCCGCGTGCCTATCTGGAACAAGGCCAAACCGAGTGACAAAGAGATTCCACTGCTGCTCAAACTCATCCACGTTCCCTACCCGGCATAGCATCTCAAATCCAGCTCTAAACTCATCATAGTGCGACCCAAGAGTCTGAGAAAACCAGCTCGCTAGTTTCGAGAGTACATGCCACATCGATATCAAATGGTTGGTATTTGGCAGCTCCCTCGCGATAGCATCTTTAAGTCCTGTATCTATATCCGTCAAGATTGTCTGAGGATGTCGTCCCCTCATGAAACGAACAAAGGTCTGTCCAAAACAAGAAAAACAAGTAGAGCATGAACACAACATATATATATCTACATATATGTACTCTTCTTGAATGCACAAACCTGTAACGCCCATGTGAAAGAACGAAGGCTCTCTTCCTGCAGCAGCACACACCCCAAAAGAATCGCCTTGCCATTGTTGTCTATACCAAAAAACAACCCAAGAAGCAAACCATAAGTGATTGACCGATACGTGGTGTCGAATACAACCACATCCCCAAATACAGAGTAAGCCTGAACAGAGTCCCCATAAGCCCAAGCAAGGTTCTCAACTTTCTGGTTCTCATCTGAAGTACAGTCGTAAGCAAAATCCATATCTCTCTCAGCCAAGGCTTTACAAGACTCCAAAAGCTCAAGCAAGTCCGTCTCTCGCTTCTCAGTAAGGAAAGCATCGTTCTCCTGAACAGTCTTCTTGCAAGCCCTAACAAAGTTCCTAACATCCTTCTCTATAAAAGGCAATTGCCCAGCCTGAACACCTTTTTCAAGCTCCAGCAACTTCACAATCCGATTCACCGGAAATCCAGCTTTCGACAGCAGAAGAATCCGATCCTGATCAGCTTGCTGGATCTTCCGATACGCAGGGAGCATCCTCACTTGGTCATCTTCCAGAAGCTCATGGTTATGAACATTGCTGAATTGCGAAACGTACCACTGAGTCGCACCATCAACGATCTCTTTAGTCAGATACAGCTTTGCGTCGCATCCACATCGCACGGACTTGCGTTCGCGAGGGTGCTCCACATTGGCTTTCTTCCTCGGCTGATTGAAACCGGAACGGTAGCAAACGAAATCTCTCCGATAGACTCCTAAATTCTGGGATTCCGTGGAGCGTGCTTTGCGAATCGAGAAACCGCTCTTCCTAGCGAACGTGATGTAGTATTCAAATGCCTCGTCGTCGGTTCTGAATATTTGACCGACGTAAGGCATGAACACGGAATCGTACGGTGATGATGATGATGGTGTTGTTGTTGCTGTTGTTTCCATCTCGCTTTTAGTTACCTGGTTGTAGCTTGAGTCGTCTCCTTCGACTCTAATGTAGCACTTCCAATCACCACAGGGACACTGCTGGCGCCGAATCCAGATGTTGTTCAACGACTTCAACGCCATGACCAGTGGGAAACTTTCTCGACGATATGGATTAGAAGAAGAGACACATCGGAATCTTAACAAATTGAGCTAATTCAGAGACCCTAGGGTTCAAACTCTGCTAGCGTCTCCCCGGAAAAGGATCTGGGCTTCTGCTTGCTTCTCAGATTACTCTACCAAACGACGATCAATCACTTGTGGCAGGAGAGGAACAATCGGTAAGGAGAATCGAAAAATCCCTAAGGAATCGGATTTCTACAGCTAGATTTCTGGGTGATACAACACTCTCTGCGTCTGGTTTCGAACTCTCGAACTCTCTCTGGGTTTTGGCTCTCACAATTTGGGGATTTCTATTCCTTTTTTGTTGACTTTTTCTTTTTCAATTTAATCGATTCCCCCTTTGAAAAATGGGTAAAAGGTAAAAACAAAATTACACGGAAACAAACAAATGTTAAAACATGTTTTTTTTTTTTTTTTGTTCAAAATGTTAAAACATGTTAAAAAGTTAAATTACACTACCTCATTTGACCATTTAAACTGCTTTTTATAACAGTGACAAACATACACTACTTCGGACTTAGAAAATCTTTTGCAACAAATAAAAAAGAACACTTTCACTTAAAAGCCAATTTTATTAAACAAATTGTCTATATTCCTTTCTAAAATGAGCAATTTCTTTGAGAAACGAAATAAAAACCAAGAAACGAATTATAGGAAGAAAAAGAAACAAAAAAAAAGGTGAAATGAAAAACAGAATCCAGAAAAGGGCGTGAAGTCATCATAATATTACACAGAACCAAGAACAAAAGCATCACTGTCGTCTCTGCCTCTCTTTCTCTCTGCCTTTGCAAATGAAAAAAAAAATCCTTCAGAAATTATATGATGATGATAAGTCCACTCTCACTTTGATTCATCCTCAACTTCAGTTTTCGATCTAAAAACCTCTGCACACTAATCTGCCATTTACTCGTAATCTCCATTTTCTGATGACCCATTTCCTCTCATTCCTGCTCAACACAAAGCAGAAACAAAAACAGTCTTAAGCATTGATTTACCAAATCTCCATAAACCAAAGATGAAGTTTTTTGTTACCTGACAAATCATACCCAGTCCCTCCCCATTCAGAAGGCCGGGCGTGTGTCATGTGCATGCCTTGAGGTGGTTGCATCATGAAATGACCTCCACCACCTAATGCATTGCTACTCATACTATGATGCTCATCGTTTGGGTTTCTTCCGGAAGATTCCATTCCAGAATGGAAGCCAATCAAAGATTCTGTGCCAGGTGGAGAAGGCAACATGTTTCCACTTCCTGAAGCATCATCCCCTCCTTTCACACCATTTCTTCCATCCTTCTTTCTCTCTAGCTGAAATGTACCAAGAATCACCTGTAGGGCAAACCAAAGTCAGAACCAGAGACGTGACAAATGATCAAAAACTCCATTTCGAAATTCATTTGTGGCATTAGTTTAGTTGTATGGAAGGAAGCAACGTGTGAGACTCTACATTCACATGTGAAGTTAAACTACAAGACAAGAGGAGAGATACCTGAACTGGACCAGCAGCCTTTAGGAGACCCCCAACTCCTCCGCCGAAAATCTGACCATCTGAACTAGATAAACAAACGCTAAGGCCGCCAGTTTTACCACCATGCTCGCCCCGAATATAAGATCCACTAAGTGAGAGGATTTCGTACTGACCCTGAATACAAGTTTGCAATTCTAAAGCAAGTTGGTGATTGATCATATGCAACTCTCAAGCATGTATGTCAAGAAGCACGCAAGATTCTTTAGCTGTAAAGGAAGTTTCTTTGCTACAAAACAGATATCTACCGCTCAAACACATATTCTACATTTGTACTTGATACAAGGGTTCTGAAATTAAACAGTTCCCATAAGAAACCAAATTCATAGGCTCTAAATTCTAATTCAACATCAGCTCACAGAAAAGAGAAGAAAAAATGTTTCAGGTCCTTTCTTCCAGAGTAAACTAGATAGCCCTTTCTAATTCCAAACTGTTAAATCTTCTTATACGGAGCCAATTCAAGGACTAGTTAAGAGGGAACAGATAGCAACAACAAGGGAATCACCTCATAAGATACACTGGTTCCTGATGCGAGGTGAGACAAGGATGCGTTGGAGATTGTGCCAGATGCAGAAAGAATGCATAACTCATGCTTGCTTTGCTCAGCGAAAAGGATAATTTTCTGAGCCACATCCTATCAAATTAATACCGCAAAGCACATAAGAAGAAAGAAGAGAACACCCAGTGGACGAGCTCTATAGCAAACCCGATTTCAACTGATGCTAGATCAAGTCTAAACCAAAATATTTCCAGCTTTACCCAAAGAAAGCCTTCAAAGTAGTAACATAGACAAATACTCAAATACTCACCTCACCAGGAGTTATATTAACAACGTGTGGAGTAAAACTTTGCCCAGTTTTCCCTGCAACGAGAGAACATTTACGTGAAGCTCAAAAATTGAAAACGGCAAGAGGAGTAAAATACACTAAAAGGTGAAACTGGTGAATTATTGATCTCATAAACTGATTTGAATCTTTAGAAAGAACGCAGCAGCCATGTCAAAACAGAATAGTTCAACCAAAGACTAGATCATTGCTATCGCAAGATGTAGATGATTAGTAATGCCACAAGTTTTAAAGAAAACAAAGGCAATCGATCACAAAGACAAGTTCCAGAAAAATGATGCAATATTAGAAACACGAGTCTATCCGTTCTTCAAAAAAAGTCTTTGCTCCAAAACATCACACATTTGAAAGCACAGAGAGTGTCTATGGAAAATAAGAGCATGAGAGTTACATATAAATACCAAAACTGAGAATTTTCGGTTCATCTCCAAATGGAAATATACAGTAAACGAAACAAGATACGTACAGCCGGATTCGATAAATTAGCACCAATCAGCAATGGCATAATTCACATAAAAATCGAGAATTTACGATTCCGGATCAAATTTTAGCAAGAAAATTCAATACTTTGGATCAAATTTTTCACCAACTGGATGAGAAAGCGAAAAGGGTTTTGTATTCCCAAGCGAAAGAGAGTGAGTTACGCACCGACGGAGCCCAAAATGGATTTTCTGGACCCGGATTTAGGCAGAGGCGAAACGCCGGCGGCAGCAGCAGCGGCGGCTTGCTCTCTCCTCTCTCGAGCAGAGGAATTGCTAGCAGAAGACGCCAATTTCTTAGCCGCCAAGGCTTGCGCCGGCGTCTCGTACTTCCTCGGACGCCCTCTCTTTCTCTTGACCGGATCAATCGGAACCGTCACAGCCGAAGACGGCACCGAGTGAGGGTAAACCGATAGAGAGGGGGACCCATCGTTCGGTGGCTGTGGCAAATTCCCATTGTTGGAGGAAGGAATCGAGTTTCCGGCGGAAGTGGAAGAGGGTGCGGCGGAGACGGTGGCGGGATTGTGGTGGGGGAGGTGATGGAAAGGATGGTAGTAAGGAGAAGTGAGAGGATGATGCTGCTGCTCTTGGTGGTGGTGCCTTTCGTTGGGTTCCATTCCTTTTTAGATAGAGAGCAAATAAAAATTGTATTTTTTTTTTCTCTTAATTTCTTTTTCTTTTAGTTTCTTTTAGGGTTTTATGGCTTTACGGATTTCAATTTCTTTTTTTTCGCCTCATCTTTTATATCGTGTTGTCGTCGTCTGGGATTTCGATGTGTTTTCAGCCGTCGGATCAAACTTTTGACTTCGGATTCTTGACTTTTGGGCTCTGCCGATGCTTTTTTTGTTCATTTTGGATTTTTATTAAACCGATGTCTTTATATCTTCTTTTTAATTTTGGCCAGACCCTCTCTTCTCCTTTATATGTCTATCTATTTTTGCATGTTCGACTAGGCCTACCACCTACGGGATTGGGCATTCGTTTTTTTTTTAGTTCAGATTGGTTCAGTTCGATACCTTTGAATATAAATTATGGACGTTGGAGATACTAAATATTTGTGAGCTGATTGATGGTACTAACCATTCTTCTAATGATTTGAATCATCGGTAGTAATTGATTATAAATCAATGGTCTTCTATTGGTAATTTGTTCGGATTTCTTCTTTTGGTAATACCTACGATTTTTTACATATCGGTTGGGTCTTTCTTATTGAAAAATCTTGATGGTTTTCACCAAATACTGTTTATAAATTATTTCCAAAGGATGTAAACGACTATGTAAATTATATTTAGCATACAATGTATATGAATTTTTTTAAATTGAATCAGTATACAGAAGAATCTACTTGAAGCAACAACAAAAAAGTTTGAAAATGATTGACCGGACGAAAATGAGTTTTAGAGGACTATAGGAGATACAGACAGCTTGAATAGGGTAATATCAAAATAGGATTAAGTCATTCTTCTCTTGTTAATGTATTTTCTGATACAGTGTGAATATGTGATCAACTATGGTAAGGCTTTTTTAACTCTTAATGGGTTTAGAAGTCATGGCTCCAAAGAAATAGAGTCGAGACATAATGAGAAAACAGCAAGAACAACCAAGAGCGTTAATATGCAATGTAAGGAAACTAAAGGACAAACCGGAGAGGGGTGATGAAACCAGTCAGAAAAGAGTATCCAAGTGTAATGGAAAAAAGGTTGTAAAAGAAGGTGATTCTAAACAAACAATGTGTATAGATGTAAATAAAATCAGTCCATTGTAAGTTCTAAGATTTTTATTATCATTGGTAGTCAAACCAACAACTACAAATGCAACAATGAGAAATGATGATCAAGTCTTTGATATTGACATAACTTTTTTTTAGTATAGCTGTATAGGCGCTCGAGACTAGAGACTATGGGGTAATAGGATTTTCAAGATTTTGAATAAGATGATTTTTATAGTTTTGTGACATTTTGAACAAATTCCTTTGCTTTTGATATTCTTCTTTCTTTTCGTTTTGAATTAACCACGCTTATTTTGTTGTTCTGTCTACATATTTTGCATTGATTTTTCATTTTTGTTATGCACTAATATATATGTGTGCATAATTGTCTATAGTCTATATTCATTTACTATCACTCACCAATAAAATATAAATTATCACTACCAAACATATATACAAGTACAAGTGGATGAAGGTATTTAATGTTAATTCAACAACTATGTTTGCTTGACCAAGTCATATTTTTCATTTAAAATTGGGTCTTTGGCTTTTCGGAACAGTGTGAAAGGCAGAGACGGAGTCCAAACCAAGTGGAGTTTCACAAATTATTATACTTTTGCAGCCATTTCTTGTAAGAAAATCTTGTTAGGTTTAAGTCAATTTCCTTAGCGCTACAGATTTGACTTCCTTGGCAATTTATTCTTTTAACAAAGAAGTTTGTGATCTTAGATCTGTAATTTTTGTGCACATATAATTAATCGTTGGTAATACCTCTATGTGGCGTAGATCATCCATCTCAAAAGTTTATTCCAAAGGTTTAAGTTTACTTTGGCATGACCAAACTTTTCTTGTCACCAATTTACATTCACTTGGTAACTTTTTGTTTTTATTTTGTTTAAAACGTTAAAACCATTTCGTTAAAAGGTCTAAAAAATGTCCGCTCACAAATTTTGTTGCTGCCACTGAGGGTAAAAAGAATGCTTGCAAGAAATGAAAAGCTAAAAAAGACAAAACATTTGGTTCACATAATAGACTAGTTTACCCAATCCTTAAAACAAAAGCGCTAGTTTAATAATGTTGTATTCTATTTTGCTCGGTCAAGTTTGGATAAAAGTCAAAGCGTTTGCGCCAAAACAAGCGAGTAGAATGATTGACAGCTACTCAATAATATTATCATATATGCAAGTGTTTGATAATGGACCGTGCTTATAAGTGCGCACATCAAACACAAAGACCTCAAAGCACGATTCTGGAGAAGGAAAACAAAAACAAAACCACAAAGACAAAACAAGAGCGAGAGAGAGAGAGAGAGGATGGAGAGACAGTTACATGAGACCGTGGGCGTGGAGGCTGCTTACGTTGAACGAGGCATCGGAAAACATGACACGTCTCCGGGAAACGAGAAGGAAAAATCCCATAAACATAGGGGAATATTTCACCTCCACCATCACTCAAAAGATGAGAAAGAGGAAGACAAGAAGAAAGATGGATCAAAGAGAGAGAAGATAGCTGCAGCAATGGTTGGTCTCGGAGCCACCCTCGCGAAGATTAAGCATAAGAGCAGCGGAGGCGGTGGAAAAGGGGGACAAGGAGGAGGAGCAGAGGAACAAGAAGAAGGCGAAGAAGGAGAAGAGGAAGAGGAGGAAGAAGACGAAGGAGACGATGGTGGGGACGAAGAAGAGGGAGGCAAGTTTAGTGCTTTCATTACGATGATCGCTGAAGCCTTTGAAGAGTAACAATCTATTTTATGATCACCTTGCATTTGTTGTAATTTTCTAATTTTTCTTTTAAACTTGCTATCAAATTTTAGCATTTTTAATCTTTCTCTTCTGTGGAAACTTTGAAATGGGATGTTGAATCGTAAAATGTTAAATAGGTTAATATATTATTACGATCTTGATATGTATTTGAAAAAATAATTAAGATATGCATTTCTGCCTTTTCTTGTAGGGATAAAATAAGTATATCATAGATAAATGCATAATTGCAAAACTAAAAGAAATGTTTTCTATCAGAAAAAGAAATATATATAACTGCATACTACTCAAATCTTTTGACTTTTTTTGTCAACGCGTAACTGATCAAATCTCTTCACTTTTTTAGTCTACATAATCGACTAAATTCCAATTATTTATAAATAAGATATACAATTAAACAGAAAATATAATTATTACGGATCAAACCAGTAAGCATGGGCTAAATGATGAAAAGAGATGTATTACGAAAATGTTTCAATTGTTAATTGCATAAAGAGTAACTTTCAAAGTGATAAGGCTTAGCTTGAAATAGACATTTGATTAGGATATGATAATGAACTAGCGTTGGTTGTAATGCATTTATTAAGATATTGACATGTTGATTCTCTGTCTTGCATAAAGAAATTCATAAACATAACATGAGACAAACCTTAAAGAATTAAGGCATAAAGTCTTAGCATGAATTGGTAAATCCATTCAGAGAAAATAATGTATCAGTGAAGCAAGATTATCTTTCTCTTGGATCAAGATTGATATATTTGATAATTTGATGAGCTATCTTCATCTGTGTATAACTTGCGATGTTAAATAAGTAGCTTAGATTATGAACTGCAAAAATGTTAAAGACGAGTGATAGATAATCAATAAAATAATTTATCAAAACTAGTTCCTTGCAAGATCGAGGATCAACCAGACAAACATCAAAGACTAAATCATCTTTATTGAGTTGTGTTCTCACGGTCGGTTGACACTGGTAGTATACTGAACCGGTTTGGTTAAATGGTATTGGTAGTTGTAAGAAGTAATGGTTCCACACTTCCACTCTCATTTACATAACTTCACTTGACCCTACATATAGAGAAAACATTGTGAAGAGAGAAAAGAGTTAGACAAATTGATAATGGAACAATCGAGGGTCAAAACGTTTTAGAAAAAGAGAGTCTGAAAAAATAACTAGACTGACAAAAAAAATGAAGGATACAAAAAAAAATCGGCTTGTAGTTAAAATTGGTTAACAAGGTATCTGGTTCAAATCAGTTTGGCTCGTTAATTCCAACTCTTCAATCCGATTCAGTCTCAACTTCGATTTTGAACTTGATGGAACGGAACTAACCATCTAATTAGGTCAAATAAACGAGTCGACTCCGGTTGTTTGAGAAACAAGATACTAAGATTAAGACAATTTGAAGCGAGCAGATTTACATGGTACACTACCACGAAAGAGTTCACTCTTTTTTAGGGGACAGACATAAAGAAACATACGAAACACCAAAAAGTAAATAAGAGTTTTTTTTGCTTCTTCAACAAGCAACTAAACCAAAACATACTAACTTCAGACTTCTACTATTACTACTTCTCCTGAAGCTTCATCATTTCGATTCCTTGTCCCACACTCTTTAATTCCCATCATCTGATGATTTCAAGTAAAGGGTTTCACCACCATCCCCTGATCCTCTGCCTTCACCGCCCCCACCACTTCCCAGTTCAGGCTTTCCACGGCCAAAGTCATGAAACCCACCAGCCTCTCCCTGAAGGATATGGAGACCACTGCTTCCTCCTCCGCTGCTTGAGCTCATCCCGAGCTGGCTATGGTGCATTTGCTGATGCTGAAGCGTTGCATAAGGCTGCTGCTGCTGCTGCTGAGCATACAACATTGAAGATCGAGCCGCCATTAGAGACTGCTGAGTCATCTGCTGCTGTTGAGTCGCTTGTTGCTGCTGCAAATAGTGTGACCCTCCTTCTCCCTGGATCATCCCACCACCAGCAGATCCATACTGCCAACAATATACCAATGAGTGTTTCAATTTCCTACAACAAAGTTTAAAACTTTTTTTGATCTAACTGTTACCTGGCTATGCACATTTGGAGGTTGAGGCTGAGAATCTGCAATTGCAGCTAAGTACATTAGGTTGCGTTGAAGCCTTGCCTGATTCCTGTAACCATTAGGTAACCACTTTGATCATTTATTATTATTAAACAGATCATAAGTGAAAATCAAGTAGATATGTTGGTCTTACTCGGCGCACTCGCTGAGCTTTCCAGAGTTTTGAGACTCAACTATCTTCAGAATCAACGACTTGTTCTCGTCCAGGTACTACAGATTAACAATACCATCATCTTCAATAATCAGTACAGTAATGGTATAAACAAGAATCGGTTATAAAAATTCGATCTTTTTTATGATTGGAATAAAGACATAGGAGACCCCAGTACTTTAGATTCCGACTCATCAAAAGACAAAAACGTTGAAACATCACAAAAGTGTATATGAAAGATTTTCTTTCGAAAAGATTTTGAGGACCACAAGAGTGTGATTAGGACCAGATGTCGTTCGGACCACAAAGTATATCTGGTCATGTAAGTAAAAAAAGGAACACTTGGACTGCAAATACACACAGATCTAATGATAACAATCTAAACAGGACCACCACATTCACATAAATGGCTTTGTGGTTTTTGCCATCAATGAAACTTCCAGAACCCGAAAACCAAGACAAAGAGAGAAGGCGAGAAATGTGAACAAATCTTCAGTTCCCAAGATTTGTCTGTTTTCACACATTATTTTTCATTACATGTTTCAAGAACTCAAAACAGCTGGACCCTAAATATGGTTTTCTTAGAGAGAATCTCTTCAACCCTGCAAAAGGACATTCACTTTCGCCGAAATAGCCTCATAAATCTTAATTTTATTGAAAAATATTTCAAAGTTTGTCCGGTTTATACAAATTGGCAAAACCAAATCAACTTCCATTTCAACAAGAGATATAAAATGATACTATACTAAATATTTTTCGAAAATTAAAAAAAAAGTACTTCAATCAATCATTTGGTGACATAGTAAAAGAAATCTGAAGCTGATGCAAAATACAAAAGACCAAAACATCAACAAAACCGACTTCACTACACAGATATACTAAAACTAAATAAAAAATATATATCCATGGAAATAAGAACAAACAAGAACCAGTAATCAAAATCTAATTTAATATGGAGAAAGAGCAAAAGAAAAGATTCTTGGGAACTTGCAAGCGATTTTTCATCACTTTTGTGAGTATGAGTTCAAAGAAACATATAATAAAGAAATATGTAGCAGAATAGAAGTAGAAGAAGAAGCGAAAAGAAGAAGAAGAGAAGAAGAAGAAAACCTGCTGGATATGATCAGAGGTGACATTGCTGGGGTAGTAACCAGCCATCATGGGCTGCATCTGCATCAGGTGCTGTTGCATTTCTTTTGCTATTTTATATAAAACCTAGTTATTCCTTATTTATTTTTATTTTTATATATGTTACAAAAATGTTTTATAGAGGCAACCCCCACCACTAAACCCAAAGGAAAAAGAGAAGTCGCCAAAGAGACAGAGAAAGAGAGAGAGATATATTAACTTTTGTATCTGTCTCTCTCTCACTTCATCTGTATATAGAAAACTCTTTACTATTGAAGATGTGTATCTGTGTGTGTTATCTCGCTTTCTCTCCTCCACAAAAGTTGTTTTGCGTTAAAAGACTGAGAGAGACAGTGAAGTCTCTTAAATAGAGAGAGAGGAGAGGGAGAGAGAGAGGAGAGTCTTTTTCTCTTTTTCTTGGGTTTTGGGGTTTGGTTTTGTTGGTTTCTTTCTGTCTCATCCTATCTCTGTCCCTGCGAAGAAGAGGAGGTCACGTGACGACGAGTCATGCTTATTATAGAGACGTGAGACCTTTACATATACACTACATATATGTATAATTTATTTATTGCTTTGAAGTTTGAACCCTTAAACTGTAGTGAGGAACTTCTTTAATTTATCGAAAACTTTATTTTATTTTATGTTCAAAACGAAAATGAAGAACTTTTTCCAAATTGTAATTGTAAGACTATTTCGCGTGTATATGCATCTGAAAATTTTGAATATATGTATTTCCTCCATTATTATACTAAAAGATATCTTACTATTTATTTTTAATTGATATTTTAACTTGTCGGTTATTTTTTCTAATGTTCTTTGCAATAACTTTCAAAAAAGATTGATTTGATTTGTATAACTGAATCAATTCTAAATGATGTTCAGACTAATTTTGAGGTTCATGATTTGAAACCACATAGACATCGAAATTCGACCACTAATCTTGACCACAAAGAATACTCGACCAGCAAAACACTGCCGGTATCACTTGCCCTTGGTTTGAAGTTTGAACTCCTTAATACTGATGAAGCTTGACCAAAGGATCTCTAAAGTTTTTGAAATGCTTTGGTAAGAAAATTTAAAAGTTAAGTTGAGTTTATTTGATGAGTTCCTCGCATTATTTTTTGTTCGAATTCTTGAAGTACGTTTCGATGGTCGCTAGATTTTAAAGGAACCATATTTGACAGCTAGATTATCTTTGCGTGGTTATATTAATTCCACGTTAAGCCCTCTAGAGATGTAGTTAAATATAAACTAACATCTTATTCGTTGATACCAACAATGGATCCGAGATATTCCTTCTGCATATATGAACCACGGAGGCTCTACTTTTAATGTTTGTTTGTTTAATATTGGTACCCAAAACTATAGTATTACGTATAAACATTAAATTAATCAACAAGAATAACTGGATTGTTTTCTATTCCCGATTAATTATGCCTTTGAGACAATAATTAACGCAATTGTGTTTCTATATATCAAAAGCAAAACCGAAGACAAACAAAACTAAAAATCCTATTAATGTTCTCACATCAGAACTACTATATTTGAACGGCTTATAAGAAAATTTATGAAGACATTGGAGAATAGGTTTTATCAAGATGTTGGAGAACAGTTTTATAATAAAAAAAATAACTTTTAAGTTTATAAATTAATTTGAGGCAGATGTGAAATCTTCTTCCATGGGAAAAAAGTAACCTTTTTTGCAATATATTTTTGTTTGATAAAAAACCTTTTCTGCTAATATTATTCGAACGACTAATACGAAAATTTATCAAGATAGTAGAGGATAGATTATTATTTTTTTGCCAACATTGTAGAATAGATAAATAAGGAAACTCAAAGACGTAGTTTATTGAGCTGAGATTTTTGAGGTTAGACACGAAATTTACAAAGGTTTTTTTATCAAAAATTACAAAGGTTTTATCACAACAATAAATGAGATGTTGTACGTGTAAGGTGGAATCACGTTGAAGAAGAATATGTCCGTCGGTCTTTTAAAGACCGCTTCTATCCAAATAATACTTCTTGTCAGTTTTGCAGATTTATGACGTCATTTTGAGATTCGAGCTGGTTCGTGATTTCTCCCACGCGCTCTTCTTTCACGCACTTTTATTTTATACGTCATCTTCTTTTATACATGTATACTCTCTCTTTAGAAATTTTTTTCTGTGATACGCTATTTCAATAAATAATGATTCTGATGTGTTTCTTTTCCTGGAAAAGTGTAAGAAAGAACTGAAACTGATCTCTTTTTGCAACACTTTATTTATTTTTGGTAAATTTTCTTGCAACCCTTTATTCGTGGAAAATAATTAACGTGGTTATACCAAAAGTGTGTTGTATTTTACACAACCAAAATGGATTTCTGCTGCCATCAAATACCAGGACGATGGTTGGGACACCAATTAAAATGAATAGACCTTTTTTATTGAGAGTAAATAAAATCCTTTAGATTTAGTTTTAAAATTGAGCACGAAAATTAAATGACAAAGACACATTTTACATGCAAGCGACCATAACAACAAAACTCCGATGTGTCAAACATGTGATGTCCACGTATATTTTATGTCTTTTCTCGCCTAAAATTTGGCAAGTTTTGTTAATTGTCTCGGTTTTGTAAATAACTAATGAGAAATGCTTAATGGCAAGTGACAGTGTTATTGGGTTTCAGTTTCTAGTAAAAATCTATGTTCAAAACATCGGAAATCATTAATTGGGTAGTGAGACTGAGATTTGGGATTTTTCAAAAATGGGGATTAAGCGGGATTAAACGAGAATGAAATTTTAACTATATTTTATATATTTTTCAAACATTTACCTATATATATATAATATAACTATAATCATATTCCAAAAAATATACTCCTTAGATTATGTAGTATTTAATGCTATTTTCCCTTAGTTCTTGTATGAAAGGCCTATTACTACTTCATGTATTCTATTCTTTTACTCAATATTAATACTAGTTGTTACTTCAATTACTTATTTTAAATGATAGCGTAGAAAAAATAACTTTGAAATTGCTTGGTCGAATCAAATATTAAATCATTCACTACTGGAAACCTCAATTATGTCGGTTCAATAAAACCATGTGCCTAAACCACCATTAATCACGACGAAGAACTCCAACAGAAAATATCCAAGAGACAAAACCATTGGAAGGGAATCATCCCCAACAGCAACAACAACTCCACTGTCAACATTAATTTCAACAACAACGACAATAACTGATGCTTCTATGTATTCTTAATCATCCCGGGAGAGAGCAAGCGGTGACGGAAATGAGTCTGATGAAGAAGAGGATCAATGTGAGTCGCCGTGAAAGTAAGAGGAAATCAAAAGACGGCAAAGAGTATGGCTGTGGTTCGGATTTGGAAAGTGGGAGCGATTCGGAATCGGAGAAGGAAGAGAGACGCAGAAGTAAAAAACGGAGAGGGAATAGGAAGTCAGATCGGAAATCTGATTATGAAATCTCGGAGAAGACGGAGTAGGAAACACGTGACGATGATGATTCGAGTAGTGGCTCGGCCTCGGAATCAGAATCTGAATCTGATTACGGAGAGGGAGAGTGAGGATGAGAGGAGGAGGAGGAAGAAGAGGCAGAGAAGGGAGAGGGAGAGGGAAGAGAGAGAGAGAAGCGTGAGAGAACGAAAAAAAAAAAAATGTCGTTGACCGTTGACCAAATATGAACCACACGATTAAGGTTAATCGAACGGTGGCAGTCCGATGCACGTTTTTTTCTAACGGCGTTTTGCCCGTTTTTTTGAACACAGGTAAAAACAAAGAACAACTCCACCTAATTATTTTTATGATATATATTATTTTTTCTTTGTTTTTTTTTTGAGAAAGGGTTTGCTATCTTTTTTTTTTAGACCGCGATTTTCATATATCTAAATTTATTATAGTAGTACTATTTAGGTATACCTTTACAAATGTTAGATTCTACATCTGACAAGAAATATATGCAAACGTGCTCTATATTGTATACTACTAAGTACCTCAAATAATTTTACTGATTTTTTTTTTTTTAGTTTTTTTTTTCCTTATAGTTACCACTTCCACCTACCAACAATTTATCCGTCTATATAAACGGTTAACAGACCTTTAGCAATATTATTATGCATATTAATTGACAAGTTTAAAATTAAAAAACATTTAGTATACTAATATTACATCCAATGTCCGATGCCTAATTGTAAAAAAATAAATATAATTAATGGACATTTCCTCCTGATGGAAACCTTTGTGCCTAACTTTTGGATTAGCCCTGAACTCTTCTCTCATTGTTGGATACGAAGGAAGCTTTGGCCACTTGTTTCGCAGTCCTTGAAAGATTTTGCTTATAGTGATGATTAAGATTCTTTATAACATGAAAATTACACCAGACTTGGTCGTTTGATGGACCAAATCTTACAAGTTAGATAGATCACATGTATTCACCAGAATATTTATGGACTGCCATGAACAACTTACTTTTGTTCCGATATTTGCCTTTTCGGTGTCACCAGACTTATTTATATCAAGAACTGTTCTCCTCTGGTCTGACTTTGAGTCAGATTTACATCGGTAGCATTTTTTCAGACGATTGGATATTGAACAGTTATTTCGGTTACTAGGAATAAAAACGGATGTAATGCACACAGCACTACTCTAATTTAGTTGAAAGAAACTACTAATCGGTTTTCAACTGGTACGGTTATTTTAAATAATAAACTACACGATTATTTACCGCTTTTAGCTAACTCGTGTTTTCAACCGCAAATAATCTCTCAATCTTTGTGTTTAAAGTTTAAACTCTAAACGGTGATTACCAACCGAATCCTTTAGATCTCTTCTTAGGTACCATCTAATACATCTATAGTATTTGACCGTTCATAACAACATGTAGAAGACCTTGTGATTCTGTCACAATATTGGAATTGTGATAGAGAATTGTAGTGCTATTTGTTCAAAAGATTATAAATACAAGAAAATTTATATAGGATATGTGGGAAATGGAGGATCAATAATTAAGGAATTGGGTCCCAAAAGCTCACATGATCTCTGAAAGTCATGTCCAATCCATCTTTCAAAATTTGCAATAAGGTGGTTGACAAGACTCAACTTTTTTTTGTTTTTTTAGCGACAGGACTCCTCTTCAAAAGTTGATGTTTAGAATAAGATTCCTAAGAAATATAGTGAAATAATATAATAAAATAAATATACACAAAACTTATCCAATGGCACTACTCCCAACTTCGAATTCTTTGTATGCAATGTCTTTGGACTAAGAAAGAAACGTATTTATATAACAAATAACATATTCGATCACACGTACTTTAAAAATGTTTCTTTACTGTTGATTATAACTATTTGCCATATGGTTTAAAAGTTATATTTTCAGCAATTTCATTTTTTTACGAAAATAACAGTTTTAATAATATTAAATAGTGTGAATCAAATATAGTACTATTCGATAAAAATAAATAATATATGGCTATACATATTATTTATTTCATTTCTGTATGGCTGTATTTTTATAGTCAATATTAAAAGAATGCTTTAAAAAAAAATCTTTATAAAGAAAAAGATGCTTAAAAAATTACAGCACTATAGATTTCATTGGTAATAAGATATGCGGATGAAAGAAGTGATTAAGATTTGGTTACAACTCAAGTTTATTGGTTCATGGATTTTTTAAATCCATGTTAGATTTAGAAATCTTAAGAATTAGAAAGATGGATTTTGATATACCAAAGTTTTACCTTGAATTTGTTTCTTTGTATTTTTAACTTAAAAACACTTCCAAATCCACTGAAATCCTAAGTGGATTTCTAATTACACAGGATTTTAATTAGTATTTACAAAGAAATCATTGAGGGGATTTTGATAAATAGTTCAAAATCATTAATCGAAGAAGAGGGATTTTAGTCTAGATTTATAAATCTAATCCATGAACCAATAAAACCCCAAAATTATTTTATAAAAAAACCTATATTATCATCAAATAAGCGTTTGATTTTTTTTTTAAAATATCAATAAACAGTCGGATGTGTTTTGGACGAAAATTTGAAGAAGTTGACCATTTTTGCCTAAGAAAAAAGGAAATGTCCGAAAAGAGGGGCCTATGGCATAAATGATGGCTGGTTACCCTCACGCTCATTTTCATGCCTCTTTTGTCTAACGCATACACCCATATACTCATTTACAGTTGCGTTGGGTATTTATATTTTTAGTAAATTTATACAAATATGGAGCCATACTTGCGTACACATGATGTGAAGGCTAATTAAAGCAGAATTGGTAATGGTAATGATAAAAGAGAAAAGAAAGTGAATGAGTCTTAAGAAACAATGATTTGAGAATAGTGGTCACCATTGATATTGCTTTGTAACTGTGTTTGTGTTTGGTCCAACCAAATTGATTGGAATTACACGAAGAGGGAACATGTGGGTGGGTATGAAGGCATTAATGATTAGCGAGTGACATCGAAATTATTTAGGATCTCTACAAGGAAACATACCGTACTTTTCAACCCATTCCTCTCCTCTTTCACACCTCTAATTTTTTGTTGTTCTTCCTTGTTAAAATGTTAATTCGTTCCACTTTCTTCAATCAATTTGTAATATAGTTTTAGTATTTTGTGGTATATTTTTGTTTTTTGTTTCTTCATTTGAAAGTTAATGCTAGCAATATTCTGTGTCATTTAATCAAAGAAAATATCTGTCATCACGAAGTTACCAAACACTTTTGACATATAATATTTCTATAAAATTCTAGAGCATTTACATTTTATATGGTGATAAAAAAATCGACTGAACAGTAATAAATATTTTCATTTTTCGGTTTTAGAAAGTTGTTTTTCATTCAATCGGTTTTCTAAATTTTATCATAAAAGCTCAAGAAACAAATTTTCGTAAAACTATATCAACCAATTCAATAGCAAAACAAAAAGTTATACAGATACAGTTTCTTTCCCATTCAAACCTATAACAATTATCAAAATCAACTTTGAAAAGAAACCCTATACATATATATTTAGCATGTTGATCATCATGCCTAATTATTCACAGGAATAATAATAATTGAGAATAGTTAGACAAGTCTTATCTTGTTTAAGAAACTTGAGGCTGTGAATTGTGATAGGGAGGGGAGGGTCTGAAGCATGTGACTGAATTCGGTGAAAAAGAAAGATAAAAAAAGAAAGATAAATGACATAAAATTCACATGCCATGTTGGTTTGGGTGAAGCTTTTTTCCCTCTTCCAATGAAACGTCACATCTCCATTTCCATTTTCATGAAATTCAAAGACGTTAATGACCCATCGCTCTATCCTTCCGTTTCACCTTCTAACTACCTGCCGTTTTTTGCTAACTATTCCTCCTAACTCTCTATCTCTAATTCTCTATGTATGTTTTTATTTCTATAAACAAGAAGATCTGACCAAAAAGCACATAATCCATTCTGATCGAGAACAAGAGAAGGCAAAATGACTAATCCTCCCCAATTTTGAGAGTCGAGTGTGTGATCTTGCTAACGTATTTTTCTGAAAGATTTCTTAGCACATTAGTAGAGCAGCATATCTTGTTGCGTTCTCTTGAGATTTATAAACTCGTAGGCCTACTCCAAATACGTTGTCAAGTTTAAATTATTGGAAATGTCTTTTGATCGTTTAACGATATTGAATTATTGGAACTCAACTCTAGTCCACTTCGTGACCTTGATAATCATCCCAGCATATTTTGTTGCCTTGTATGTTCTTTGATTAAATGTCATTCAGTCTCGTAGGCCTACTCAAAATACGTTATCAAAGGTCACGCGATTCACGAACTTTGACTGTCAAAACAATGCCTTGTATGTCCTTTGACTAAATGTCATACAATATAGTCAAAGGACTTTCTAATAATTCAACCTCGTAGGCCTACTTAAAATACGTACTAAAACATGGATGGGGCCTTTGATGATTTGATCTTCCGCTTCAAGGCCTACTAAAAATTCTCGTAGATGTAAAAAAACTGGAAGCGATTTTTGACATGAAAAAATGATTTTCTTACTGTTACACAAATCGGAAAAAAAGAAAAAAAAGTTTATGAATCGGTATAATTTATGAATCGATATATCACAAACAAACCATAAAAAAAAAGAGTATAGGCAAAATGAAGCTCTCTTTCCATAATTCCAGCCTTCTTTTGGTTTTAGTCAGTAATAAAGCATATTATAGCTAAGTAAGTTTTATGTGTTGTGGTTAATATTTTGTTCTTTTATATGCGCCCTCGTAGCTGTTGAGATGGTCATTCCTTGACTTGTGTGTCTGCTTCGGCTTCTGTTGATTTCTTCTCCACGTTAGCCTCCTCCTCTTCCTTTGGAGCCGTTTCGGTTGTCACCGGAGCCGTCATGAGCGAATCAAATTTGTCTGATTTCCCCAATACAATCTCAATCTGTACATGTCAGATGCAAAATAATGAAATCATCGGACAAAACATATATAGTAACATATTTCTTGGCTTAGAAGTTAGAAGGAAGACTAACCTTGGCTTTCTGAACTATTTTCCCTTTGTTATCATCTTTCATATCAACTGTCGACGTCAGAACTTCTGTTTATTTATTTGTTTCACCCAAATAAAATTCTCGTTTGTTAGAAGAAACAAATGGTAATAAAATACAATCAAGAAAAAAATGCTTTTTTGGTGTTTTTTTTTAAAAAAGTCAACGTACTCTTCTCTGTTGCAAGTCCATTGTTCTTCAAGATTTCTGAGATCGTAACCACTGTTGTGATCGCTACACATACACAATTATCAAAAAGTATTTTAAACACAAATTAACATACCAAAAAAAAAAAGATGAGAATAAAAATTAAATGATCGTTAAAATCTACCCATTCCAAGTGCAGAAAGCTCGACCTCATTGTGCTGTTGAATGTACCTCTGCATTATCATAAATGCACCAAAAAATGAAAATCATTTTCCCGCTCTTTCTTGTGTAAAGACATATAGACAATCACTACATTCATAAGTCGGTTGATTCCACAAACTGTAAATCAAATCGACACCAAAGCATTTGTGTAGTCGAGAATGATAACCTTGGCGAGATTAACGTAGAAGAACAACGGTTTCTTGGTGTTAGAAACTTGAATCCTGTTCTTTTTCTGAGTGTCCACGGAGGTTGTGGTTGCAACGAGGATTTTGCTCGCGGGTGTCGCTGTCGGTGCATGAACCGGAGTTGCTACTTCCATCGCCATTAATCTCGATTGCGTTTACAAAAAGTTCTTCTTCTTCTAGCGGTTAAAAGTCTTTCCCTGTAAACAGTGAAGAGGCGTAAAAGCATTTAAATAACAGTTCGATGATAAGAAAGCCAATAAAAAAGTGACGCGTGTTGGTCTCCGGGTTGTTCGTTGACCGAGTAAAAGAGAGAAAGACGGATCATCCTGGCTTCCACTATTTTGCTTCTTTGCATTTCTCACGATCTCTATAGTTCGGTGGAATGTTTTCTATGTAAAAAATGTCATATTCATTCATGCGGTTTGATTAGTAGTGTATTTAGGTTAGAAAAGAAAAATATGGGCCGAAAATATTAGAAGCCCAATAAGAGAATCTCAAAATTGCTCTCATCTTCAAATTAAATCATAACATGATTTCTGGCCCATGCACGTCGTCACCTTAGGCTTAGGTAGAAAAGAATCTAGAGTTCTCTATAAGCGATCGGCACAATAAGCATTTTAACGATTATAAACAAACAGCCTTATGTAGATTCAAGATGTTTTGAGTACAATTTTACATTTTGAAACATAATTTTACATCAATACTATTTCTGACTTTAGCTATAAACACTAACTAGAAAAGCAAAGCCTGATTTTTGGTTGGTCAAGTGTGACCCTTTTGGCTTAGTCCCTGTATAGTATACTACTTGAATATTATTTGAAATATAACAACAGATGACCGATAAAAAAAAAACTAGAAAACCAAAGCCTAAATTATTTGGAGCCTGAATATGAAAGAAACATAATGGGCATTCTCATTTATCATGATCCCATAACCCAAGAGATTATAACAAAGCTGCACCGTACTCTTTTGAAGAAAGCTAATAACTTTTCCCAAAGTGGATTCTCCCACATTTCCACATTTGAACTTTGAACATAAGAAAGTGGGAAGACTTTTCAAAACCATATGTAATCTACTTATCACTCTAATAATATGTAGTGCTACAATATAAATTAATAAAAAGGGTCGAAAAGCATTAAAACTTTATATCGGTTTTAAAGAAGGGCATATTTTTTTCTTTCCTATTATGACTTAACAGAGGTAAGTAGTCTTTTGATAAAACTCAATAATATACAATTATTATTCGGTGAACGTTTATGATTCACATATTACACATCATTATATAAACATCATATGTTTTTGTTTGTTTTGGAACGAGGTTTAACATCAGTGATTTTTGGAACACATCAATCGGCATATAGTAGACATATTAAGCTTTGATTGGTGAGATGAGTTACACTATATTTAGTTTGAGTTATACATATAGGTCTAATTAATAGATAACTCATTTTTTTGATTTCGAGTTTATGTTAAAATGTTACCCATATACACTGACGTTTTGTTGACGGATTTATAATTGGTTTGGTCGTCATAAATTGTCAAAGACATAACGAGGGAATACTATGCATGGCCATCAATAAAAAATAATCCATCTCTTATCACACCAACCACAATTCAAGGATAAGAAAATGTAAAAGCATTCCGTAGCAAATGTGCCCAATAATAAAAAGAAAATGTAGAAAGTAATAAAAGCTAGAGACAAGAGGACCCAGAGCTAGATTCGAAATCACAAGAGTTGGGTCGGAAAGTGCTCTTTCCCCGTGTCGGCGTTAACTAACGTCGTTCAACATTGACGACGCGAATTTAAAAGCGCGACAAAAGCAAAAAGACGATTCACGTGTTCTCCGAGGATGTTTTACATAACGCGACAATATTTCTGTTCAAATTTGTCGACTCATATAAATTAGATTATAAACAGAGATTCGTAGTCGTCGTAGATAAAAGATTCCATTTTATTTCAGTAGTTAACGTCAGTTTATAAATGAAAAACGTGATTATATCTTGTTTTTATCAATAAATTTCGTATGTTCAATTCAACTCATTATCAACTTTAGACTTTGGACTTTGGTTTTGGCCGGACAAGATATTCTTTTTTTCGGATATTTAATTGCCAAGATGAAGAATTTGTTGCCAAAAAGAAAATACTAGAAATAGAAAAAAACTGTTAAAAGAAATAAATGAGAAAAAAGTCAAAATTTAATAACTAAAACTCTAAAAGAGAGAAAAAAACAGAGCCGATAAATATCCAACAGCTTAACAAATTGAAACACAGTTCCAAAACAGTCAGCGCCAAAAACAGAAGCAATCTTTTCTTTTCTTAAGAGAGAGAGAGAAATAGAGAAAGAGAGAGAGAGAGAGAGACGGATAAAGGAGAAATCTGTCTTCCTTGTCTGAAAAACCTCACGGCAGATCGGAAAGAGAAGGATCAAGGATAGGCAAGATCTGTAAGAAAATTCTCTCCCAGCTCTTCGTTATCAATTTTGTTTCTCCCCTGTTTTTGTATTTTGTTCCAGGAAAATGTGATCAAATTTCTGAATCTGTACACAACTTCGAATTTTATTCCTTTTCTTTCAAGAATTTTTTTTGGTGAATAGTCCACATGTGTTTTATGATATCCAAAAATGTCTGTATTTTTTTTTCTGTGTGAATTTTGTTCTCTGCATCAACCAGTAAAACTTGTGATTTGCCAAACAAAAAAATCTGGTGAAAATGACATCGTTATCTGGGTTTGTGCTGGTCATTGAAATGGATTTTAGGATATGTGTTTTGTGTAATTTAGGGTCTTGATAATTATTTATGGGGTGATGATATATGGCAGTAGTTGGAATGGGAAGAGAAGTGGTTGAGTCGGTGAGCAGCGATGCATCATCTGATGAAAGGATTTGCGTGGCTCCCAAGATAGCTGCAGAGGAGGATTATGAGGTCAAGGAATGCACCGACGAGGATTCTCTCTCTGATAATCATTCATCTCCTAATGCAACCACAGAGGTATTAATATTATTGTATGAATACTATTTGTATATTGGTTATATGAATGTTGTTTTGACTCTTTTGTTTTTGGTTATATCACAGCCGTTGAAACCAGAGAACCATCAGGATGAAGAAGATGATTGTTCTGTTGCTGCAGCATCGCTGAGGAATGGCAAGTCTAGAGTAACTCATGGAACCGCTCCACGGTTTAGGTGTGCCCAACGAGCTGAGAAACGCAGAGAGGTAAACTTCAGTTGTATTACATGACTCTCATAATCAAATGGACAAATCTGTTTTCTTCATTGAGTTTAAGTCTTCTTTTGTATGGATTTAGTATTACCAAAAGCTTGAAGAGAAACACCAAGCACTGGAAGCTGAGAGGAACGAGCAAGAACAAAGGCAAAAGGCAAGAACCGTTACAAAATCAATAATATGTGAATGATTCTTAGTCTAGTGAAAATCTAAATGGGAACATAATAAATAAATGCAGGAAGAACAAGAAGCAGCCATTAAGCAGCTTAGAAAAAACCTCAAGTTTAAGGCTAATCCCGTTCCTAACTTTTATTACCAAGGACCTCCAGCGAAACCAGAGCTCAAGAAGGTATTAATCGTTTTCAAGAAAATCTCCCACCTTTGTTTTAGGAAACTTGTGTGACAAGCAAAGCTTACAAAATGCTCTGTTTTGCAGTCTCCTTTGACGCGTCCTAAGTCGCCGAAACTGAATCTGTCTCGGAGAAAGAGTTGCGGCGATGCGATTAGCTCGTCCGGTGAGGAGAATCCGAAGTCAGTCTCTACACGTAACCGACACAGCGTCGGCAGAACAGAATCGAAGCCAGTGATGGCGAATGAAGAAGCTACCGTAGAGGAAGGCGTTTCCAATTCCATAGCCTAATTCTAAACCAAACTTTAATTTCCGGTTATTTCCGGTATTTGTTGGATTTCACAATCGTTCTCCTCGAGCGAATTAATGATTGTTTTTTTTTATTTTCTTTCTCACGTCTGTCTCTCTACTTGATTTCGGTTTTAATTTTACGTAACGTTTTCAATCTGAAATTGTATATTTTAAGTGTTGAGGAACCTTGATGCTAAAGAATGCATCCATTATATCTTTTATTTGTATGAACTTAATGTCATTAGTTGCGATTTGAGAGTTAATATAATACAAATTTTTTTTTTTTTTTGACGACAAACGGCTATTCTATTACTCAAACTCGAGTTGGTGTGGTTACCCACCCCGGAACAGAATAACCAACAAAAGATAAGGACCTAGGGTACAACCTAGCAAGCTTAGCCAGATGATCAGCTTTACTAGTTGAAGCACGAGGGAGATACGAAATAGAGAAGGAGGAGAAAAGTTTTCGTAGACTACTGAACTCCTGCAACTCCGTTGAGAACTTTGGCCAGTCCTCTGGTTTCTCGATCATCTTTAAGACGTCTTGGCAGTCAGTTGCAAAGGCTTGAACGTTGGTATACTGCGCTGCACATTCCATAGCCCACATTAATGCTTCTAATTCTGCATGAAGAGGGGAGATGCGTCGTGGTTGGTTATGGATGCCTAGTAAGCGTTGAGTTCCATCTGGATCTATCCAAATCCATCCAGCTCCGCTGTGGGCTTGTTCTCGGTGCCAAGAGCCATCGACAATACATACATCTCTCAAGCGTATGGCTTGGGTTCCCGTCGTTGAAAGAAGTGGAGCTTTAGAATTGGCTTGGTGCCAAGCTCGACATTCAGCTACTGCATGGCGAACAGTCCCTAATGGGTCTCTGTTGATTCCACGGAAGAGTTTCTCATTGCGGGCTTTCCATATGAACCATATGATCCATGGAAAGGGATCACAATCATCCTCAGCATTATCCATGTTAGGTCTTCTCCAGAATAGATAGTCCATGTTCGTGTATATCCCAGACGAGGGAAATAAGCTTGGTGGCGTAAGAATGGGGGCAAGGGCCCACGTTTGAAGAGCTGGTGGACATTCAAATATGGCGTGGTTAATCGTTTCTTCAGGAGCTCCGCAGCGAGGGCAGTGATTATCACATCTCATCCCTCTGTGATTGAGGTTTTTAGTAACCGCTAAGTAACCTGAAATGATTTGCCATAAGAGGTGCTTAATCTTGTAAGGGGCCTTGCTCTTCCAAGCTTGAACTTGTAAAGGTCGGATACTTGGTTCCGAACATGTTTCTTCTGCTGGATTGAGTAAATTTTTTGCCACCCAATACCCTGATTTTACTGTATAGAGACCGCTCTTAGTATAGCCCCAACTAAAGCTATCCATGTGGAAAGTCTTGTTGATGGCTATACTTCGTATCAGGGGAATGTCCTCTGGCTCCATATATTCTTCTAACATCTCTACATTCCATGCCTTTATCTCTCTGTTTATGAAGTCGCTAACGGTCATTCTAGGATGGACAACTGGGATCCTTGGATTTGCATGTCTAGCTGGGATAGTTGGGATCCAAGGATCCTCCCAAGCTCTAGTATTGAGTCCAGAGTGAACTTTCTGCAGGATTCCCATTGTTAGCAATGGTCTAGCCGCTAGAATACTTCTCCATCCGTACGACGGAGAGTCAGTGTGGCCAGCTCTAAGTGGTGTGCTGTAAGGGAAGTATTTTCCTCGCAAGACTCTTGCCAACAAGGAGTCCGGAAACCGTAAGAGTCTCCATAATTGCTTTGCTAACAGGGCTAGATTAAAGTCATGGATGTCTCTGAAACCTGTTCCACCCTCCTCTTTTGATATGCACATTTTATCCCAAGTTGCCCAATGAATTCCTCTTCTTTCTGCGTCAGAGCTCCACCAGAATCTTGCTATCGCACTTGTGAGCTGATCGCATACCTCCAACGGGAGTAGAAAGCTGGACATGACGTAGGTTGGAAGTGCCAGTGCTACTGATTTTATCAAAATCTCCTTCCCTCCTTTAGAAAGCCATTTTGATCTCCATCCATTTACTCTGTTTTGGAGGCGCTCCTTGATATACGCAAAGAGTTTACATTTTGATCCACTAATGTCTTCTGGGATTCCTAGATAGGTCCCCATTCCCCCTTCGTTTTGGATTCCGGTTATAGATTTGATGTGTGTTTTAGTAGATCCGGGAACCCTCTTGCCAAAGAGCAGTGAGGATTTTTCAAAGTTTATGCGTTGTCCTGAGGCTTTACCATACTTATGTAGGATGGAGAGAACTTCACTGCATTCACGGGGCTCCGCCTTGCAAAAGAACAGGCTATCGTCGGCGAAAAGAAGGTGAGATACCGGTGGACTGGCACGTGCCACTCGCATTCCAGTTATCTTACTTCCGTTTTCCGCCTCGTTTAGCAGGGCTATGAGTACTTCCGTGCATATAATGAAGATAAAAGGAGACAGAGGATCTCCTTGTCTCAGTCCTCGTTTTGGTATAATGTTACCTCGGGGCTGTCCGTTGATGAGCACATGATACGACACTGATGTAATGCATCTCATTATCCATCTAATCCATGTCTCTGCAAATCCCATCTTCCTCATAACAGCCTCAATGAAATCCCATTCAACTCGATCATAAGCTTTACTCATGTCGGTTTTTATTGCCATTCTCTTATTTCTTCCTCCGGGATTTGTCCTCAGTGCATGGAATAATTCTTGTGCGATCAAGATATTATCTGTAATTTGTCTTCCCGCGACGAAGGCCGATTGGGTCTCTGAGATGAACTTGGGGAGTATCCTTTTTAGACGTTGGCACAATAGTTTCGATATGATCTTGTAACTTACGTTACATAAGCTTATTGGTCTAAATTGACTCATTTCTTGAGGTTTCTCCTTCTTGGGTATGAGACAAATGTTCGTCTCATTGATTCCCGGTACAATGGTACCTTCCGCCAAAAACTCATTCACCATACGGGTGATGTCTTGTTTAAGGATGTCCCAGAACTTCTGATAGAACAGTGCGGTCATGCCGTCTGGACCCGGTGCCTTCTCTGGATGCATTGCAAAGAGAGCATCCTTGACTTCATTTTCTGTCACCGGTTTTGTAAGAGTCTCGTTCATGTTGTCGGTGATGACAATTTTAACCTTGTCAAGTGTTGCCTCGATCTCTACTGGATTTGATGTTTCGAAAAGACCACGGAAATATCTTGTAGCAATGGCTACAATTCCTTCTTCATTTTCTTCTCTCTGGCCTTGTTCATCAATCAAACTAGTGATACGGTTTCTTGCTCTTCTTTGTTTTGTTGCGGCGTGAAAAAATTTTGAGTTTCGGTCTCCTTCTCGTAGCCACAGCACTCTGCTTTTCTGTTTCCAGAATAGTTCTTCTGATCTCAAAGCTTCATGTAGCTCCTTCGTTGCCTCTGAAATCTCTTCAGTGGTGGCATTCCCGTCACTGTACAAGGAATCAAGCTTATCCTTAAGTTCTGTTATATGCTTTTCTGCATTGAGATCATTTTGGCTCCGCCACCTTCCGAGAGCTTTCCTTACACTTGAGATTCTGGTCATTAAGTTAGCGTCAGGTGGGAGAGAGGACGACCATCCATCTTGGACCACCGCTGAGATTTCTTCTCTGTCCAGCCATCTCCTATCAAACCGGAAAGATTTTCTCCGTCGTATAGGTTTGCTGAGAATGTTAGCAAGTACTGGCCGATGATCTGAGCCCCATAATCTTAAGTACTGAACATTTGAATGCGGGAAACTTTCGTGCCAGTCTTCGTTTCCTAATGCCCGGTCGAGTCGGCATCGCACAAGTGTGCGTCCTCTTCTTCCAACCCATGAGAGTTGGTTTCCTGAGCAAGGAAATTCTAACATTCCGCAATCATGTATCATTTGATTGAAAGGAAGGAACGATGCGTCGGGTCTTGTTCTACCTCCTTGTTTCTCATGGTGTCCACAAATTTCATTGAAATCTCCTATCATGAACCATGGTCCATTGCGATTAACTGCGAAACGCGTAAGACGTTCCCATACGAGTTCTCTTTGGTCTTGGACAGGGTCACCATAAACAAAGGTCATGAACACTTTATTTCCATCAATAACTGCTTCTACATCAATCATACGATTGTTTGAGAATATAACATTAACTTGGAATTCATCCATACATAGTAAAGCTAAACCACCGCTTAGGCCATGAGGCTCTACGGTAAACAGACTATCATAACCTAAATCAACTTAAATAACAGGCTCTACAAATATTTTTTTAAAAGTGATCTAAGTGGCATTTTTATATCTTTTCCTCTCCATCAAAATTCAACAATGGCTACTTCTACAATTCCTCTGCCTTAATCACTTTCAAATGTCAAAAAAATTGAACTGACGCCGTAATCTTTTAGAGAATCAAAGATGGTTCAAGATTAATATCAAGTAAGAGAACAGAGGAACCAATTCATATCACATACTAAGAGAACTACATCAGGTTTTACAATTGCTCAACAAAGCCAAACCTATTGACTCAAACATATCTGATGCAAACCAAAAAACCTTCTAAAGAAGTTCATGCATATAAACTACAGATCTCTTGTGATGACAAGCCTGAAGCCAAATTGTGATGCAAGCGAAATCCGAGTAAAACTACCCTCATGTAAAGTGGAATATACAATTGCAAGATCGCAGCAACTACAAGACCGGTTTAGTATTAAATCAGGTTTGAGCTGATTGGGAAGAGACCATTCTTGAATGGTTATGCTCTCCTTCATAAGTCACAATTAGCATCGAAGTCTCGTCTACACATCTCTCCACATGCTTTCTCGCTGGACAACCTCGTACGCTGCTGCATTTATAGTATCCCCTGCAACAACAACAACAACAAAAAGCAAATTTTATAAAACCAAACATCTCTAAACAAACGAATCCGGTAGTAAAATATTTATTTACCTAGGATGAGGAGAGCCCTTTATTGGCTTCTGTCCGTATTTCCTCCATGAGTATTCATCTGGAGGTATATCCGCAATCTTGTTACTAATTGCAGGTACTTTGATCGATCTTTTCACTCTCACTTTCCTGTAAAATACCCCAAAAACATCTTATAAACAAGAGATTCAAACAAGCAAAACACTTAATTTCTCAAAGAAGAGACAAAAAAACAAGAAACTAACCTTTTCTTGGAACAGTGACATTTGCTTCTACTTCCACATTTCAAACTACCAGAGCAGCTTGTTCTCCTTGAATGCTGCGATATATGATCGGATCCCTGAGGCAATCCGATCAAATGAAACGAGTTTCTGTCGTAATCCGTCACGCTACCATCCATACTAAGAGAAGACATAAACGATCTTGATCCGTTTGAGACACTTGGAGAATAGCAACTACCACCACCACCGTTATTAGACCCATCAAACTTCAGATTCAAACCACAACTGCTCCTCGAGTACACAGCTTGCTGGTGGTGGTTGTGGACAAACGGAAATGGTTTCGAATCGACAGCTCGTGAAGTCGGTGGCTTTAGCTCCAGAAACGACTTCTCAACACACATTCTCTGGTTAAGCATCATCAATGGAGGATGACGAGAAGCAGCAGCAGCTGGTGGTGGTATAATCTGAAGAGGCTTTGGAGCTAGAATCGGAATGCAACCACTTATAGCATTGCTGTTACTGCTGCAAATGGGACTCTCCAAGAAGATGTGTTGGGGAAACAGAGAAGACCTGAGCTTGAAGTTGTTGTTGAGTTTCCTAATCTTCCTTTGACCTAACCCTCTGGAAAGAAGAGAGGCGACTCTCTTGAACTTGGAAACTGCTTCTCTTGTTTCAACCATTATGGATTTGGGATCACTTGTTTGTTGTGATAAGAGATTCAACACTCCATGACAGCTTTCAACAGCTGCTCTGTTTGCAGCTTCAACTTCCTCCATTTTTTCTTCCACACACACAAAAAAAAACTAATTTCCTCTCTCAGCACTCAAATCTCTTGAGAACGAAGGAGATAAAAAGAAAAAGAAATCACAGACTTCAAATCAAGCTGCCGAACAAATCTAGAAAAAGAAATTTTGGAGTATTTAAGATCAGTGGGAATCCAATCGATTGGACATGATGATGTTTAAGCTATCAACTTCTATCAAATCCAAATCGTCAGAGGCTTGAAAAAAACCGGTAACCAAAGCCCTAAAAAGTAAAAACAATCATCATGAGCTAGGACTAAACACGTGAAAAGGTGAGATCTTTTCCGGTACGGATTAAGGAAATTAAAAAGCTCATGAACAAGAAAATCTCCCTGAGTTAAGGGTTTAACAAAACTGATATTGTGTAAGAAGAAAGAAGTAGAATTGTTATGAGTTTGCTTTCTCTGTCTGAGAGAGGAGGAAGAGGTTGTTCTTTCACTAAAATTCCATCAGCCCCATTGAAATAGTATTTTTTTGTTTTTTCTTTCTACTTTGTCAAACTGATTTCAAATTAAAAACAAAAAGAAATAGGTAAAGTTGGAAAAAATGCTTCGAGAGAAAAGAAAAAGCAAAATGGTGAGAGAAGAGAGAGTGGAGTGGAGTGGAATTGGGTGTTGAGAGATAATAGTCGTCACAGTCGCAGAGGAAGGAGAGAAAAACAGAGTCCTCCTCTGTCAAAGATTTCGTGGTAGGTCCCTTCTACTGGACCTACATTGCATCTACTTTTAAGAAAAATGAAAATGTTAAGTAAGTATGTGTTTCCTGTAAATAAGCTTTAATTAAATAGTTAGTTAACTAGGAGTAGTAAAATTCTAGTTAACTAGGAGGAGTATTTATCACAAGAAAATTACGGCTCTGTGTAATTTGTACACAGGAAATTTTGGCCTGATATATCTCTGTAAATATAATAATTAGCGTGGTAATGTTACAATAAATAAAATAAAAAGGCGACAAAAATAAATAATAATAGAATCAGGAAATTGTCGTCGAGGGTGGTGGCCCACGTTACAGTTCTGTATTCTTCAGAATCCCGAGCATGCAACTTGAGAAATAAGGGCTAGGATTATGACACGTGTCAACTTGTCTCTGTCCTCCTCGTAACACGTGTAGCTGGAATGTTGACTGAACATGCACTGTTGTCTGTTTCTTGTCTTATTTTGAAAATGGCAACTATTCTTACCCTATAAAAATAATTATATGATAGCTTGAAAATACATAAATGGTTAAACTAGCCAGGCGAAACGCAAAACAAAATTAGTTTCATGTCCAAATCACTTTAAAATTCCAAAATTAACACTAATAAAAGATTATTTGAAGACAAAGTAATTTTACTTGCATACTATTTCAATTAAAAAAAAAGCTCTCACTATATCATATATTTTTCCATAGAATTATGCATATCTGTGTCAGTTGTTTCGAATAATCGGAAAAATCTATAAACAAAATTGGGATGATGGGAAGTCTTCCTTAACCTTGATAATATGTTTCCTAAATAATTAAGAATTTTATTACTAGAATTTTATACTCCATGTCTTAAGGAAAGTGTGCATTATGCTCAAGGCACAGTGCAGGTTTGTGTTGTTGTAAAAAAAAACGTGTGCATACATTTTCTCTTTCTCTCAATCATCTGAAATGGAATTACGATTTACGAGTCACCATACATCAACTAGAATGTGCTTATTAGATACCAGTTTATTAAAAACTAAACTTCCTTTTAAAGTTAAATTTGACTTTTACTGTGTGGTTCTTCTCATTTAACAGGAAATGTTCTTAAACACATTCGTTACCTAGAACGTTTTCCTCACTCGATCTCGCATTCCTGTAAGGACCAAACCGTAACAAAGTTAAAACCCATTTTCGTTTTTGAAATTCTGACGAATCCAAATTTTTTTTAGGCGTAAAACAGAAAAAGAAGAGAGCAAATTTATAATTAAGAAAGTGGACCCAAAGAAAAACAGAGTTGACCTAGCAAAGATTCTCTTTGCCCCCTTGTCATGTAATGAAATGAACTGTTTGTTGCTTCACAAGACTGTCTTGAAAAATAAAAAACCCCCATCCTTACCTTTTGTTCTTTAGTAGCTTCAATTTTGTTCGTTCATTAGTAAATAAGTATTACTTGAAGCAATGAAATATATATTGCCTTACAAATGCGATTGAAAATATTAGCTTTTCATATATGTGCTATTTGTATATTTTAAAATTTCAACTTTTGTATACTGTCCATTGTCCAAAGCAATATTTTATGTTTTCTAGTCGTTTATTTGTCGTTGTATGGTCGTCTTCTACGCGTTAGGCCAAGTAGGCATGGGCCGATTCATTTTCGTCAATTTTCATACCTACAAAACCACTATCATCATCACACTAGATTGGCCAACTCCACCTCTAATTAATTACTCCAAATATTATTTTCCAAATATTATACCATAAAGTATGCAATGCATCGATCGACTAAGGATCTCGAAACCGTCAAGCAAAAGCCAAAAAGTAAATCGATGGTTTGGTTGACACTAATCTTTCTGACGCATGAAGCTTTTCTTTTCCTCTTTTAAAAGTTGGATTTCGTATGATCGTATCGAACCCACCATGCATTATCTTATCACCTCCTTGATTTTACTTGTATCCAATCATACGCATGTACAATGTCATATTTGTATGGATGTATTGCATGTGCAACTTTAATAATGACGTGTCAGGTGTGCCGTATTGTGGAAATCAATTGTATTAAGAAAATGAGACGTTAATAACCAAGTTGGCTTATCTGATTAGTTTGGCTTTGTTTTTATATCTGGATATTTCACTATATTTTTCATATACGATATTAGTGGTTACTTATATATTCGTCGAAATTATTAGATATAAACTTGTTACCTTCTGAACGTAGAAATAGAATCGTTTCCAAACCTGAAACCTGGTGTCATTGATTCTAAAATTTGTGATGCATTTGAGAAACCTTGTAAAACCTTATATCCAACTTTACCCCGGTATGTTACAGTCTCCTGCTATTTCTACTAAGGTTCAAATATAACATTTTTTACTCACTTTGAACAGCAAACTAATGAGCCGATAATGAACCAAAATTAGATGTTGGAAATGTCAGAACGTTATCATTTGGTATTAGTTAAAATTAATTGTGCTTAGTGTCATAGTTTATTCAGTCGTCAATACTTACTTAGTCATCTTCTTGTGGATGAGAATATGGCATTATGGGTTATATATTATGAAATGACTTCAATGATACCACATAATGAACCAAAACCTACAACAACTTATTCTATTAAAATGCACTATTTCAAATGCTAGAAAATGCTATGTAGTCATATATAGTAAAGAAAACATACGTACTATAATGATACCTAGGATGATTGCAAAGCTAATAAAGAATTGTTGACATAAATATGGTTTTGGTACCGTCGTCCTCCACTTTGGTAGTGACCTCTGGTTCCACATCCACTATGGAATGTGAATATGATGGCCAACACAAAATCATTGAGCCATTATATAATATAGTACACTAGAAAATATAATATGGAATGTGAATATGATGGCCAATGTTCTAATATCCACTTTCCAGTATGCAAAATTTCTGACGATATTTCTTATCTCAGAATTTTCATAAGTAGCAAAAATAATTATGAATATTTCACCAAACACACTAAAAAATTTGTTATTTTTATTGTCATGTTGTAATCGTATATATGGGGAAATCCGTCCGAAATTCTATGATCAATACAGAAATGCAAATAGCTTTTCAGGAGAACTTTCTTGTCTGTTTTTGCTCCAATTGGGAAACTCCATGTAAATCTTTGACGGTGTGCCCCCACTCCACTACTCATGACTACTGTGTTTCAGTTAAAGAAAACAAGCAGCATCTATTGTCTCCGAAAATATTGGGCGTTTTTAATGATGATATCTCTTTTCTTGGTGTACTTCTCAAATTTTTGTAAGAAACAGAATATTGAAATTTCATATTATCGATAATAAATCTAATGATGTTAACTAATATGCAAATACGACAAGGGTATGAAATGTGTACTCCATATATAATTACTTTAGTCGAAGTCACGCCTGTTATCGTGATTATGATTTGACTTCAGTGCCATATGACAAATGACAAATTCCTAAGCCACTACATTATGGCTTTTGAAATATTTTAGTCCTATAAGGTTTGATAAATATTATAATAAGTCTATGAGGATACAAAACATTTTGTTTGAGCTTCATAGCATGCTGATCAAGCCCAATCCAAAGGGAAAATGGATTTTACAATTTGGTATTTCGTTTGATACCGCTTAAAATTTTCATCTGATGTGTAATTTGTTATCCAAGAGAATGATACAATCCTCCAAGTTTCCTTATGCCTGCAGACTGCAGTTGTTGCATGCTTATCCAACCCAAACGGACATCAGATGCATTCGGTTTGCCTTTTGTTGGTCCTAAAATTTGTGTAAGTGAATCTTAAGTAACATAGAGTGAAAAAAATTGATTTAAACTACTTCTAACTCCGAAAGATTATACAATATTCTTGATAACATATAACAACAGAACATAGGCATATAATCTTACAAGTGTTTTGACTCTTGATTAAAACGAATAAAAGTTCAGTTGTCTCTATATTCTTTTTTTTTTTTTTTGCCTATCACAATCACAATTACGTAGAAACAAAACAACTTTTTTTTTTGTAAAAGTGGATAATAATAATTCACCAAATCACCATTTCCTTTTTACTTCACACAATGAAAAAAAGAAGAAGCGGACATGCTTTTTGCTCGGTTGTGAATTTACCTTATCGCCCTTTAGGATTTACAATTTGAGAAAATATTCCACTACTGTCCTCGGAGGAGATATCACTCACGTCATGTTCGCCGGCGCCGACGTTAACCGCCATAATTCCTCCTCCTCCTCCTCCTCCTCCTCCTCCTCTTCCGCTTGAATCCTCGGATTCACCGCCCTGGCTAGGCGTTCGCTGGCGAGTTCCATCAGCAGTCTCCTGCAACTGAAGCGCGAATTCGAGATTCCACAACACATCACCCATCGTCGGCCGATCTAATCCGCTATCGGAGAGACACTTCTCCGCCGTATCTGCAAATTTCTTCAAACACTCCGGATTGATCTTCCCCTTCAGATTCGGATCGATTATGTCTTCCAGAGTCCCTCTCCGTTTGCAATTCATCGCCCAATCCCCAAGACTGACTTGCTCCTTGGACAAATTAGGGTTCAACGCCGGCCTCGCGCATAAGATCTCGAATAGAACAACACCGAACGAGTAAACATCCGATTTCTCAGTCAATTGCTGCCTCCTGAAGTATTCCGGATCCAAATACCCGAAACTCCCTTTCACGACGGTCGTCACATGGCCTCCGTTCATATTCGGCCCCGTTTTGGATAATCCGAAATCCGAAACCTTCGCGACCCAATTCTCATCGACCAAAATGTTCGTCGTCTTCACGTCGCGGTGTATAATCGTGTACTTGGCTCCCGTGTGAAGGTAATGCAGTCCTCTCGCAGCTCCAATCGCGATCTCCAGCCGCCGTTTCCAAGTCAGCTGAGGTCTCTTCGTGTTGTAAAGATGCTCCCTGAGTGTGCCGAGAGACATGTAATCGTAGATCAAACACATTTCTCCGCCGTCGTCGCAGTATCCGATCAACGACACCAAATGTTTGTGCCTCAGCCTCGAGAGAAGCTCGATTTCCGTCTCGAATTCGTTGAGACCTTGCTCTGAATTCGGATTCGATTTCTTGATCGCCACTTTCGTGCCGCCGTCGATTACTCCTTTGTAAACCTTACCGAATCCTCCGACTCCGATCACGTTTGACTCGTCGAAGTTCTGAGTCCCGTGTTTGATCTCAGGCAACGTGAATCTCCGGCATAAACCGGCTGCGAGGTTAGATAGATGGCTTCCGTTGTTGCTCTTGCCGGAGATAGTAGATTTCGTGCCGCCGGAAGTGTGTGAGTTTCCGTAGATAGGAAGCCAGCTCGACGTGAAAGAGTCGCCTCCATGGAACTTCCGTTTCCTTTGGTACATAGTGAAGCACAACGCGAAGAGCAAAACCGCCGAGACTCCTCCGGCGGAGCCGATGACGAAAGCTGTGATTCTTTTGTCTCTTCCGAATTCCTTTTTCACATCTTCGTTAGCTTGTAGAGGCGATGGCTTAGGGTTAGGGCCTGCAAGGTTCTTCATTGTGTCCATCTTGAAAATCTCTAGTCCGTTTAGCTGCGAGTCGAGATACTCCGGTTTAGCTATAACCGATGGAGTCATCTGGAGGGAAATCTCCTCGCCTCCGGTATTGGCGTCGACGTAGATGGCGTAATCTTTGTACGTCGGGACACCTTTCCCTCCCGTCCACGCGATGATATCCGCGGCGCTGGGATCGGTCTGCGCGGTTCTGTTGTTGATGAAAATGTTGAAAGCTTTCTGGTTGACTTTAGAGAGCTGGAACTCGCAGAAATGAAGTCTCGTGATGTAGGTGAAGTTGGTATCGACTTGGAACATCCACGTGAGGTTTGATTTGATGTTGATGTCTCCGTTTGGTCCCTGTGACCGAGCTGTTTTGTAGACGTCGGATGGAGCGGAAGAGACGGGCATTTGCTGGTAATCGATCCTGAAGTTGTTGCTTGCTTGGAGGGTTACACCGAGACCTGCGCTGAATATGTAAGGCGCGTCGTTGTACCAAGTTCTTGTTAACCCTCCAGAGTCTTGGCTCCCGGGGATATCTTGACCACCGACGTTAAGCCTGAACATGGTCTGAAGATTCGCGGCCTTAGCGTCTGCAGTTTGGTCTGCGAACCCGACGAGAACAGCTGAGTCGAACAGCTCCGGCATCTGAATGACCTCGATGCCGTTTATGAAAGCAAACGCCTTTGGCTGTTTGTCAGAGGGAGTAAACGTGAGGGTCAAGACATCTTTCTCGATCGGTGCGAGGGAATATTCTCTGACGAGGTAAGCTTGTGTCAAGGCTTGACATGTGATGGCGGCGCTGAAGTTGCTTAGAAGGGTCACGTCGTTGGCTGCTACGGAGAAATATGATTCGGCGATGTTGAGCCCTGTGTATGTGGATGGGTAGAAATGTAACCGGAGGAGATGTCTTTGGTCTCCTTTAACCGGGATTTCGTAAGTTGCTGGAGCTGTGAAGATTCTTGCCGTCATGTAAGGAACCGTGGAGAGAAGCGATGGGTCCTGATATGTAGCTGTTGCGTGAACCGTGTTTGCGGTTTTCAAGAATTTGGTGTCGGGTTCCCATTTTTTCTTGTCCGGATCAACGGATGGTTCTGACGCACCGCAGCTCAACGAGATATCTTGGCCGTTAGATTGAGAAGGAAAAACAAGAAGAACGGAGAAGAAACAGAGGAGGGAAAACATAATCCTTGTTTTCTCGTTCATGGCTGAAAAAAAACATAGAAGAAAAAAAGGTTTTGAAATTCCGATTGGAAAAAAGGAAAAAAGCTTACATTTGTTGTATGTAGGGCTTACCTCAAGCACCAGCAGAGAAAACTGGAGGCTTGTTTTATTCTCCTCTCTGCAACCTAACGATGTCTGATCAAAGCCATGGAAACGAAAGCAGAAACCCAAACAAAATATTTTTTTTTTTCTTTTTCTGCAAAGGTTATTGGTGGTTTCTCAATTTTCGGTGTTGTGTTGGAAAGAGAAACAAAAAAACAGTTGGAGAATCTATAAAGGAGAGGATTAACCGAAGAAAGCTATGTTTAGCAAATTGGTTACAAGAGGAAACATATGTTGTTTTTGAGTTTTTAACGCACGCTATGAAATGAAAGTTTCTAGACATTATTTTATACAAACATTGTTAAACTATACTGTTTCAAACGTTTAGTAGAATCCTGAAATCTGACTTAATCCTTAAAATAGGAGACTTAACAAGTTTGGTCAATTTATATGCTTCTAGAGTAGGATAATCTTGAAAGCCGTTTTCTTTTAGGGGGTCAAGAATCTAAACAAAGAAAGGTCCCTAAATTTATGGGATGTGTCTTTGTATCAAATTTAAACAATGGAAGAAAATAGCTTGACCCTCCATTGCTTAAATCAATGGTGAACACTACTTTTTCCCTATTCTCCATTAAAGCTCCTTGAGTCTCTTTTTTTTGTAGAGTTTATGTGGTCGGGTCGGCAAAATTTTCAGGTAGAAAAGGGCATACAAAAAACATTTTCTGATCAACCCGACCCGTAGAAGCTTCTTTGTTGGTCGCGTAGATTGGTGTCACACGCGGCCAGCAGATGAAGAACATACATTATTAGACGCAGTAGCAAATAGCAAAGCCGAAGCTTTGATATTCTCTCATAAAGAATCATCAACGGAAAGCCCTAGTTTGCACCACAAGGTATCTTTCCCAAATTATAAGCTCAAAACCCCTATCTTGCGTTACAAGCAACCATTTCGGTAAAAAATGGTGAGGAGAAGAGAAGGCCTTACCTTACCAATCTCAACTTCATCGCCATCACTTCCTGAGCCATTACCTCATGTTAGAACAATGGCGACACAGAAAACAAAACAACGGTTATCGAAGCAATTATCAATGCGTGAGACACCACGAGATGTTGCTTGGGAGAAAAGGCGCCGTCAGATGTTAAAGCTTCAAGAGAAGAAGCAGAGAGGTGCCTCTGACAGCGATTGCGATCCGACGGATCTAACCGATGAAGACTTAAGGGAGCTCAAAGGTTCAATTGAATTAGGATTTGGTTTCAAGGAAGAAGCCGGACAGAAGCTTTGCAACACATTACCAGCATTAGATCTTTACTTTGCTGTGAATAGGCAGCTTTCGCCTCTCCCTTCACCTAGTAGCAGCCGTAGCAGCAGTGGAGGAGATGGCTCCATGTCTTCTACTTCTGCTTCTTCAAGCAGCATACCTTGTAGCCCCAAAAACGACTCGGATTCTTTAAAGATCCTATGCCCTGGTAAGACAAACCAGCATTTGATTTTGCTTCATACGGTCCATAGAAATGTTAAATATACATACACTAATCACTGTGAATTTGAGTTGTGCAGGGGATAGTCCTCAACAGGTGAAACAAAGATTAAGGCATTGGGCACAAGCTGTTGCATGTTCTGTGATGCAATCTCACTGATGAGTGTAATGTTGTGACTACAAGTTTCAACTTGAAGCATTTGTGTTTTTTTCCCATTTTTGTGGGTGAGATAGGACAGAGGAAGAATCCTACCATGTAGGATCTCTCTGAAAGATGGAAGAACAAAACAAAATTAATAGAAAAGTTTTGGGATTTAAAAATAGAGAGAGAGAGAGTAAGAGATTATGGTCTCTCTACATACTTGTGCAAAGGGAACAAGATGAAAAGAGGAAGCCCTTTCTTATTCATGAACTGCATGAATGTATATCATTTTTAATATATGGTCGTGGATTTGATGGTGACGATGAAAGATCTTTTTGAGCTAATATATATGTTTTCCATATTTTATCTTAGGAATAATAATAACCTTACATGAGACATGCCATGCACCAGCTTTTTGATTGACTTCACAAGAATTTTTGCAATGTTTTTACGTCTTTACTAGCATATTAACAATATTTTAAGTTAAGTAGCAATGGAGAAAAATAAGTAACAAAATATTGGTTTTAACATTTCATATTGCGAACTAAGTCCCATTTCATATTGCGCAAGTATTCAAGAAACACGGAACAAAGAAAATTGTCATCATATCTATCTCCTTTTTTGTTTTTGTTAAAGCATATCTATCTCCTTTCCTCAGGCGATGAGCATGAAGAATGAAATGGATCTGTCTTCTCAATCCGAGGAAAATTCTGTTTGGTTAGCTAGTGATGTGCTTGCTGTGACAATATGAATTTGGTAATTTCGGCCTACAATGTCCGGTAAGAGTTGGGACTAAGCTGTAACTGCGCTTGTAAATTTTTGATGGATAATTTCATTCAAAAGGCATATAGTTTTTAGTCTTGTCCACAGTTTTTAGACTTGATGTTCACTTTGTGGATGACTATGAAAAGATCTTCGAGCTTGCCTTTCAACAAGACTGAGACCATTCTTGATTCTTTCTTTGCTTTGATTTCTTTCAAGAAGCAAGTTACTCTGTCACAATTTTCTTAAGATTAGGATAGTCTATATATGTGGTTGGATTTTGTTGGTATATAACCAAAGCCAGACTATGATACATCATAATAAAACTGTTCATCAACATACAAGCTTATATCTTACACTTATCTCCACGTTTTGTTGTTGAGGCTCGAATCCTTTTTGGGAGGAAGCAAGATAAAAAATTTGGAAATACATCAGAAGTACGAAGGAGAACTATCATATTATTTGCATTTCATTCGATAAAAAGGTTAAACATATGGAAAGAAAAAAAAACTGTAGAAAAAATAAAAGAAGGTATGCTCCTGAATTATATTACATTGTGAGAGAACGCTTCTTATGTATATGAATAAAATGGTACAAACTCGATACTTTGATCTCTTGGAACGCACTTAACTGACTCATATAAATATTACTTATTAATTAATAATATTAAAAACAAACAACCTCAAAATAAAAATAAAAATCATTTTTTTATCACAATCACTTACAATCACGCAATAGTTTAAATTATGGGCTCGATTGCTTTCAGATTCGTCGTCTCTCACTCGGAGAGACATTTTCGGTTCTCACTCTCAGGTATGTTCATGAAATCTTTCTCCATCGAGTAAATATATGATTAGATTGGAAACAATATTTGGAATCTTATACTGAGAATTAAGATTTAGGCAATGGAAGCAAGTGAATATCACTGGTTAATAAGATTTGACTAATTGTTGATGTGAGACTCATTTTCGACTCTCTCTCTTCAAACAAGGTATCTTTCTCTATCGATGGGAAACAGAACTTGGTACCTGGATTATCTGATATTGAGTTTGATTATGGTCTCTCTACATACATTACTTGTGCAGTACTTGTGCAAAGGGAACAAGATGAAAAGAGGAAGCTCTTTCTTATCCATGAACTGTATGAATGTAAAACATTTTTAAATATATGGTTGTGGATTTGATGGTAACGATGAAAGATATTTTTGAGCTAAAATTTTCCATATTTTATCTTAGGAATAGTAATAACCTTACATACATGCCATGCACCAACTTTATGATTGACTTTTTGCAATGTTTTTATGTCTTTAGTAGCATATTAACAATATTTTAAGTTAAGTAGCAATGGAGAAAAATACTGTAAGTAACAATTAAAATTGGTTTTAACATTTCATATTGCGCACCAAGTCCCAAAACTCCTCTACTCGATCAACCCAAAAAAAGTTACAAATCTAATTCAACATCAACACAAAAGCTCAAGTATTAAAAAAACACCGAACAAAGAAAATTGTCATCATATCTATCTCCTTTCCTCAGGCCATGAGCATTAAGAATGAAATGGATCTGTCTTGTCAATCCGAGGAAAATTCTTGTCAATCTGTCTTGTATAAGCTGTAACTGTGCTTGTAAACTCTTGATGGATAATTTCATTAAAAAAAAACTCTTGATGGATAATTTCATTCAAAAGGCATATAGTTTTTAGTCCTGTCCACAACTTCTTATTTTCAATTTTACATATTTTCCATGAATACTTGTATTCTTAATTGTTGTTCCCTTTTTTACTAAACAAATAAAAATGGTCCAATCGTTACGTATATGTGTTTCCTATGTAACATATTTTGATTTGAATGGTTTTGGTTTGGTCTAAACATAAGACCATTGACTAATGTTTTAATAAGGATTAGAGACACTGATTAGTAATGCAACTAAGCATTGTGTGTCGCGTAGCTACGAATAATTATTGGAACATGATCAACATAGTTTTGAGTTACCATGGATAAAGAAGCATAAAACACTAGCTGTGTCATGGAGAGCCAGAGAAGACAGAAATTTTTGATAATGTTCCCTGCAAAATTGAGGTATAAGTTGCGACATGCGCTGCAGAGTAGATGCAACGTGTTCATTAGTGTCTATCAAGAGAGATAAACTTGATTTCTGATGTTTCATTCACCATGTCAAGACTGCTAACCAAGTCGAGAGAAATGTTTTCATAAAAAGAAAAGATAAAACATTATAACTAGCGTGGTAAATGTTTTTCATGTTAACTGAAGAGTTCAAGGTGTGTAACGTGTGTTTTCTGAATCTTTTAAAACTAGCGTGGTAACAATGTAACATATTAAAGAATAAAGGACAAAGATGGTGTCATTCACCATGTCAAGATTGCTAACCAAGTCGAGAGAAATGTTCTCATGAAAAGAAAAGATAAAACATTGTAAACAAGAAGCAGAAAGAACCAAGAAATCAAGAGGGGAAAAACCAACGAGCATCCTGGAGCTCTGAGTTGGAGAGAGCAGGGAAGCGTTTAAAGGTCTTTGTTGTGAGATTATAGACACAGATGTCGAGGGATGAAGGTTTCAGGCTAAGGAGACGGTCATGACGGGTGAAGTAGATGGAGTTTGGCTTGATACCAAGTGTATGGTCAGGAGGGACGGTGATACCCAAATCCAGAAGCAGGGCCTCATCACCTAGAGAGTGTACACCTCAAAAATCTGGGTGTCCACCGGATGATTACTCTTGAAGAGACGGAGGATCCTATCCCCGGTTGACTTGAAAAGGATGCTAACTACCAACAAAATCTGTCCTGATGGTGTAACAGCAATGTTATAGGACTCGCGTGCGGCTTGACCATCCATCATTGCTTTAATTCTAAAAGAAGGCAGACTTAGGTGATACAGACTTGGCAATTTATCACTCTCTTTGTAACCATATTGTCCAGACAAATCTAGGAGTCGAATGTACCTAAGTGTCGTAAAGATGTAAAGCATGTATCCTTTGAGTACCATATCGATTACGCCATCTAAAGTATGCCGTTGTTAAATTACGCCGAAATAATCTTGCCCGTTCTTGCAAAAGGCTAAACCAGTGTCAAAACACCACACCACAACGAACTCTTCATTGTTCTCGTCTACCCATAAAACACCTCTTAGATTTTCGAAAGCCTCTTTGACTTCTTTACCACGTATTCGCATGTCTCTTATAGCTCCACCCCTGACTGACTTTAGAGATGGAAGATTGATCCTCTTGTCGCTAAACAAATCTATGATATAGAGATTGGATCGAGAATCTAGCACCAGGAACCAGTTACCTGAGTTTGCAAGGAATCGAATCCCTGAAAACTCCCTCTTCGTACCGCAAACCCTTTTTTCCGTTGGATTGTACAGCACGCAACCATCCTCCGGGAACGGGAACAGCATCAGCCAAGGTGGTGATTCGCTTTTCCCGAGCATCGTTTGTTTGGAATACAAGTACCAATTCCTACACACCTTCCTAGCGCGGTGGTGTTCCACAACACTCAAACGTCCCAACACACGTCTCAACAGGTCAGTAGGTAGCTCCGAGCAGCGGCTACACTTGAGTTTCTTCATGCTTTTTGTTTTGTTTCTCTTCTCGACAGAGACAATAATTTAAATATCAAATCAAACTAGCCTTTTTCCTGTGATTAACTTTGGAAAAAAGGGATAAATATCCTTTTCTTTTCTTCCTTCAACTCGATCCAAGATTTTTATTTACATTTTTAAAAGACACTTTATTTTATGGAACTATAATCCTCCGAATTACAAATAATATCTTAGACTCTTAGCGTGCTAAGTGAGTTTTGTTTACTCTTTAGCTTCGACAGAAGATAATGGATGTTACCTTTGCTCGTAGTGTCTCAATATTAGCTTTTAAAACTCTGTTTTCTACAGCTGCGTCATTGAATGTCTGAGTTACGTCAGTGAGACCTTTCATGAGCTTCGAATTCTCTACACGGAGCTGTGAAACCTGCCAGAGAAAAAAAAGAAACACAAGTGAGCTATGAGAGTAAAAGAGAGAAAGAAACGAATGTGGCAAGAGAGTAACATACTCTTCATGGAGAATTTCATTCAATTTTAGTTTTCTGCACAATTTCTAATTTTCAGTTTTACATATTTTCCATGATTATTGGTCTTTTCCCTAAACAAATTAAATTTACATGATTAAATATGTCTTTCGGTCTATATGTAACATATTTTGATAGAGCTTCAATTTCATTATAAAGAAAATGGAAATTGCTCAAATCCTATTGACATTGACTATATGAAAGGGGTAACTTGGTAATATAAACAAATCTAAAACACTTTCTCTTAAAACAATAAGACACATTATCTCGAAATTTTTTCCTTCCCCCAACCCTAAATCTTCACGCCTTCACCGTCGGCGAAATCAGTTCCTCACTCTCCGGTTACCTCCTCAGATTATCTGCTTTCGCAAGTTCCTCTCAAGTCCCTGCCTTTTGTTTTCCTCCCTCTCTCTCTCTCGATTGCAGATCTAAGGATATGGCGATCTCCAAAGATCTCTATCCTTCTCAAGAGGATCTCGTTTACGAGGAGGAGCTTATCCGGAACCCATTCAGCTTGAAGCTCTGGTGGAGGTATCTAATCGCCAAAGCCGACTCTCCATTCAAGAAGCGATTCGTCATCTACGAGAGAGCCTTGAAAGCTCTTCCCGGAAGCTACAAGCTCTGGTATGCGTATCTCCGAGAGCGACTCGACATCGTCCGGAACCTCCCTGTGACTCATCCTCAATACGACTCCCTCAACAACACTTTCGAAAGAGCTCTGGTGACGATGCACAAGATGCCGAGAATTTGGGTTATGTATCTCCAGAGTCTCACTGCGCAGAAGCTGATCACTCGGACTCGGAGAAGCTTCGACCGCGCGCTCTGCGCTCTGCCTGTGACGCAGCACGATCGGATCTGGGAGCCGTATCTCGTCTTCGTGAGCCAGGAAGGGATTCCGATTGAGACCTCGCTGAGAGTTTATCGAAGGTATTTGATGTATGATCCTAGTCACATTGAGGAGTTTATTGAGTTTCTGGTGAAGTCTGCTCGTTGGCAAGAAGCTGCAGAGCGATTGGCGTCTGTGTTGAATGATGATCAGTTTTACTCAATTAAAGGGAAGACGAAGCATACACTGTGGATGGAGTTGTGTGAGCTGCTTGTGCACCATGCTAATGATATTTCTGGTCTTAATGTTGATGCTATCATTAGAGGAGGGATTAGAAAGTTTAAGAATGAAGTTGGAATGCTCTGGACTTCTCTTGCTGATTATTATATCAGGAAGAACTTGCTGGAGAAAGCTAGGGATATCTATGAGGAAGGGATGATGAAGGTGGTGACTGTGAGGGATTTCAGTGTAATATTTGATGTTTACTCTAGGTTTGAGGAGAGCACTGTTGCTAAGAGAATGGAGATGATGAGTTCTGATGATGAGGATGAGATTGAAGAAGAGAATGGCGTTGATGAGGAAGAGGATGTTCGGCTGAATTTCTCTCTGTCTGTGAAAGAGATGCAAAGGAAGATTCTGAATGGGTTTTGGTTAAACGATGATAATGATGTTGATCTGAGACTAGCTCGCTTGGAAGAGCTGATGAACAGAAGACCGGCTTTAGCCAACAGTGTGCTGCTTAGGCAGAATCCGCACAACGTTGAACAGTGGCATCGCAGAGTGAAGATCTTCGAGGGAGACGCAGCGAAGCAGATTCTGACTTACACCGAAGCAGTGAGGACGGTGGATCCACTGAAAGCGGTGGGGAAGCCTCATACGTTGTGGATTGCGTTTGCTAAACTGTATGAGAACCACAAAGACCTGATCAACACGAGAGTGATTCTGGACAAGGCTGTCCAAGTAAACTACAAAAACGTGGACCATCTTGCGAGCGTGTGGTGTGAGTGGGCTGAGATGGAGTTGAGGCACAAGAATTTCAAAGGAGCATTGGAGCTTATGAGGCGTGCCACCGCCGTACCGACGGCAGAAGTCAGAAGGAAAGTGGCGGCTGATGGGAATGAGCCGGTGCAGATGAAGCTGCACAGATCGTTGAGGCTTTGGTCCTTTTACGTTGATTTGGAGGAAAGCCTGGGGACATTGGCATCGACAAAAGCAGTGTATGAGAAGATACTGGATTTGAGGATAGCTACGCCTCAGATCATTCTGAACTATGCTTATCTTCTGGAGGAAAACAAGTACTTTGAAGATGCTTTCAAGGTCTATGAAAGAGGTGTCAAGATATTCAAGTATCCTCACGTCAAAGACATATGGGTCACCTATCTCACCAAGTTTGTCAAGAGGTATGGGAGGACAAAGCTGGAGAGGGCAAGAGAGTTGTTTGAGCATGCGGTTTCAATGGTAAGCTCATCTCACCTTTTACATATGCTCTGGTTTTTGTGATGAAAGAAGCAATAATTTTTTTCAGAGACTTGTCTATTAACGTGGTGACATAGAACATAGTACGATATCTAACTTGTCTCTTTTATCTCTTTGTTTATTTTCAGGCTCCATCTGATGCTGTGAGGACCTTATACCTGCAGTATGCGAAGCTAGAAGAGGATTACGGTCTGGCCAAGCGAGCAATGAAGGTTTATGAGGAAGCCACAAAGAAGGTTCCTGAAGCTCAGAAGCTTGAGATGTACTCGATATACATTTCTAGAGCAGCAGAGATCTTTGGCGTTCCCAGAACTAGGGAGATTTACGAGCAAGCCATAGAGTCTGGGCTTCCTGACAAGGATGTGGAGATGATGTGCCTGAAATTTGCAGAGCTGGAGAGAAGCTTGGGGGAAATAGACCGTGCTCGATCCGTCTACAAGTATGCCTCTCAGTTTGCAGATCCAAGGTCAGACCCAGAGTTTTGGAACAAGTGGCATGAGTTTGAGGTGCAGCATGGGAATGAAGACACCTACAGAGAGATGCTTCGGATCAAGAGAAGTGTTTCAGCAAGCTACAGCCAGGTAGCTCTCTTATCCTTTACGTATTCTTGCATTGCTTTCTTTTATTTTCACTTCTTTTTGGCAGTTTTGAGATTCCGTTTGTTATAGTCTTGAGTCTTGACAGTTTGATGCTGACTAATTGTCCTTTTTGTTTTTGTTTTTCAGACTCATTTCATCTTGCCTGAGAATATGATGCTAAAGGACAAGATAGATGTGGAGGAGGCGAAGGATGAGCTGAAGAAAGCCGGTTTGCCGGATGACGAAATGGCAGCGCTGGAGAGGCAGCTAACGTCTACCACAGATGCAGTGAGAAGAGTTGGGTTTGTGAGCGCAGGAGTCATTTCGCAGTCTGGTGCGAACGAGGGGAAACCGGTGACTGGAAATGGAGAGGAGATAGAGCTCCCGGACGAGAGCGACGATGATGATTCTGATGGAGAAGACGAGGTAGAGATTGCTCAGAAGGAAGTCCCTGCTGCTGTGTTTGGAGGACTGGCCAGAAAGAGAGATGAAGTAACAGAAGCTGATGAAGGTGGTGCAGCCAAGACGCTTGGTGCACTTGAGAGGATCAAGAGACAGAAATTAGCTCAGTGAGTCGTGTAGGGAATTACTCTCTTGTTTCATATGATTTGGAAGTGTAATATCCAGAAAAAGATGTTTAAGAGAATCGTGAGAAATTTTGTATTTTGTTTCGTGACTATCGTCTCAATTCCACCATATGTTAACTTGCAGAGTTCTCTGTACTCTTTTTCCATTTCGTTGGTCTGAACTAGAATTACATCTTCAATCTGTTTGTGCAGTCTCGTGATAGAAATTAAATGTTTTGCAAAGTAGTTTTCGTTCTTCTTGATAAGAAAACGACTTTTTATAGATTGAAACACCACGGAGAAGCCAATTCTCATAGTAAGAGTGTTCTCTGCTTCTCATTCCTCCAAAAGAGTATTTTGATCTAAACTCAACACACAAATTGTTGTAGCTACAAGAAAAAAGTAGTAAAAGCCTAAAGTCTCTTCATCTTCATACGTTTTCCTTTGAGCTTGGAGAAACCTCAGTTTTTTCCTCTTCCTTGTTGCTCATTGCTACTGGAGATGAGCTAGAAGCAGAATCTTCAGGTTCCGTCTTAAGCTCAGACTCGAACTCTTTTGCAGCCTGCATCATTACCACAAAACCCCACAAGCCTTCATCAATACAGGTAAAAACGACAAAGATCAGATAAACGGAACACCAGACATACAACAAGACAGAAACACTGAGCCATAACAATTACTAATCAAATCACCAGATCACATTGGCAGATTGACCAACATAACATGTCTTCATCTATATACTATACAGCAAAGTTCACAAACTGTTCCAAGGTGAAGTGTTTAGTGTTTACAAGCAAATGAATGTTTTTGTTCTTGACCTATAATCTATACAGCAAAGTTAAAGCCACTCAATTTCCAATCATTCTGAATATTCTTATCAATTCACCACTAATTCAGACAAGACTCATACAAATTCCCAAACACTTATCCCTCATTAACACCTTTTACATCATTTCCAGCTACAATCAACAAGCTTTTCACATGAATTGGCACAAGAATTCCATACGTTTCACTCTTTTAATTCAATCATCTTCTTTGATTCAAGGGAAGAAACGTCAAATTTATAGTAGCAGCTAAAATCGAAACTTGAATAGCAAATTCTATCCGTTTGTATCATCAGCAAACCTGTTGAAAACTCTTGACGGTCTTCCCAATACTCTTGCCAATCTCAGGAAGCTTCTTAGGTCCGAAGAGCAACGCAGCGACGCCAGCAATCACAGCAAGCTCAGGGACACCGAGACCAAACAGGGCATTACAAGTGAGTCGCTTTCTCGTCTGCTCCGGTCGGGTTCTGGGTCGAATCGCCACCAAAGAACGGGTGTTCGGTCGGGTCGTCACTGAGAAGCAATTGGAGAAGAAGGAAGAGCGAGATGATGAGAGAGGCAGAGATACTGGTGGAGGAGAAGATAGAGTCGCAACAGATGTCGCCATTACTGCTCTCTCTATATTTTCTTCTGGTTCTGAAGCTATCTGTTGATTTTTCTTTCTTTTATCCAATATCCAGATATTCAGATTTCCTATCTAAAATACAATAAAACAAAATTCTCATTTCTTTTAGCTACTGTAAAACTAATTTTTTTTTCAACTATACAAAAATCTCTTCTTGTACATGAGATAACTGAAAAAAAATACTCCAAAATTCTATATTTTTCATTACTATCATATATCAATTTTGTGAATAAATCTTTTAATTCTACAAAGTTTGCAAAGGTTTTTTTTTTGTTGCTCAATAAATTGATGAAGCTTATATTTGATAAATTGTTGTCAACTTTTTAGTATTTACAAGATACAAACTTCAGAAATTGAATTGACAAAAACGAAGACATCACATTAGAGATAAGTAACCAAGTACTTTGGATATGGTTAAAAAACAAACAAACATTTCTTTACAAAAGATATAACTTTGGTCTCAAACTCTCTCTTTCTCTTGAGATAATGTTACAAATTCTTCTTATCGGCTACTGATCCCCAACGCTTCGAATACGTTTCTGAAGATGTTCCAAGCTCGCAACTCTACGCATCGAAGCTGTTCTGTTCATCTTGCACCCGATCAAGGACTTGCTTTTGTTATTGTTGCCAGAGCTGGTCTCTCGTGTGGTCACGTGGATCCTTGTGTCTAGAGAATCTGATGTCTTTGATGGAATAGAGACAGCTGAAGGCATAGTGTGGAACATTGGGTTGAAGCCAGTGATTCTCTTCACAGTCTCCTCAGCCATTTTCACCTGCAAACACAACATGTTTCAAAACAGTCTTAAGTTTTGGTTACTCTTTAATCCAAGAGAAAGAATTGGATGTTACCTTTGCTCGTAATGTCTCAATATTAGCTTTCAAAACTCTGTTTTCTACAGCTGCGTCGTTGAATGTCTGAGTTACGTCAGTGAGGCCTTTCATGAGCTTCGAATTCTCTACACGGAGCTGTGAAACCTGCCAGAGAAAAAAGAAACACAATTGAGCTAAGAGAAGAGTTAAGGAGAAGGAAACGAATGTGGCGAGAGATTAAACATACTTGTGTCTCTAGCTCACTCAGGTGTGCCTGTTTTCTTCTTCTGGACCGTCTAGCTGATTCTCTGTTAGAGAGCATCCTGTAATAACAAACAAATGTTCATGTTCAAGCAAGATCTTGTCTTCTGAGAGTAAATTAGAAGATGGGAAATAGATATTTAATCCAAAAGGATGTAAATTAATTTACCTTCTCACACGCTTAACATTGGTAGGGTTCATATTTGTTTCACCATCAGCTTCTTCTTCATCACCAGAGAGCTCAGATCCACTTGTTATAGCACTGCTCATCACTGGTGTAGCTGCAAATAAAAAAAGCATACAGATTGATTCCATTAGCATGAACGGATTTGGGATTTCTTCAAGAACTCTTGAACACAGCATGAGAAAACACAACATCAGTAAAAGAACATCTCAAAGACTCATCGTCATAGAGGTAAAAGGAATCCAATTAGGCATGATGAATAGAATTCAAGAACTACTAAAGCATTTGTATGAGCAAAGGAAAAACCTTTGGAAGAAGCTAGAGAGCCTTGCTCCGATGTACTGGATGTATATGCTCCTCCACCATTCTCAGATCTAGCAGAGGTATCCTGAGGTTTGATGAAAGCTCCCTGTCAAGTTCCACAAATCAGTTAGCCAGTGTGGTCTTAAGAAAGATAACAGCAAAGCTTACTCAAATCAACATGAGAGAAAAGACCAAGCTCACAAACTCAAATCCTACATCTTAATATACTTGAAAACAACAAAACAAGCTTAGAAGTCAGCTTCTCGAAAAACTCATCCATTTTTTTCAGAAACTTGAAGTTTCAAACCCCATTCATGTGGGTCAATTCAACTACTACAAGATCTCCTAAAGAAAGAAAAAAAAGGTTTGATTTTTCCTTTGTGTAGGAAAATCTACATATGCCCATTTGCAGTATTTTGTTGCTCAAGCTTTTGGAGCTCTTATTCAAGATCTTCTAAAGGAGGAAACATAAAAAAAAAACCAAACTTTGGAAACAGAAAGATACTCTGCTAAAAATGAAGCGTGAGCAAACAGAGAGAGTAGATTCTTACCCTTTTCATGGCGACAGCGGCACAAGCTAGATTGAGTTTATTCTTCAGAAATTCCCTGTACTCTTCGGAATCGACCGGAACATTCGGAGAAGGAGGTCCAGAGACGGAAACGGAAACGGAAACGTCACACGCCGTCGCAGCTTCTCCGGCACTGGCGTCGTCTGCTGCGGCGGAGGATTCTTGTATGTAGCGATGAAATGCCCACTCGGAGTCACTGCGATTCATCGCCGCCTCTTTCGTCAGCTCCGGCCAAAGATGGTTACCGGAGATTTCTTCGACAGAGAAAATCTTTTCCATTTTTGTTAATCTGTTGATGTTTAATTCTAATTTTGCTTCTCCCAGCAATTTGCTTCTTATCCGATTGGCCAGTCTTTGCATTTTTTAAATACGTTCTTTTTCGACTTTATTATTCTTTTTGTTTTTTGTAAGATATTTAATTTCCAGATTATCCTCTATTACCCCCGACAAGAATAGTTTATTCCCATTCACATACATAACTTTTGATTTATTATATAAGGTCCTATTTGAGTATTTTCTCATTGTAACCTGGCTTCATCTATGGATTAAGATGTGAAAATGTACGTGATACTTTTTTCAGTATTAATCTTTAGGTTTTAAAAGGATCTGAATCCACGATTACAAAATACTTCGATGGGTTATTTAAAAACAATGGTGACATAATCTATGAAAACATAAGACTATGAGGGGCTTAAAGTAAATAGTATTGATTTTATCACCAAACTGCACGTAATATTGATTTTGCCTAGTTGGATATAATATTTGTTTTTCCAACGCTTTTTGGGTCAAATCCAAGTCAGACTGAGGTGGCAAGAGGGGTATTTTTGTTAATATGGAAGTTGATCTTCGTCGTAAGAAGATTTAAATAGGATAGTCGTCGTTGTTTTCGTAATTTACTTCCTTTCGTGGGTCCATTTAATATTCCCATTTGCATTCTACATTACAAATGAGGAGAGATCCGACAGGGACATGAGCTCTAATAGTTTCTTTAGTGAAGTTAGATTAGAGAAATGTACTAAACTTTTCATTTTTTGGATAAGAATCTATCAGAACTCAAGTTGCATTTTCGTGGGTCCATTAATTTTTTGCATATATATGTGATAGCTGATATGTGGTACACTACTACACTTGTGCGAAACCTCTTATCAAGAGAATATATAGTGGGAGAGGAAAAATAACACTTAAATAGTTCAAAGTTTCTGAATCCGGTTTTTAGTAAACTAATATTTCAAGAACGTGAGCAAAACACTCTCTATTAACTTTCATCAAAGTCGTACGTCTCCTAGAGACGTAGCCCGAAGTGAGGGTAGTCTCTTTACAATCCTTGACTATATCACTTCGTATAGGATTTGTGTCGCTCTCTACAAAAGATAAACGTTTGTATGTTACGTTTATCTCTTTCAAGAAGTTGGTGTTTACTTTGTTATTAATTGCATTTCAGTACTGTCGGCTATGGGATTAGGAAAAATGGGGAAATTTTTCCTAAAGAAAATGATATGCAGCCTTGGCCGTTGGGATGTGTTAAGGGGCCAACGTGAAACATGATGGCTCATTTATTTTGGATATCGTAGTACAAACTAGGCCCCATTTTTCGAGCAACAAGGCTTCATAGACCCCACAGTTTCTCCTCCTCCATAACCACATGGTATATTTGTTCATGTTTTTCCACGAGATTTTATTTTGAATGTCATTCTCATTCGATCTCCTCATTTTATTGGTCAGCAATGTTTGTGTATTGTGATCCCTACTATTCATATTATGTTGTGGATGTGGTTTATATGATAGTCACTTTCGCTACATTTTGTTTGTTTGTATATTCAAGTTGTAAATATACAGTATGCATGTAGTCTAATGATTTGTGTTAGTGTTGTCAATGTGTTATCATTCTGAATCAAATCTGATATGTAATCTATTGATTTATGTTAGTGTTGCCACAGTGTCACCATTCGGATTTAAGTATATATGGCGTATTACATGTTGTTGACAAAAAACAACAAACTATGATTAAATATTCATTGAACTATATATCGATATATAATAATATAAACATGCTTTTTATCTCGTTGGTACAAGGGCATATAAATTACAAGTTCAATTGGTGAACATCTAGAGAATAGGAATGAAGAGGAATCAAAAGAAGTAATGATTAGAGTGAAAGAGAGTGAAAATTTTGAGAAGCTTATATAGGCTTACACACTCTAGCTATCGTCTTGGCAAAACAGTGTGCACTTCTAATGTTTCCACTTTCCACCATGGCTAAATCGTAGTGAAAGAATCAAGATTCCAGAAGAAATATTGATTAGGATGAGGTTTTGGATTACGGGACAAGAGGTAAAGAATGCAATGCACTTGAACATTTTGGTAAGGTAGAGAATCACGTTAATGCTGGATCGAATTACATTTTGTAGCCCACTGCAGGCCCATAATGGCATTTCCGTAATATCTTCGAAATGTCATGCCTTAACTATAACGTCGAAAAGAGAGTCAGCGATTTTCCCAGACTTCCGTTGACTGAGAAATAAATAAAAAAGACATAAATAAAAAAAGACAAATCTTTCAAAAACGGTCTTTCACCGTCACCAAACCTCTCAAGTCAGGTGATCTCTCTCTCGAAATGTCGAACGTGACGATCTTCGACGGCGAGGTGCTTAGATCCCTCGATCTCAACCTACCGGAGCTCGAACACGGCGTCACCGGTGCTCAGCTTCTCGAAATTTCTGAATCCAAGGTCTCTGAATCTCTCTCGGGCCTCTCACTTCCGCCTCACCTCAAACAAGCGGCGATCTCCAAAGTCTCAGCAGGAGATGACGTCAATTTCCGACGTACGGAGCTCAATCGGCAACAAGCATCTGAGAAATTCGGAGTGTTCGTCTCCGCCATTGCCGATGCTCTTAGAGGTACACGGTGTTATGAGCTAATTTGATCAAATTTGGAAAATTGGATGTTGATCATGGAATTTTAGATTAATTTGTTTGCTGAGAGATCGAGAATTAGATTTTTCATGGATTGATTGATTTACTGAAATGTGGTTTCTACAGATACTCCAATTGTGGTCTCGATTCTGGATGGGAGCTCGTTGAAGCTATTCTTGGAGGACGAAGATGATTTTGCAATGCTGGCAGAGAATCTGTTCACAGATTTGGATGAAGAAGATAAAGGAAAGCTTTGCAAGAGCCAGATTCGAAAAGCTCTTGCACACATGGGCGTTGAGATGGGTGTCCCTCCACTCTCAGGTTTGTTCTCTCTTACTTTGCCATCTACAGTTTTCGATCTTGTTCATCATCTAGTTAAAAAAAAAAAAAAAAAAAAAACACATTAAGGCTTGTTTGGAACAGAGTTTCCCATTTTAGATGACATCATTAAGAAGCACGATGCTGATGGTGATGAAGAGCTTGGACAAGCACAATTTGCAGAGCTACTTCAGCCAGTTCTTCAAGAAATAGCAAATGTCCTTCATCAGAAACCAATAACCATCATCCAGAACGTTGAGATCTTCACTACATCAAGGCTCCGTAAGGTTAGGCCACTCTCTTTTTGTTTAGAGTTCCAGAATACACATACATAATCTGATTTTGTTCTTCCTCAGGTTTTGGCAGACGAGAAGACACTCAAGTGCCTCGTAGAGAAGATGGTTGTGGAAGAGTCGAAAGAGAAAGACAAGCAGGGACAGGCAGATCTTATAAAGAGTTTGATAATAAAGAACGGAGAAGAGTTGGGATTGCCTCCGTTGTCTTCAGAGAATGAATCGGTGGCTCTTATCTATGACAACGTATTTGCTCAGTTGCATAACAAAGAGAAAGGAACCGGTGATGCTTCCACAGGAGATGGGTTTATGGATGCTCTTAAGGATGTGCTCAAGAAATTTGAGGAGTTGCTCGAAACCACACCGGTATATTCTGCTACTAATCTCTAGAGCTGGCCATTATACTGTGTAAACCGTGTCATTAACTATATGAGAGAAAGAGAGGGAAAGATTTCACATAATCTTTGAGGTATAGATTATTGTATATCTGAGATTTTGGTCTGCATGGAACTATTGTTTAATATGGATGATAAATGTCATTTTCAGACGAAAAGTGTTAAGTTTTGAAATCTTTTGATGTGTATATGAATTTATGCCATAATTGACCCATTACCAAACACAATAAAACCTACGTAGCACGGAAGCTTCGTCCGATGACCGCTTCCCGCTTCGGAATCGGAATCGGAAGCTCTCGGAAGCTTTCGGAAGCTCGCTTCCATGACGCTTCCTAAAAAACCTCTTTAAAAACGTTTTGGAAGCTTGCAATTCCGTTTTGGAAGCTTACGCTTCCGTTTAAAAATATGATATCTTAAATAATTATGAATACTTTTATATGTTTATGATTTTATAAGTTTTATAAAAATGAAAAATTAATATACCATGTATTTAATTTGGCATTCACAAATTAAAGACTAATTTTAATCTATTATCTATAAAAAAATTGTTTGGAAAAATTATTACAAATAAAATGAGAATAATTCTTTTGATTAGAAAAATGCGATTTCAATTTAGTGATCTTTCTTTAATAACATAGATATAAGATTATTTTACATGGAATTAGAGAATAACGAAATAAGAAACTAAAATTGGTTTTTGATTTGAATTATTATTAATTGAATTATATAAAATTGATATATTTGATTTATGCTATATACATATATATATATATATATATAGACGCTTCCAACACGTACCCGCTTCCTAATTTTTTTAAAAATATCGCTTCTGCGCTTCCAAACGCTTCCGCTTTCCCGTAGCATGCAACTTAGAATAAAACCTTCCAGGTAGAGCATACCACAAAAGCTAGTTTGAAAATGAGAGTGCCAAGTGATTTTTTTAGTTTAACTTATTCTTAATTAGTGTGGGACATTTAATAATAAGCAGTTGCCTATTATTTGTTGATGCGATAGCGACTAACATAACATCCACAATAGATAATACGTGTTATACTTTAGGCCGAGGAATGAGACAAAAGATGTCGACGGCAGAGAAAGGACAAAAAAGGATGGTGAGTGATCCGATCCTTAAGCCTAGAGGCTGTGTTAAGAGAGATGATATAAATCTTGATAAGATGAAAGAAAAACTCAAAAACTTGGCCACTTGATAATTTGGTACCACAACAAACATCAAGTTGATGTTGATGATGAACATACCGTGAAAGGACCACATGAATCATCTCAATAGGGAAAACTTTTTTAACTAAAAACAAAACGAGAATTAAGGGTTTTACTACATGAATATTAGCAGAAGAGAAGGAAACCCAAATCCAGAATACTTATTATTGTTGCTTTTTTTTTCATAGGAAGCTACCTAAACCATATATCTAAGCATTTTCCTGACCTTATATATTAAATAAGGCCATATAGTAAACTCATCCCCATTCACTCTTTTCCATCAGCCGCACGGAGTGATCCAAGCTGCACCGGAGCTTGAGTCCCAACCACCTTCGATGACCCGTAAAGCGACACATCGCTGCCTTTTGACTTCTCTTTCTCGATCTGTTCCTTTATCCAGAAGTAGGTTATTCGAAGCCCTTCCTGTTTGACCATACATTATGTTCACACACATAATCAGTTGTGTTACTCTCACAAAACAATCAGATATTCTCATCCTATCTTTGAGCTACTTAAGTGATTATGTTTTGGTACCTTCAGTCTCATCGTTGGAGCCCAACCAAGCTTTTCTTTGATCAGGTTGTTGTCTGAGTTACGACCACGAACACCTTCTGGTCCTGGAATGTGGTGAACTGGAAGCTTCTTCTTTTCAAAGCTGAGAACCATCTCAGCCATCTCATTCATGCTCACCATCTCATCACTTCCAATGTTCACAGGCTCACGGAAATCTGATTTAGTCAACCTAACAGACAACGATGAGGAAGAAAAACTCAGCCAATTATCTATGTTTTAACATGCAAATTTTCATCATTTCTAGTTTGAAGCTAATGCCCTCACCTGAGTACACCTTCAACGCACTCATCAATGAAGGTGAAAGAGCGGGTTTGAAGCCCGTCTCCCCACATCTCAAACCTATCAGTGGAGGTGAGAGCCTTTCTGCAGAAAGCAGCTGGAGCCTTCTCTCGTCCACCTGAAGTGACCAATATGTACATCAAACATTAAACCCAACGGTAAAAGAAATCAATGGTTAGTTTAAACTTCAAAGTCTGGAAACTGTTTGTTTGTTTGTTTACCTTTCCATGTTCCAAAAGGACCGTAGATGTTATGGAACCTTCCAATGCGGCATTCAATTCCAAAGTCCTTGTTGTAATGCTTGCACAGCTCCTCCGTTGCAAGTTTCTCCAAACCATACGCATCTTGAGGCTACATGACATCAGAAATCAAAGAACATCACCACATAAGAAACTTTTGCAAGAACATATGAATGATACTCATCAGGGAGAAACAAACCTCTGCAGGCCAAGCATCCGCCTCCTTCAGGCTCACATTAGTAGTTTCCAGCTGCTTGAACTCAGGGTAGATACATGCACTAGAAGCATAGAAGAACCTGAAACACACGGCAAAAAGTTTCAATCTTTAACTCTTTTTACAAAAGAAACACAAGATGCTCAAAACCTCACAAGAAACGACAATCTGACCTCTTAATCCCATTGATCCTAGAAGCCTCAATCATGTTGAAGCTGATCATGGTGTTGTTGTACATGATCACAGAGTGGTTTGACTGGATGAAACCCATACCACCCATATCAGCAGCCAAGTTAAAGACGTGATCAACTCCATTGGTGACCTTGAGGCAATTCTCCATGACCCTGAGATCAACAAGGTGGAACTCGTCGCAGAACATGTCTTCAGTCATGTGCTCGTTCTTCTTCCAGTCAGAAGCAATCACGTAATGCCCCTCGTGCTTCAAACGGCGAGCAATGTGGGAAGCGATGAAACCTCCGGCGCCGGTGATTGATATCTTCAGCTTCTCGGATGGCCAGTAGAGCTCTCTCTCAAGCTCCTTGTATGTGTAGGCACCATAGTCACTTCCGTTGGTAGTTGCCATTCTGCAGCAAAAGAAAAACACAAATCCATCATCAAAAACACAAAAATGTTACCAAGATTTTAGATTAAGAGACTTGTTGTGTTACTTGTAATCTCTGAATCAAACATGAACACAATTCGACCTAAAGAAAAATTTCAACTTTTTTCCAGTGGATAACGAATCAGAGAGCAGTAAGATCTCATGCAAAAGGGTCCCAATAATCTTAAATTAATATACAGAAACTGATTCAAAATTGGCCGCATTACGTCGGCAGAATTGTTCTTCTGATAGATTCCTATTGATAAAAAATTTAGAATACTATAATTTGAATACAGAGAGATTTTCATACACACAGAAACACAACGATTTTTTTTTTCAAAAAATATCAAATCTCAAACGAAATTAAATGCTAAGAGAAACCAATTGTTACGGAATCCGAAATCGGAACAGAGATTCAAAACCCTAGATTACAGAGAGGAACAGAGAACAAAAAAAATCCAAAGGGAAGATGAGAAATTGTCGGGATAAATGAATCTAAGAGAAAACGCGGATTGGATTTTTACCTGAGAGAGCTTCGAGAGAGTTGGAGAGATCGAAGAAGAGATGATAATGCAGAGGAAAAAGAGAGAGGTGAAGGATTTGGGGAAGAGGGAGAGTAATTGTATATATAGAGAGATTAGGAAGGAGAAGAAGAAGAAGCTAAACAGAGCAAGACCACTCGTTTGTGTGCCTCTTTGTGTTTTACAATTTTTGTGGGGACTAATATACCCCTGAAAAACAAAACTAAACAATTTCATAATTTTCGATTTTCTTTTACACTCGAAATGATAATAATTAATTTTATAGATAAATATCCTGTATAATATACTGATTTTAGTGACGAAAATTGGTATATTTTGAAAGATGCTGCTCCCTTTTCATTATCGTCATGGGTCGATATTGTCATATGAAAAGTTCCAAAATATTTAACTTCGTCACAAAAATATCGTAGAGAAATGGTGAAAGAGATAACATATATAAATTATCTAAAATATGAAAACTTATGAATTCGGATGTTAGCAAAAAAAAAGATTGAATGGTGATAATTATTTTAGTGGAACTTCAATAGTTTCTCTCATTTTCCTTATGCTTGTTCTGTATCTGAATTAGGAAAAGAAGCAATCAATTATGAAAAGTTAAGGACCGAGTAAAGAAAAAGAAATAAACCAACCAATCATTTACCTTGATTACTTACTATAATCACTTTTTTGACCAACCAGTCTTGCTTTGATATTTTCCTAATATGGTCAGATACTTTGCTTAACTTCTTTCCTTTCTACAGTAAGCGGGGTTGCGATATCTTTGCTGTTATAATAAAGTCACAAACTCACAACTTAGAAGAACAAGGACAAATATGAGACATTTAGTCCAGCATTACCAATTCTTTCTTTATAAAATCATTTGGATATAAAGTTTTTTTTTATATCAAGTAATCTATACCGGAAAGAAAATAGAACTTTAATATTAACCGGAAAATTAAAACATATGTAATGCTTAAAATGCTACAATATCCTTGTATTTTAATCTAAGATTTTCCAAATGAAAATATTGTGTACATCAGATTATTCACATGCGCACTATTCTTCGCATGCCGTAAAAAAAGGGAATACATGCATGAGTTATAAATTGTTTAATGAAGATGCAAGAATCAACTGACGATCCAAATTCCACAGGAAGACACGAGTTTTGCTCATCAGTCGACTATCCTCAATTCCTCATATGTATAGAGTATGAGCTAGTTAAACAAAATTAGCTAGTCAATCAAACAAGCCTTAAAAAAATAAAAGCCATTATAGGCTTATAGCACAAATCACAATGGGATAACTCTCCCATTCAAGCTTCGAGAGCGTCCACGAGGGTCCATGCCAGCTTTGCATGCGGGCAAAATAAGAGGATGCACGATTTACCAATTCAAAACAAAGAGCGTTTGAAAACAATCATCTAAGATCCTAGAATGCTTGGATCATGGAATGCTGCAAAGTAATCAATCATCTGCATTCTACTGTCTCAACAGCAAACTCGCTTATGATTCTCGAATCTAGCTATGATTTGTTTAGTGGCCTGGTTGACTTTTTTGGGGTCATATTCATACCCCTGAAAAATGTTTCCAAACAATGCAATTCTGGACTCATGCAAAGCTGATGATTTAGGCTTCAACCTTTTACTTGTTAACCAAAAAAAAAAAATATATATATATATACATATATATATATAGGCGATTTGATAAAATAAAACTCAGATATGAAGTTATGAACTAAAAAGAAGTGAAACCATACCAAACTGTTTGTATTTGATTATGTTTAGTTTTTTACTACTATTCATAAACCACAAAACGAAAAAAAAGAAAAAGAATAAAAATCGAATTCTAGATTGAACATTATTTAACGATATCATATGATAGTTTCCTTTATATTTTTTAAAACAATACTGTGCATGAGAAAAAAGTATTAAAAGAAGCCAAGAAAATTGTGCCCAAATTTCATGTATATATAAAAAATATGTAGCTAGGGTTTCCGGCGTCGGCAGAGCAGCAATCATGAAGAGAAGAGGTATGCGCCGCGCTCCTAGGGTGAGGTTGAAGAGCTGGATGTTACATCCCTTTGGCAATCATGGTAGTCGGGAATGGCTTCATCCGGAGGCCCTGGTTTCCTATGTTAGATTTCATTCTCAGGCTATACACCTTCTTTTCTTATATATATTGAAGAACATGTTCATTTTTGTAACAGAAACGGGAACAGTTGGCGTCTGATGATGATACTACTACCTCCATCTCCATCTCCATGCCTGATCAGTCGCCATCAAGGTACTTTGATTAGATCGATCTCTCTAGCTAAGTAATGTGCGTATATATATATATATATCAAGGTCAGGTCTCCACTGATATCTCTAGCTAATGCGTGTATCAGTTAAGCAATAGCTCTATATGGATGGTGATGGTTGTTGATGCTCATGAATGTTTCTGTTTTTCACGTTTCTCAGCATAGCTACAAGCAGCTCCGATCAAGTAGAGAAGAAAAAGAAGAAAAATAAGAAGAAGATGAAGATGATGCTCAAGCGCAAGGCAATATAATCCACCACCTAATTAATTAAGTCTGCAATCTCAATATGTTTTCAAATGTTTTGTAACTTAAAACACTTTAATTATGTCTTGAAAAAACCTGTTTGTTTGATTTTGAGTAATCTTGGTCTAGTAAAGTAAGTCCCCGTTGTCTTAATTTGTCTCCTTGTTATAATAACAGCTGCATACAAACCTGTTGTAAAAAAATGCATTTCAATTTTTTTTCCTACTCTTAGTTGAGGTTCGAACTCGCGACCTCAGGATTACACAGATAGCCAACTATTTTGATATATCCATCGAGTTATTATATATCCCGTTTTGTCTCTGTCACTGCGAGATGTTGACACAAACTCTTTCAACCCCAGTCCGCTTCTTCTCTTCTTTGCTCTTTTCTCAATTCCGCTTTGCGTATCCTTCATCTCTCTTTGTTGCTGCTAATTTCTGGTTTGTTCGCTAGTTTTCCTTCTAGTTCATGTGATTATCGTCCGTTTGACTCTTGAACCTCAATGCAGATTGGTTTCCTTGTTCATTTCGTTTGGAAAAAAAAAACGAATTTGATTGCTGTTTCTTATCACTGGAATCTGCTAGTTTGTCATATATGTATCGTGGCGCTAAAACGGGATTCAAAACGCAAATGCAGTGTCGTAGATACAAGCTAAGCTTTGTTGCAATTAGGTTCTGGAGTTCAATTCTAAATTTCTTCTTCCGGTCATTTAGTGACTTTTTTTTTGTCATATTTATACAATGCAATTCTGGACTCATGCAAAGCTGATAATTTAAGGTTCAAACTTATATATAATATATTTTACTGATAACAAAAAAAACATATAGGCGATTTGATTAAAATTAAACTCAAATATGAACTAAAATGTGAAACCATACCAAACTGTACGTTTGAAGGAGTATTTGATTATATATTTATATGTTTTTTTCTTTACTATTCATAAACCACAAAAAAGCACAAATCAAATTCTTGAACATTATTTAACGATATCATGATATATTTGTTTATATTTTTCTTTACAAAATTGTGCATGAGAAAAAAGTATTAAAAGAAACCTTGGGGGAAGAGGCCCAAATTAATTTAAGGTATATATACAAAAATATGTAGCTAGGGTTGCCGGCGTCGGAAGAGCAGCAATCATGGGCAGACTCCCTTTTCACCTTAGGGATCCTACTCCTTCTCGTCGGTTGATGTTGAGGCGCTGGCGGTCAATTCGTCATCCTATCTTTCATGTTCTTCCATGGAAGCCCCCGCCTATCTATCTTAGAGATATTCCATGGAATATCTCTTATAAACCTAATTATCCTCAGGTTATACACCTTCTTTTCATATATATATATATATATATATATATATACCCATCTGATGTACATTTGCAAATCCATCCAATTGATCAACTTGTGTCATCTATATATATATATATATAGGGCTCTTTTATTATCCATTATTGATTTGATTCTTAATTACAAGAAGCACATGTTCATTTTTGTTACAGGAACCGGAAAAGTTGTCGTCTGATGATGCTACTACTACCTCTATCTCCATGCCTGATCAGTCGACATCAAGGTACTTTGATTACATCTCTCTAGCTAACTAATGTGCGTGTATATATATATATATATCAATGTCTCCATTGATATCTCTAGCTAATGCGTGTATCAGTTAAGCAATATAGCTCTATATGGATGGTGATGGTTGTTGATGCTCATGAATGTTTTGATTTTTCACGTTTAATTCTCAGCATAGCTACAAGCAGCTCCGATCAGGTAGAGAAGAATAAGGATAAGAAGAAGAAAAAGAAGAAGAAGAAGATGAAGAAGAAGAAGAAGAAGACGATGCTCAGGCGTTTTTTACGTTTGTGTGTATAATCCACCCCCTAGTTAATTAAGTCAGCCATATCCACCACCTAGGCCGGAAAATGTTTTCCAGTGTTATGTAACTTAAAACTTACGATGCTTTATGACTTTAAAAGAAGACCTGACATATGTGGTTTTTGAGGAACCTTTGTCTGATAAACTCCGCGATATCTTTGTTTCCTTGTACATATTAATAGCTGGTCAAAGATTGACTAATTTCACTCATCCTTTTTTTATACAATCTGCTCGCAATTTTATTATATACAGTTTCTTGTCCATTAAGAACAATGAATGTCCTCCTCCATAACAATGATGAACCTTAACATTCTATCAATTTTACCCCTTTTCTATCTTTTTGAAAACCTTGTATTTCAACATACAGTTTTAGTAGATTATTTTTCTAGTTATAATTTCAACAGTACTAGTTGTATATAATAGCGGAATCATCTCACAAAAACGTGAAAAGCAGATGAATGGTAAAAAAAAAAATCACATTTTCAATACACACGGAAATGTGAAAAAACTACATACAATTCAAACCCTTAAATTTATTATTATATTCAACCAACATAGTCACATAACTTTCACCAAGAACCAAACATATAGGGGTGATTGGTTGTGGCTGTAGAAGCTGTAGAGAGCAAAAAAAAAATCTAAAGCCAAATAGATCACCAATCATGCTCTATACTTTTTTTTTAAACCTACAGACTTCTTTCATTTCTTTCATTTTTCGTTCCTTTTTTTGTTTTGCAGAGCAAAATTTATAGAGCATAATTTTAAAGGCTCTGAATTTCTTTTTTCTCTCTCTTTCATTCTTTCCAAATATATTGTTTTTTTCTTTACTTTTTTCCTTATTATTATTTTCCATATTTACCTATTTCATTTTTTACTAAAATCCTGCAATCAATATCCTAAAGCAACAATTTCACAGCCACAGCCATAAAACATAAATCAAAAACTCTACAGCAAAAATAAAAAAGCTAGAGCAACAACCAATCACCCCCATATTTACGCCAAAAAAACTTAAAAAATCCTTTGAATATTTGAAGACCATCTACTTTAAATCCATTTCAAGATAAATATTTTCCCCAAACATGGAAACTTGACTTTTGGGATGAAATTTTTGTGGCATTTCGATCCTTTTGATGACAATGCTAAGGTGAAAGGGAAGAAATTGGCCGCAACCAAGTCGCCACCACCTACACCATTTGCTCCACGCACATGTCAACAGTTTGCAGTTCATTGTGGACTAATTAACAAACCATAAATGACCTCAAAAGAAAAGAAAAAACCCCATTAAGATAGGGAATCTCACACACACGCCTCCTATTTTTTTCCGACCACACACAGTCTAATTTTTCGATCGTATATTTATTTATTTATTTTAATAGGTCGGAGAAAATAGAGAGAAAAAAAATCTACATTTTCCCTCACTTTCTCGATACCCATTCACTTTAAGCACATTTCTATATCGGAGGGAGAGAAAATTCATTTGGCAACAAATTGTTTAAGATCTAGGGTTTCTTCACTCTTTTCTCTGCTCCGATTTGATAAATTTCTGATTGCCCCCCCCCCCTTCTTTCGTATTTCTTCGTCCACCTCGAAACTTCAACCCCTCTCTTTCCTTCCGGCGTAGCTCGTCGGCGTTGATGCGATTCGATTGATTTTGATTGGATTACGTGAGAATCGAGTATGGTGGATGCTGTTGTTCCCGGAGACATGGCTTCTCTGGATACGGATTTGTTGCAGCTTCAGGAGATGTCTTCGTTTGTGCTGAAATCGAGACCTGAATTCACTCAGAAGCTCTTCGACCAGTGGCTTTCCCTCCCCGAAGCTCATCGCCAGGTAATTCGATTCGCTCACTTGTATGCTTTCATTGGCTTTAAATTCGTTTCAGACTTTCAATCCAATTCTTCAATGCCGCTAAGAATTTTGGTTAACGGAATCTTTTATCCTCGAGCTATGGTCTTTCGTTGTTACATGAGCTCTAAGAATATGCTTAGGTTAATTGGAATTTGCTAGCTAAGTTCTCTTTTTTTTGGGTGGATTTCTGTGTAGAGCAGATTTGTTCTGAAAGAGACTGTTAGCTTATTTTTGTTAAATTTATTATTGTGAAAGAGTCATTAGCTGAAATCAAAGGTGCACACTATTTTTCTTAGGTAGCATCATTGCTTCAAGATGCAATGGCTGGGGCTCCTTTGAACGTTACTGGGAGTGCATCTGGTTCAGGTCCTGGGACCAGCAATACTTTGCCATCTATGTTTCCGGCGGGAAGTGCTCCTCCGCTTTCTCCTAGGAGTTGTGGTTCACCGCGTTCAGTGAAACAGAGGGCTCCTTCTAATCTAGGTTCTCCGCTAAAAGTACTCAATGAGCCTGTTAAAGAGTCCATACCACAGGTACATAATTGCGACTGGTGCATTCATTATTAATGTTCTAATGGAGTAATTTACTTATGATTGGCATTGGAATGGTGTAGTTTTATTTTCAAAATGGTCGCGCACCTCCAAGCGAGATAAAAGAGCAATGTATGTTTAGAATCAACCACTTTTTCTACGGCCACGGAGATGGACTGCAGATACAAGGTAAGGAGACGTGAGTTTCTTATATTTACAGTGACATTCCACGGATTGTCTTGTTAACTTTATCTTCTTTTTCAATACTCAGAATTCAAACTAGTCACCAGAGAAATCTGCAAGCTCCCATCTTTCTTCTCCACTTCACTTTTCAGGAAGATCGATGTCAATAATACAGGTTTTGTTACTAGGTGTGTGCTTCTATAATCTTTCATGAGTTTGATGATCGCAATTGGTATAACCTATTATAACAGTCTTTTAGAGTTTGATTTATTTTTCGTTTCTGCAGAGAAGCATTTATTGATTACTGGGTAAACGGGAACATGTTGATACTGGATACAACCACCCAAATATTTAAGATACTAAAGCAACAAAATCAGAATTTCCTTGCGAAGGTAATTTTCTTTTGATTGGCTTATGGAGTCATGATAGTGAGTTTCTTTCTTCAGTCTCCTTTCTCTTCTGTTTGCATTTTCGTTCTCAGCTTTCTTTTGCTCTGGCAGGATGATTTCAAACCACTACTTAAAGAACTTTTGGCGACACATCCTGGGCTAGAGTTTTTGCAAGGCACACCTGAATTCCAAGAAAGATATGGTTAGTTCTTAACTTCAGTTACATTTTAGTCAATTTCCTATTTCATCTCATCTTGGCTTTTTCCTCTTCGGTATTCCTTGAGTTATGGTGTTTAGTTTTCTGGAAATTGAGCTGGAGTTTGTTTGTATATTTGTTCTACGATGTATATGGTTAGCTAATAGCTGCTGTACTAGTTAGGAAGAATCAGATTGTTGTGTATAAAAAAATGCGAATCTAGATCCGACGAGTCTTTACTCCTATTAGTTTCAGTATTAGATGCCTAAGATAATTTTCATCATTCATGCATCCAGATAGTGTGGTATTACTGTGTTAGACTCTGACAAGTGACAAGTTTGCATATGTAATTTCGAAGCTAGGATTTCGTTGTTGTGCTAGACATCTTGGAACTTTCAATTCCAAAGCGCTGGCAAGCATGCCATGGATAATTTGTTCTCCAATAGGTTTATGATGCATGTAATTTCTTTTCAAATTATGCTTGTTAGGGGTTAATTTGGCGAACTTGCTGACTTTGTCTAAGTTATTAACGCGGTTTGGCGTGTGGATCAGTCATGAAATTGCCTGAGCACTTTTATTTTTGATCATGTCTGGATCCCACATCCTTTTTTTTTTCATTTGCTGTTGCTGTTTAAAATGGTGGCAATCAAAGTTGTCTTTTAAAGAACGTAGTTTCCTGATACAGTTTGTTTTTTGATGGGCCAGCTGAAACTGTTACCTACAGAATATTTTACTACATAAATAGATCTGGAAATGGCCGACTTACATTTAGGGAGCTTAAACGGGGAAACTTAATTGATGCTATGCTTCATGCTGACGAAGAAGAAGATATCAACAAAGTGTTGAGGTACTGACAAACATTACTTCGTTCTATTGAAACAGGCGTACAGTTGCGTTAGATCTGCAAACTATACTTTTGTGTCACTTCATATGGCATCAATACTTTCTGTTTACTTTGGCAACTAGGTACTTCTCATATGAGCATTTCTATGTCATATACTGCAAGTTCTGGGAGCTGGATACAGATCACGATTTCCTGATTGACAAAGAAAACCTTATGAAATATGGAAACCATGCTCTTACATACCGGATTGTCGACAGAATATTCTCCCAGGTTTCGTCTAAAATATCTTGATATATAAGTGATTTTTAGTGCATGTTTCCCTAAGTCTTGTGTCCTTCTTGTTCCAAGTTATTGATACATTATTTTTTACTCAGGTTGCTAGGAAGTTTACTAGCAAAGCTGAAGGGAAAATGGGTTATGAGGATTTCGTCTATTTCATACTTGCGGAAGAAGATAAATCGTCAGAGCCTAGCCTAGAGTATTGGTAAGCTGTGATATACTGATCCAAAGATGCCAGACAGAGTATATGAGTGTCTTTATCTGACACAAGTATATCTTGGACTAGGTTCACGTGCATAGACTTGGATGGAAATGGGATTCTTACGCGAAATGAGATGCAATTCTTTTATGAGGAGCAGTTGCATCGAATGGAGTGCATGGCGCAAGAGGCTGTTCTTTTTGAGGACATCTTATGTCAGATAATTGACATGATCGGACCAGAGGTTGAACAATACTCTTATATTATTGTGGTTATTTTATATGCTTAAGTTCTTCTATAAAGAACGTTTTAAGAAGTAGTCGATGTTTCCAGTTTTTTTCTGATTCTTGTTATTTGTGATTGATTGTTTCTTGTCGCTTCGGCAGAATGAAAGCTATATAACCCTGCAAGACCTGAAGGGCTCCAAGCTCTCTGGAAACGTCTTCAACATCCTTTTTAATCTTAACAAGTTCATGGCCTTTGAAACACGGGATCCATTCCTCATTCGTCAGGTACTTTTCGTCTGATATCTAACCTTGCTGCTTCTTGATGCGGGGGTATTCCTATTATAACATGTTTGAAATCTCGAATGGAAAAACAGGAACGAGAAAATCCAACGTTGACAGACTGGGACCGTTTTGCACATAGAGAATACATAAGGCTTTCAATGGAGGAAGATGTTGAAGATGCATCCAATGGAAGTGCTGAAGTTTGGGACGAGTCACTAGAAGCTCCCTTCTGAGTTCATAGAGGTAAGGTTCTCTGGATTAACTCTCCTCTTTATAAACCTGTGATGTTGATCCGTGCGAATGTTCAGTTAATGGAAAATCATATTGCCTATATTGGTTAAATATGCAGGGTGTTGCATTATCACTGAACAGAAATACGAAAATCATTGAGAGATATCTTGGGAGCTTACTGGAGCCAAACGAAAGGGAAAGACGGAGTAGTATACTCTGCTTCAACATTTGTTATTAGGTGCATGGGGTTTCCATTGGTATCCAGGTTTGGAAATCGGAAATTTGTTTTCCTATAGGAGTCCATTTATTTGTAGAAATCAGTGAGGGAGGCTGATTTCATGTTACAATTGTACTTGTTCATGGGTATTGCATTTTCTGTGCTTTTTGTTCTATCTCTGTACTTTTATATAGCTATGCTACTTTCACATCTTCTGTTCAGAATGTTAATGTGCCTTTAATTCAACTGTTTTTTTGTTTCTTCTTCTGGCTTTCATGTGTTCTTATAGTAACCTCAGGTTTTTACTTGGGAATAACAATGCTACTTGAAATTATTTTCATCTGTAGAATGCTGCGGTGTGTAGATATGATCATATGACTAATATACAAATGCTTTGAGACTCCAAAATTGACATACTTTGTACGTTTATAAATATTCTATATAACTGTCTACGGATGCTCAATTACTTCTACGGGAGAAAACATATAATGTTCCTAAGTTTTGCACCTGCAATACATAGAAGACTGTTGCATCATCATAAAAAAGAGAAACAAAAACGGGAAGTATTTTGGGTTATTCCTTGAGAAAAATGTCTCAATTCTTTAGACTGCACGAGCAGCCAGTGGGTGATCCAGTTGGATTTCAACCAAAACTTTCATGATCGAGTAAAGCATATTCCCAAACATGTCTATTTTAAGCTCAATCTCTATCGAAGCCCATCTTATACATGTGTTTCGGATCGCTCTCTTTTTAGTTTTCACAAACAAAAAGGCTTCACATTCTCGTTACATGCCAATCTGGATGAAATAGGAGTCCAAACAACATTGTTGTTCACCTAAACAAAGAACCAGATCAATTAAAGTGTAACCCTCTTGAATACTTGCTTTACTTAACTTTTGAGTTTTATAGACTTTTAGTACATGCTGATATATGTATTGAGTATACTGTATACATAGTTTCTCTTTTGTCAACGGAAATCTTATTTTATTTCTATTTCGGATCGATCTCTTCTCACACGCTGAAGTACTGAACAACAACACATTTTCTGTCGCATTTCCTTGACATTTTCGTCACCACGATCACTTTTCCACCTCCTTACTCGGAGTCAGAATCGGAGAAGGAGATTAGAAGCTCATTCAATGTCTTCTTCAAGATCTGGAGTTTCTTCACACTTTTAACAGCTCGATTTGGTTTATCTCTCCTGGTTCGATTTCCTCCTGTTGTTTCCGTTGGTGTTGATGCGATTGATTGATTGATCGGATCGCGTGCAAAAATGAGTATGGTGGATGCGATTGTTTCCGGAGACATTGCCTGTCTCGATGCGGATTTGTTGCAGCTGCAGGAGATGTCTTCCTTTGTGCTCACCTCAAAACCCGGATTCACCCAGATGCTCTTCGACCAGTGGCTCTCTCTTCCCGAAGCTCATCGTCAGGTATATTCCATTCTGAAATCTCCAATTCTTGTATCTCAACTCTGTTTCTGCTTCATTGGGCTTCACTGCCGTTAGATGGATATGTTGAAGATCGGTGAAAGTTAGAATCTTTGATTGTAATTGTAGCAGTACCAGGCTCAGAATGATCACTGGACTCTCAAGTCTAAACATTTTGTTTGTCTCTTTTCCTTATCGGTTTCCTAGATTGCATCATTGCTTCATGATGCCATAGCTGGAGCTCCTTTAAATGTTCCCGGAAATGCATCTGCTTCAAACTCTGCCACCGGCAGTCCTTTGCCGTCGAATATGTTTCCTGCGGGAAGTGCTCCTCCGCTTTCGCCAAGGAGTTGCGGTTCGCCGCGTGTAACGAAGCAGAGAGCTGGCCCTTCTAACTTAGGCTCTACTCTAAAAGTAGCCAGCGAGCCTGTTAAAGAGCCAATGCCTCAGGTTTTTGAACCTTCTTTTCTTATTCTCTCTTTTATAGAATAATGGAGGGAAAACACTGATATTGAACATTGAAAATGATTGTAGTTTTATTTTCAAAATGGTCGCCCACCACCAAGCGAGGTTAAAGAGCAATGTATGTTTAGAATCAACCACTTCTTCTATGGTCACATGGATGGACTGCAGGTGAAAGGTAAGTAGTCATAAGTCTAATAATCAAACACTTCTTCTGTGGTCACACGAATGGATGGCTTATTTACTCTTTATACATTTTACTACTCAGAATTCAAATTAGTCACCCGAGAAATCTGCAAGCTCCCATCTTTCTTCTCCACTGCACTTTTCAAGAAGATCGATGTCAATGATACAGGCTTTGTTACTAGGTGTGTGCTTCTTCTATGCTTTCTGTGTGGTGGAATCTGACGTGCGCGCTCTACTACAGTATAACAGTCTTTTTTAACGTGTAATTATGCAGACAAGCATTTATTGATTATTGGGTAAACGGGAACATGCTTATAATGGATACAACCACCCAAATCTTTAAGATACTAAAGCAGCAAAATCAGAATTTCATTGCGAAGGTAGTTTTCTTTTGATCGGCATATTCAGTCATGACAGCGAGTTAATTTCCCAATCTCCTTGCTGATATCTTTGCATTTTCAGTTATAAATTTTATATTTTTCTGGCAGGATGACTTCAGACCTCTACTTAAAGAGTTACTGGCAACACACCCTGGGCTAGAGTTCCTGCAAACCACACCTGAATTCCAAGAAAGATACGGTTAGGTCTCAACTTCATATACATTTAGCCAGTATCCTGTTTTGGTGTTTGTGGTATTGCTTTATTAAATCACATAGCAATTAGTATTGAACTTAGGTGCATACTATTAGTGTTTCCTTTGTCTGGAGTCCACATTCTCTGGTTTTGTCTGATACAAATTGTATTTTGATGGGCCAGCTGAAACTGTGACCTACAGAATATTTTACTACATAAATAGATCTGGAAATGGTCGACTTACATTTAGGGAGCTTAGACGAGGGAACTTAATTGATGCAATGCGACATGCTGATGAAGAAGAAGATATCAACAAAGTGTTAAGGTACTGACTAAAAGAGTTCGTGCTATTGTGTTTATATATGGATTTGTTTCACTTAATTTGACATCAACACTGTTACTTTGGCAACTAGGTACTTCTCATATGAACATTTCTATGTCATATACTGCAAGTTCTGGGAGCTGGATACGGATCATGATTTCTTGATTGACAAAGAAAATCTTATGAGATATGGAAACCACGCTCTTACTTACCGGATTGTCGACAGAATATTCTCCCAGGTTTTGTCTAAAAAATCTTGATCTTTCAAGACTTCTTTCGTTCTTGTTCCAAATTATTAGTTCTCTTGAGATGACTGTCATAATGGATAATGCATTGGTTTATACTCAGGTTGCTAGGAAGTTCACTAGCAAAGTTGAAGGGAAAATGGGGTATGAGGATTTCGTATATTTCATACTTGCGGAAGAAGATAAATCATCAGAGCCTAGCCTAGAATATTGGTAAGCTGTGACGTAAGGATATCCAAAGGTGCCAGAGATATGTCATTGTCAGTCTTTTGGTCTGACACAATTATATATTGTACCAGGTTTAAGTGCATAGACTTGGATGGAAATGGGATTATCACCCGAAATGAGATGCAATTCTTTTACGAGGAGCAGTTGCATCGAATGGAGTGCATGGCGCAAGAGGCTGTTCTTTTTGAGGATATCTTATGCCAGATGATTGATATGATTGGACCAGAGGTTGAACAATAAGCCTCATGCTTTTCTTTCTGACTCTTTCGATTTTGTTTAGTGTGTGATTTTTTCTTGTTTCCGTCCACAGAATGAAAGCCATGTAATGCTGCATGACCTGAAAGGCTCCAAGCTCTCTGGAAACGTCTTTAACATCCTTTTTAATCTTAATAAGTTCATGGCGTTTGAGACAAGGGATCCATTCCTCATTCGTCAGGTACCTTTCCGTCTGATATTAAACCTTGGTGCATTTTGACGCCGGCGTCTTATAACATTTCACATAATGTATGTCAAACGGAAACAGGAACGCGAAAACCCTACATTGACAGAGTGGGACCGTTTTGCACATAGAGAGTATATTAGGCTTTCAATGGAAGAAGATGTTGAAGATGCCTCCAATGGAAGTGCTGAGGTTTGGGATGAGTCACTGGAAGCTCCCTTCTGAGCTCATAAAAGTAAGCTTCCTTGGATTCACTCTCTTTATAAACTCAGAGCCAATGTTCATAGAATGATAAATCATATTGGCTAGAAGCAACATAAGATAAAATAAGAAAAAGACTTGGACGTTGAAGGTTAGGCAAATGTTGTCACTTATTTCATCATATTGGTTAATCATGCAGAACAGAAACTCAAAGCCATTGGGAAGAAGCTTTGGGTCTTAACTGGAGGAAGGAAAAGGAAAGAGCCGGAAAGAACTGAAACCATTACTTAGCTTGGATCTTTTTTTTTCAAAGTTTTAGCTGATTACGAATTCTATTTATTAATAATGTGACTAGCTCATAGCTTTGTTATGCTTTTCTTCTTCACCTGTTTATTAATAATCGACTATGCTGATGTTTCTATCTTTGGCCTTGTCTGTACTTTGTCGCTGTGTTACTTCTTCATTTCTTGAGATTTGTAAAAAACCAATTTCATAATTACTCTCTTTTTTTTGGTTGGTTCTGTTTGGAGAGGAATCCTCCTAGAAAGTAGATTTGTTAATCTCACGTATGCTTGTGTTTATATCAAGTGGCTCCAATTTGGCTAGAAATGTAAACCCCACAGTTATGATTTCCATTCACAAGACAAGGATCTTCCGTATCTTTGTCCTAATCTTGGGAGTTGATAACTTTGGGGTCCAAAACCGTACACTCCTTCCGACCGGACTCGGAGGCTTATTGAGTTGGGATTTAGTGGCTGATATTGTAAAATTTGGAGGTAGAGGGCATTTCTTAACCTACGATTTCGATCTGGTAACCTAATGATTTAAAAGGTAATTAATCCGGTATGTTGCCTTATATAAAGATAAATTGATTATATTCAGATTTTTGAAAAACAGTAATGGAAATAAACAACCTGGAACTGTAGAGAGAGAGACGTAAAAGCTGAGAAATTTCAAAAGGTGAAATCAGAATGGTAAAGTCGTTAATAAATTCAAAATCCAAGGGTAATCAATAATCTTCTCTCCAGAGAACCGTAAAGCAAAAAAAAAAACCAAATGGTCGGAACCAGAAAATTGCAATTGCGGAGAGAGAGAGATCTGAGTAAAGCTTAGGCATTCATTAATGGCCAAGTAAGTTCCTTGCCGCAAAATTGAACCTTCGGTGGACGATCATTTTCAACCGTTGTTCGCTTCTCCTCCTCCTTCAATTCCTTTCTCCTCCGTGGTTTTGGATCGGATTGGGGGATAGATTCAAGGCGGCTCCGGTTTCGGATTCGTCTCCTCAGGTGCGTTTCTGGTGACCTTTCCTCTTCATGTCTTGTTAGAAAGAAACAAATTTAATAAATGGGAAACGTAGAGTATTAGTACTGCTTATTCTGAATCTCTGATAAACAGAGACAGCTTTGTTCAAGATCCAAATAATTGGTTGGCATTACTTTTCTCTTGTGTTCTGAGATTCGTTTTCCGGTTGGTGGAGAAAGTTTGAAATATTCTTCTGTCTACGCTAATTTCAAAACTTTTTAAATAAAATTGCAAATTTAATTGATAGGCTCATTTCTTCTGAATCTGTATAGGTTGTTTCGTACATATTCGAGCTTCAAGTAGAGTCTCTAATTGAAGAAGATAAGGAATTTGTACATGTAATGTTTGAGAGAGACGGAGTTTGATAAAGAAGCGAGAGAGAGCTATGGAAGATTACTCAAAGTACACTCACAGTCCCGCGCATCTCGCGGTGCTGCTTCACGATCACGCAGCTCTCAGGCGAATCGTCACTGAACTTCCACAGCTAGCCAAAGCCGGCGAGGTCACAAACGAGGCAGAGTCATTAGAAGCCGAATCCCGCGCCGATGCAGTCACAGCAGTCATCGACTCCCGCGAAGTCCCCGGCCGCGAAACCCCTCTCCACCTCGCGGTCCGTCTCCGAGATCCAGTCTCCGCCGAGATCCTAATGTCCGCCGGAGCAGACTGGTCCCTCCAGAACCAAAACGGCTGGAGCGCGCTGCAGGAAGCCGTCTGCACGAAAGAGGAAGCCATCGCCATGATCATCGCTCGTCACTACCAACCTCTCGCGTGGGCCAAATGGTGCCGGAGACTCCCCCGGATCACCGCCTCGGCGTCGCGCATCCGCGACTTCTACATGGAGATCAGCTTCCACTTCGAGAGCTCCGTGATTCCTTTCATCGGCCGGATCGCTCCGTCGGACACTTACCGGATCTGGAAGCGAGGATCCAACCTCCGCGCCGACATGACGCTCGCCGGATTCGACGGGCTTCGGATTCAGAGATCGGATCAGACGTTTCTGTTTCTCGGAGAAGGTTACGATGGGGAGGTTTCGCTACCTCCTGGGTCTTTGATTGTGCTTTCTCATAAGGAGAAGGAAGTGACGAACGCGTTGGAAGGAGCCGGGACGCAGCCGACGGAGGCTGAGGTGGCGCATGAGGTTGCGCAGATGTCGCAGACTAACATGTATAGGCCTGGGATCGATGTGACGGAGGCTGAGTTGGTTCCTCAGGTGAATTGGAGACGGCAGGAGAGGACGGAGACGGTTGGGGGGTGGAAGGCGAGAGTTTACGATATGGTTCATGTGATGGTGAGTGTGAAGTCGAGGAGAGTTCCGGGAGCTATGACTGATGAGGAGATGTTCGCTGTTGATGAAGAGAGGATTGCTAATGGCGGCGGTGTTGAAGATGTGTTGACGTCTGAGGAGAGGGAGCAGTTGGATACTGCGTTAAGGATGGGGAACGAAGATGAAGAGAAAGAGAAGGACGTTAACGAGAATGGTGATGGTGGTGGTGGTGTCAAGGAGAAGAAAGGATGGTTTGGTTGGAACAAGAAAGGTGAAGATGCAACAACGAAGGTGAAGAAAGGATCGAAGTTGGCACCGGAAGAAGGAAAAGGGAAGAGCCAGAGAACGTCGTCGTCGTCGGTGTCTGATAATACGAAGGAGGCGAAGGACAAAGCCTCCTCCGGTGGTGCGAAGAAGAAGAAGAGTGAGAGTGAGTACAAGAAAGGGTTAAGACCTGTGTTGTGGCTAACGCCTGACTTCCCTTTGAAGACGGAGGAGCTTCTTCCGCTTCTTGACATATTAGCTAATAAGGTTAAGGCTGTGAGGAGGCTGAGAGAGCTTCTTACCACAAAACTTCCCACAGGAACGTTCCCTGTCAAGGTAAATTTTCTTTTTGCCTCTCTTTTTGTTTGAAGCTAATCTTTATTGGTTTTGCTGATTGGTTTTGTTGTGTGCAGCTAGCGATTCCTCTGATTCCAACCGTTCGTGTGATTGTCACGTTTACTAAATTTGAGGAGCTACAACCGTGTGAGGAGTTCGTAACGCCTCCTTCTAGTCCGGTTTTCCATGATGCCAAGTCGTCATCGGAGAATCCATCGTCAGCGTCAGGATCAGGATCAGGATCATGGGTGTCTTGGATGAAAGGTGGTCGTGCTGGTGGTCAGTCAAGCGACGGTGAGAGTAATCGGTACAAGGACAATGAGGTTGACCCGTTTCTCATACCGTCGGACTACAAATGGGTCGACTCAGCTGAGAAGAAACGAAGAATGAAAGCCAAGAAAGCTAGAATCAGGAAGAACAGGAAAAACGGTGCTCCTTCAAAACCAGGTCAATCGAGTTCCCGGTCCAATCAAGAACCGGAAGAACAACAGAATGTAACTTAGAATGAGAAAAAGGTTGGTTTGTGTTATCTGATTTGCTATTGATTTTGTAGTTGTTTGTGAAATTCTTAAGGAACACGTTTGCTCTAATGCAAGAAACACCCATTTTGCTATGTTCAATTGTTCATTCACAGGTTAAATGCCATTTTAGGACCGGTTTAGTTTGTTTGTGCGGTTTCCCTGAACCAAACCGTAATAAACCTTTTCTTTTATTATACTGAAAACTCTTTGTACAACAGAGGAAGATACAAGGATCTGTAGAACCGGTTAAAAGTTACCAGAACCGGTCTTTATTGACACTGAGATAACCGGACAAGACTTTACCACCGGTATTCCTCATACCGTCGATGAGGAAACACCATGTGGAACCCAAAGCTCCGACGAAGAAGTCAGCTTCCGACGCCATCAAGAAGTTAACCAGAGGATAGTTTGTGCTCATCTCTCTCCCGAGGCTAGCTTCATACGCAGCCATCGATTTATTACCGACTTGTCTCGCCACTTCCGTGTAATAGAATCTCCACTGACCATAACTTTTGCTTGTGTCCACAACTTCCTTCATCTCCGTAGAGAGCCAGATCCTGTTTAGCTCCGGGAACCGATCTCTGATCCGGTCAGCTAAACGCATGTACTCTTCCAAAGCCGCGACTCTCATCTCGCACGCTTTGTCTCCCATCCGCACGTGCAAGCTCAGAATTGGTCTCGGAACCCACGGCTTGTGATTCCACCACACGTCTTCCTCCATCTCCGACCTAATCTTGTTCTTGTTTTTTCTCCAGTCTCCTCCTGCAGTAGAGAGAACAATCTCAGCAGCTTCTTTCCCAAACGCGGATTGTCGAGCAGCGTTCATCAAACCGCAAGTGTATTCCGTTTGAAACCTCATCAAGTACCTCACCGCTTGTGCTCTCCACCATCTCCTATCCATTTTCCGGTGAGCTGAGACTAAACTTCCGTTGATCTCTGTAGTTGGCTTCATATCACTCCAAGGCTTACCCCATAGCTTTGGTACATGTCCGGACCAAATCTCCTTTGAGCTGTAGTTATGTTTCCCTGTAACAACCCCACTCTCCCACGCTTCTCTCTTCTTCATTACTTCCAAAGCACGTTTCCGACATTCTTTTGATGTCTCCGGTAGAAAATAGCAAGACCAGCTTCCTCTAGAAGAACCTGCAAAACCAAACTCGAACGTTTTTAGACTTGTCAAGATCAAAGATGACAAGTTTGTTGGCAATGTTGTTACCTTTGCAACCATCATGATCTGCTCTGTTGTAGTGATTTGCAACGAGAATTCGGTTTTCGTTTACAGCGATTGCGAGAAGACCAGTCATCCCGGCGATCTGAGCTCCGATTCCGAAACCAGGAAGCGTTTCCCAGTCAGCTACAAGGAACTTTAGATTCTTTTTTTCCCCACAGTCCAAAGGATGCTGATGAATCCATATATCTCTTTGCACTCTCCTCGTTAACGGATAGTTCTCTTCATCTCCTCCATTGATCTGAAAACAAAAGCTTATTGGTCATTTCTTGATGATGATGACAAAGAACAACAAGAAGAAGAAAGCATACCCAAGGAGGAGATGTCTGATTTGCTATCTGAGTATCCAAACGCTCCCTAACTCGTGTCCTCTCCTCACAGTTCTCCAAATGTGGAGCGTTTGGGACATCGGATTTGTTCATCCCTAGTTTCTTGAAGTAGTCTTCATTGTTTTGTAATAAGTTGTCCCAAGCAGAGACCAAAAGTTTCACCTGATCATCTTCATCATTGTTATCTTCTTCTGTCTCAGCTTTGTTCTTCCAGTTTAGTTTCCGGTCTATGCTTGCAACCATATCTGTTTTCATAAAACAAATTTATCATTACTACATGAAAACACACACAAAAATTCTCCAAAATCAAAATTTTCTTGAAACTTACTGATGATTTGAGAAGAAGTGGAATTGCAAGGAGGAAAAGCAGAGGAAGAGAAGGAGAAGGCGGCGATCTCGAAGGTGCCAAGTGTAGTGAGAGCAGCTAAGAAGAGTGAGGTGAGACAGATTCCACAAAGGAACCCAACTACACAGATTTGACATGGAAATGAATTTCCAAGCTTTAATGCTTTCTCTGAAACTATTCTCTCTAATGACTTGATACTCATATTGCCTTTTGCTTCCATTTGATAGTTTCTATTTTTCTCTCACTAAGAACGAAACACACTTGTTGTTTCTTTTCTTTTCTTTTCTTTTGTCTTTTACTTCTCTTTGTAACTGAAAAACTTTCCTGAGAAAATAAAAGATTTTCTCCGGAAACTACTACCTTTTTCTTTAATTTATAGCCATACTTACTAACTATCAACCAAAAATCACATGATATTTCTCCAACTTGTTTTTTTTCCTTTCTAAGATAAATGTATATCTTGTGGGAAAAAGAAAGATCAAGATGCTTCGATCAAAATATGTTTGTTTCCTCCTTCATTAGTGGTCCATTTTCTCTTTTCCTGCAACAGAGAAAATAGCAGAACAATTGAAATTAGAATTTTCAAATAAAACAGAGAAAAGAAAACCAGCTTCAAAATCTGATGAACCTTCTGAAGTAATATTTTCTACCTAAAAAAAATAGCTGAATGAGAGCACAAGTTGAAGATTACTTTATGAGAAAATGAAGAAAATAGGAAGAGAGAGGAGAAAAAAAAAACAAATCTTTAAAACGGACTGTTACATAATTATGGAGATATTAAAGGAGAGAATGAGCATAACTGTTGATCGTATCAAAACTTAATTATTTTAAAACATTTTGAACCTGTTGAAAATCTATTTTCTTTGAAAAGAAAATGTGAATTTCTTCGATACTTAAGATGAAAAAATGACACTTGGATTATAAAGTAAGAAAGAACAAAAAGCCTGTTCTACCAGCTGGTATGAAAATGAGGCAGAGAATCATGTTACAAATCCACTCGGTACAAGCCAAGAATCCCACTCATAAAGAAGAAAGATATTCATCGACACTGTTTACTTATAATTTTGTTGAAATTAATCAAAGTGATTAACTGAAGAAACCACAAAAGAAAATAACATAATTTTTTCATGGAAAGGGAGAGAAACAGAGAAAAAAATGACATTGGAAGACTAACCTCAAAGCTCAGTTTCTCAGGACATAAAAGTGACAAGTGAGAGTTTGATGTAAGCGAGGTTGAGTTGTGTTATTAAAGTTATATGAGAAATATATCATCCTCGTTTTTTTTGGTTTATTATTAATTTTTGATGTTTGGTGAAGCAATTAACTACGACTCCGATGGTGCTTGAAAAAGTAGAAGTGACTTGAACTAAAAGTTTAGTATAAAACACGAGATAATAATGATATTTGTATATATTGGTTTATACAAATTCAACCATGCAAACGGTATTACACATTTCGTGGAATTATTTATGATCTATAGATAGATGATAGATCAATGCGAAATTAACCTGATAAAGTGAATAACCAAAAAAGGAGCTAGGAAGAAACAAATTCTTTTAACAAACCTGGAGTTGCTGTATCTCAGGGTTTCTTATGATTGATTGAAGAAACTAACAAAGAAAAGAACAATAATTTTTCATGGAAAGGGAGAGAAAACAAACATTGAGAGGTAAGAATTTGATGTGAGCGAGGTTGGGCTGTGTTATTAAAGTAATACTCCATCAGAAATATATCATCACACTGACTAAAGTCTCATTTTTTTATGGTTTGTGAAGCAATTGACTACGATTCCTATGGGCTATGGTCCTTGAAAAAGTAGAAGTGACTTGAGTTAAAAAGTTTAGTATAAAACATGTCTCCTTTGAAACTATCATATAGCACTATTTATATCTATCATGAAGCTCTATCTAAGACTAAAACTACATCAATTAAAAGTTCTATAACTATTTTACCACGGAAAAGTATCTTTACATATTTCTACACCAATTCCAAAATTATTTGTTTTCATTTAAAAACCAATCATGAACCAAAATTAAACCCGACCAAAAAAATTAAACAAGAGCCAAGATCAATGCCAACTTGAAACTTCATTGTATAGGTTTCTTATTGTTGTCAACTTCAATGCCAACTAAATTTCAATTATAAAAAGTCGAAACCTAAAACGGGTGTCTTATAGTTTAAAACACGAGATAATAATGATAATTGTATATTGGTGTCTTATTGGTGTTGGTATGTATAAATTCAATCATGCAAACGGTATTACACAATTTGTACGATTATTTCTGATTTTTATGATAGATCAATGCGAAATTAACATGTAACGAGGAAGCTTTAAGAATAAGTCTATACCATAATCTTTATGACTAGAACACATGGTCCGATAGGACAAAGGAGGCTATGATACCCATCCATCATCAATATTCAATACATCATCATCATGGGATCATTTCGGTTATTGTATTCTTCACGTCACTACATACTTTTCAACAAGCAAAGAGTTGCGTTGCGTCTTTCTTTTTCTACTTTCTTTGGTCAAAAACTTTTTTTTTTTTTTAAATTGACTGCGCCAAAAATGAGTTTATTTATATACACACCATAGGTTTTCACAAGTTCAAGATTCACCAGCATCATTTGCATTTGGTATAAACCAAACAAAACATCAGACACAGAGCTGATCAGTGAACCCATCTTGCACAACACCTCCCACATCATAAGAACATTTTTATGTACAGTAGAATATCTGCCATCATCTTCAGTACTTACTTGGTCTTCAATAAGTGTTGCATGACCTTCAAAGCAACACAAAAAAAATGCTAGGAAGATTTTTTTTAACAAAACTGGAGTTGTTGCATGCATCTCTGGGTTTCCAACAAAACACCTAACTTAATAATTAACATGTTTGGCCAACAAGATCAACCTTAAACATGATTATTAATCTTCTCTGCCCCGTTTCCTTGATGCTGAAGCAGATTCCGTTTGGTCACCTCTTTGTGTCTCAGAACCAGGTGATGGCTCTACATCAGTGGTGTTGCATTGCTTTGGTGATGGCTCTGAGGGAGAGCTCTTGTCCTCTTGCAACTTCTGTTGCTTCTCGAACATCATCTGTAGCTGTCGGCCCTGTTTTTCAATCTGTAACTGCAGCGTTCGTTGGATCTGCGCCATATAATGGAAAGCAAAATCAGACAATACTCACGACATCTAAGACTATTATCACTCTTTCTGGTTAGATGTCAATTTTCATTACCTCGAGCTGCTCATGGAGACGTTTCTGAACTTCCATCTGTAACCTTAGAGCTTGGGTGATCTCAACGCTCCTGGAAAAGAAAATAGTAACAGAATCTAACACATAAGTATTTGACCCTTTTACAATCAAGATTCTGCACAATACGAAGAAATGATTCCTAGTTGGTTATGCAGTAAGAAGACTGAAATGACTTACGTTTTCATGTCAAAAGATTTCATATCTTCGATAGATGTCATCTTCTTCTCTTGAGGTTCTCCTGTAGCTTCTGAAGTCTCTGGTTTATACCTTGCCGTTCTGTATTTCTGTAGGAAAAGAGTTTCAATGTAAACACGGTAGAAAATGAGAAATGAGCTAAGCGTAGCAGAGAAAGAGCATGAGAAGCAAAAACAAATAAACATATGGATAAGAACAAACCTGCAAATGGCTTTTGACATGATAAATAGTCAAGCCAGGGTTATTCAAGAGCTTCAAAACAGCCTTAGGCGTGGCTCCTAAAGTGGAATTCACACAAATCAAGAGAAGAGTAAGTTATACGGTTCCTTTGAGCTGTTATTTTCAGGACACAAGAGAAAGAAGAAAGCTTACGCACGTTCACTACCACCAAGCTGGTTAACAGCTTCAACGAATGCCTCATGAAGTTCTGGTGTCCAACGCATGCGTTGTTTAGATGTCGCTGCTGCACAAGATGATGAGTTTCTTCCGTTAATCTGCTCCTCTGACAAAACCATCTGTTGCTGCTGCTGGTTAGCGTTTATCTCTTGCCTTGGTACTTCAGGAAATGGTGTTGGAATCTGTTACAAAAATCAAACAAACCATGAATAAAATGAAAATATGGACAAACATAGAGATCATACATGGCTTTGAGACACTGAAACCTGTGAATTGAGATTGTGTGAGCTTGAATCTCCGAGAAGTTCAGACCAATTCGGCTCCAAACCATCATCAGCAGAAATCAGCTGATCTGCCCAGTTTTGCCACTCGCTTTTACTATGAGGTTCCACGGATGAGACCACGATTACTCCGCTACACTCAGCTTGTGGATCCGTAACAGGAACTTGGTCAGAGAAATCAAAGAAGTCCTCAAGTGGATCTACGAACTCTTGATGATGGTTATGATTAATCAACGACGATGACTGTGCTTCCAAAGGGAAATCCTGCATAGCTAATCTCTCGCTTGGCATGGTAGCAACCGGTGGCTGAGTTTGAGAATTCCTTCCATGATTTGAAACAGCTGAAACATTGCAGAATCCAGATGGAGAGGCAAACAAATAGCCACCAGAATTGCCCACCTGACAAGGCACGGGGTTGTTCATATTCATCAGCTCCTGACCTGATGAGTCCCAGAAAGAGTTAGGCAGCTTGCGGTATCTGTCTTCCACAGAAGTGTGATGAAGAGCTGAAAAAGATGAAGACATAGCCGTTGAGTATCCGAAATCATTAGCCAGAGTCATTGAAACAAGAGCAATTTTTTCACACAGTATAGTGATCCTAACTCAGAAGACAGAAACTTTGATGCATGAATGAATAATAATGAGATATGAGACTCATATTTTGGTAAGTTCATGAACAGAATATAACTTTTATGCAAAGAACACCTCGAATATAAACTTTATGTTAGAATAAAGAATATTCTTTTTCCCCCAGTCAATAAACAATCACTCAGGAATATTCCTAAACTTTCTGTTTTAGCGTTAGATCACAAACTCTTAAACTCTCTATCTCTTCTATCACTAAGAACCAAGATAAATTGTGGCATCTAACATCAGAATAGTGAAAGGACATAACATAAGATATGGAATCAGTGCTTAAGGAATGAAATTTTCGGCAAAGTTAAATGTGGCTTTTGATGGAGCCAGAGAGACGTGCAAAGGAGAATCATTTCAATCACAGAAAGAGTCACAGAATCTAAAGCTAGCTGGGTTTTTAACATAGACAGACTCTTCTTCAGAATTTCAATCATAACAAAGTCAACATGGCTCCATTAAAAATCAGAACTTTTCACCTTCAAACCAACAACAAATGCAACCAGTGATATGATTGAGTGAAAAAACTGGAAAACCAAGGTAAATTTGATGACTTACTCATCACACATCAAATCAAATAACAGAGGAAGTGAAGGATTGAGAGAATTAGATAAACAGAGCAAATTTTCAAAGCTGTGAAAATCGGAAATCCCGAAAGAGAAAATTAAACACAATTTAAGATTTAAGAAAACAAATGGAATACGATAGACGCGGATAAAGCGCGGAGAATCTTACTTGACTCAGCAACGGCGGCACGAAAAAATCGATACGGGATCAAAAAACACAAGGGACCCTGATGATCAATTGAATGATTGAAGAAGGCCCTTTTTTGGATTTAGTGTTTGGTCTTCTCGATTTCACCAACAACAAAAAAAAATACTCTGCTTTTTTCCCCCTAAACCAAGAGATGAGAATTGAGAAGAGACGACGAATTTTGGCTTCTCCTTGTTTACGACTCTGTTTTGTTTAGATTACTCCTGACCGCTGGATTTAGCACTCGTGTTACTACTTATCAACGGCTGAGATTTCCGTAGAAGATTGTGAATTGTGATTGCAAAATGAAAATCGAAAGAAGGGGCCCGTTTAATGATTCTCTTTGTTCTGTTCTTGGCTTCTCAATTTTTTTAATATTTAATCATTTTATTGTAATTGGTCAAATGCTGCGTTACATTTTTGTTATTTTGTCACAAGTACAATGAATTAAGTGTTTTATTCTCGTTACATGAAAGCTCCATTTCAAGATAAAATATTAATTAGGCTGACTTTTGGAAACCTGTGATTTGAAGTCCATTGTTTTAAATACAAATTACAGTAGATGGCAATATTAATTAAAAATTGTTGAAAAATAATGGAGTTTTTCTTGTCATTGTAAGAAAACTGGATTGAAACAGATGTTTTTAGTTCTTACCTCCGTATTTTATAAATGATGGAATGTATGATAAACTTTGACAACCACATGATTAAAAAACTCTATAATCTCTAATTCTATCATCGAAGAAGCAAAAAATGCTTAGTCACAGAAACACGTGGTAAGTCGAACACGTGTCGACATTAGAGTGTGCTAAATCAAGGCGAAAGCAACTCCCGCGAGTTATTTGGAAGCAGTTGCATTCTCTCTGACTCTCTCATCAGATCTGTTTTATAAAGAAAGTTTCTCCACACTCTTCACAAACTTACACACCAACGAGAAAGAGAAACGATGGCGACAGATGAGTCGATTGCTACGGTGGCTGCGAAGGCTCCGGTGACGTCGGAGAGGAAGGTCCGGACTGATCTCGACGATCGTCTCCCCAAACCATGTTCGTACATCTTTCTCCATCTCATGTTCTTTTTTTTTTTCCGTTTACTTATGTGTTCTTCTCGGATCTCTTGTTTTTTATTTTCCCATTTCCAAAATTAGAATCTGAATTATGCATTGAATTATTTTTACTCTCGGATCAAATATCGTTTCTTCTTCCCGGTTACGGTTATTCCAGCATTTACTAGGTATATATGTTTTGTAGTAGAAACTGATCGATAAAATTTTCCGAAATTGGATTTACTTAGTTAATTGGATCATTCACGACCTATATGAAAATTTTGTTTTTCCATATGGCTACACACAAATGCGGAATCCATAATCGGATTAAATTGGTCGTATCAATTTGTTGAGTGTTCACTTTCATATGGTTACACATGAAAATGTGAGATTAGTTTTGAGGGATCTAAATAGTTGTTTTGGTGAATTATGTTGAAAACAGATGTGCCTCGAGCGATGGTTGCACCAGACATGGAAAACGTAAACGGCTCAAGGGGACACAAGCATCAGGACATGTCTGTTCTTCAGCAGCACGTCGCTTTCTTTGACCAGGATGGTGATGGTATTATCTATCCATCGGAGACATTTAAAGGTATATCTCCAAAATCGTAAAACCAAGTGAAAAAATTTAAAAATATTATTAAATCTAGTCCCATTTTGCGTTGCTCAGGATTTAGGGCACTTGGTTTCAACGTGATCTCTAGTTTCTTTCTAACAATCATCGTGCATCTTACGATGAGTTACGCCACATTGCCTGTAAGTTTCTCTCAATAATATTAATAACATCTTAACCTCTTTTTGGTTCCTCAAAAACATGTCTTATCGATTTGTTTTCTTTTCTCATGGACAAGACTTGGATGCCTTCTTTTAGTTTCCCGATTCACATCAAAAACATTCACAGAGCCAAGCATGGAAGCGACACCTCTACTTACGATACAGAAGGAAGGTTCGTCTCTCAATATATAAACCCTTGGTCATGTTAGTTACTTGCTTCGGACTTGTGATTACACAATTTGAAACTTTCAGGTACATTCCTGCGAATTTGGAGAACATGTTCAGCAAATACGCACGTACCGTGCCTGACAAGCTATCTCGCTATGAGCTGTGGCAGATGACTGAGGCTAACCGCAATGCATTCGATTTCTTTGGCTGGTCTGTCCCATTCTCTCTTTCCCTCTGTCTCTCTCGGTAAATGATTTAAGTCGCTGAACGGTGTGTGTGAAAATATGGAAACAGGGCAGCGAGTAAAATGGAGTGGGGAGTATTGTACTTGCTGGCTAAAGACGAGAACGGCTACTTATCCAAAGAAGCTGTTAGGAGATGCTTCGATGGGAGCTTGTTCGACTACTGCGCCAAGACGAGAGCTTCTACTAAAAAGGCTGAATGATATATGATACGCACAAGCTTTTCTTGCTTTCTAGGCAGTTAATAATGTCTTAAGTAACCTTTATTTAGTCTCTTAACCGAGACACGAATCAGATCATAAATTCAGATAATAGCTTTTTGCTAATTAAAAGGTCCAAAAAATTATAGGGTCCAAATTACCAGTTGTTCACACTAATGACTAATTACACTAGTAGAAAAACTTTTTTTAAAATCTAAATCTAGCAACTAAATGATGTAGTAACTATTTCAACATGCTTCTGCATGCTTTTTTAAAAGGTCACTCAATCACCCAATCAAGTTTTATTTTTATATAAAAGAAAATGTTTTTTTCTAGGATTTGCTAGTTTTCAAACTTTTGAAACCAGAGGTTGGTATTCAAATTATACATATAAATCTATATTTATTTCTTTATGTATTTTGAAATATTAAACCAAATCTCCCTATAAATATACTATTAATTAAATTTAAATGATTTCAATTCCAAAGTTTTATTGATTTTTTTTAATAATATGGTGTACAGAAAAGAATAAGATTTTGTTCCTATATATCATTTATTTTAATAATGTGCTATATGTTAAGTGTTTTTAAAAAATCATTTTCTAAAATCATATCACCTCTGTATTAGAGTCTGTAAATAATTGTATTTGTATAATTCCTAGTCATATTAATATTATAATACATATCTGTAAATGGCAAATGCTTTTAGAATATGACAGTAATTTTAGAATATATATATACATTGACAACTGTTAGAAACCAAAAACTATTGAACATTGTTATTCACAAATTATTTGTAAGAAACAGATTTTAGAGATTTATAAACTACTATATACATTTAAAAATAAACCAAGAAGAGAAAGTATCCAGCCTTTTGTTGATTTTATATCATCCAACTTTTAATAACATGATTATAAAAATAATAAACTTTTGATTGCATATTTGTTTTGTGTTTTTTTTCCTAATGGAGGTTTGCCACATGCTAGTTCTTCCCATAGCAATATAGCACTATGCTTTTAAAGTTTTAATACTAATCGGATAGGATTTATGTTCTATGGTCCAAATGATGAGTTATTTTCTATTATTATTCTTTGTATATATAAGTAATGTTGGCGTGGGAAAACAAAAAATTATCTTTCCTCTTCATCTTTTAGATTATCCCAGAAAAAAAAAACAAAACAAACGTAAAATGGGGGTAGCCTTGAATTCCTCAAATGAAATTGTGCCAACTCCCTCTCAAAGAACTGAAATCATAGGAGTAAACGATATAGTATCCCGAAAACTATTTCTTCATGTGGCGATGATTTCCATATGTGGCTTCGCGGGAGAATGGGGCAGTGTGATCGCGTACAAGGAAGACATGAGCTACATCTATGCTCTGTTTAGGTACTTTGGGATCTTTGGCATTTATTGTTATGTTCGTAAGTTGGTTAGTTTGGTTCTCTCCTCAGAATCACCAAACCTGGCGCCGTTCAAGCTTCACAAAATATTTCTCATCAGTCTCCTCTACATTGTTAGCGCAACCATGTTTCTCGTTAGCCACCTGTCACAGAGATTGGATGTTTTTGTTCTTGCATTTTGTGCCACCTTCGCTTCCTTCTCATTGCTCCAATTGAATTACCCCGTGGAAGGTTTCGGTATTTTTTATATTTTTATCCTAGCGTTGCTTGGATCTGCTTCTGGGATATGTGGTTTGTATATAAAGTTTGGAGTTATTATTCTTTTGTGTCACATCATTTTTATACTTTCATGGATTACTGATACTCTTTATGAGGAGAAGATCCCTCCTATGGAGGAAGATTTTGTAGTTTACTTGAAAATGAGATTTATGTGGTGAGTTAAACTTTGTTGCTGTATATTGATATATTTGGTTGTTTCTTGCTTTCTAGGCAATTAATAATGTCTTTAAGTAACCTTTGTTTAGTCTCTTAACCGAGACACGAATCAGATCATAAATTCAGATAGTAACTTTTTGCTAATTAAATGGCCCAAAACAATTTAAAGCGTCCAAATTACCAGTTGTTCACACTAATTACACTAGTAGAAAAACATAACTGAAAATCATCCTTACTGATCTTTTTCTCGATAATTTTGCTTAGTTCCTCTCTCGACCTCTTTGCTGACCGAAGGATCGGTCATAATGGTCTTTAAAGTCGCATGTAAAGCTATAGTAATGGAATGGCCCACGCTTTCACCCTTGAAACTGTAACCACCATGGCTATTGAGGCGATTCCGTTGATGAGGCCCAAGTATTTGATGCGGAGGAGTTGAATTATGCAAACGATATGAATGTAAAAGAAAAAGAGGAATAGCTAGCTCCAAGGGGTGGTCTGGTCCGTTGCGTATTTTCTGTTTCGTCATAGTTATTCCCCAAACTGTAACCATCATACTGTCACTTACTTTTTGTTGTAGTTAATAATTAGCATTCATCTTGTTTTTTTTTTTTTTTTTTTCTGTTTTTATTTGAATCATCTCAAGATTTCCTTATATTTTGCTTAGTTCCTGCGCAAAAAATATCATATTATCGAGAAAAGATATCAGATCAACGAAAATATAATTAAGGATGATTTTCAGTATTTTGCTCATGGTTGCTAGAAATATGATGTCTTAGAGATAATGGAAAGTGATAATCTTATTAGAATACCTTAGCAGGTATTTATACAAACACAAGAGAGGGATAGGATAAAGTTAATTGCAATAAAGTCCCTTAAGTTATATTTACATATATCCTCAGTTCCTCATTGTCGATGGTATTTGTGTGGGGAATCGCATTACCCATGGAACGATGGTATTTGTGTGGGGAATCGCATTACCCATGGAACCACCAGATCTCGCATTTGGCGTACTGATATTATCTATCTACTTTCATATTTCACTTACTCTAAACTGTTTTACATTAGAAATGACTTCGGCATTTTGAACGGGATAACATATATTGCCGCATACTCTTTTTTTTTTCTTAAGTAATTCACATAAAACAAATATAAGTTTTTGGTTACTTATTTTAATAGTGTTTTTGAAATCTAAATATTACGTATCTACGTGTTAGAAATTGCTTAGTTCACCGATGTTATTTTCTTTTGATACGTCTTTATAGGTGAAACATATATTATCAATAGAAAAAAATATTAAAAAGACATGTATTAGGAAAAAATTTAAAACATAAGAAATATTTGCTTGGTTTTTGCTAAACTAAATGTTAGTAAAATGTTAGTAAAATATTATAAAAATAAAATAATTGTGTAAACTTAAAATGAGCCATAAAACGCATACTCAAGTGAATGCGTCATGATCGAGTATCGTGATTGTATAATGTGGACACCGACATTACGAATGCGTCGCCATCTAAATGAGCATATTACACAGTTGCATTAGCCAAAATTAGGAACACACAGAATTTAGTTAACTACTCCCGGGGAAAAGTAAATAACCGTCTTAACTCTTAACATTAAAACCGAAAACAAAAAAAAAAAGTAAATAACCAGCTCGGACTCAAAACTTTTTATGAACCTAATTTGCAAGCCCAATACCAAAGCCCAAAAGAAACAAAATGAGTTAAATGTCACGTGAATAACACGTGCTAGTTTTCTTCTTCCTGCTAAAACCTAATTTACAGTTTCTACTTGCAGCCGCGTTTATGTATCAAGCAGAAATTTCCGGAATTCATTCTAAGTAGAGAAAAAAAAGTTTAGGGTTCTGTTCGAGATCTGTATCTCAACGAGACATCTTCGTTTGTTTGGTGCTCGCAGTTTATATTGATTCGTTCCCAAATTTCTGATTCTTTTTTCACAAAGACGAAAGGAAATTTAGGTTAATAATGGCAGAGAGTAAACCATTGATCGGTCTTAAATGGGAACCAAAGCTTCCAGGCATATCTCTAGAGTCGAAAACTGGTTCCAGCTCAATCAAAGAAGCCGTGAGACACGAAAGCTGTTCTCTTTGGACGTCTAAGTCAGCGCTCGTGGATGGTCTTTGTCTTCCTCCTACTGATCCAAAGAAGGTTAACAAGATTGCTAGAAAGCAAATCAAAGACACAGCTGGATCAAACTGGTAACTTTACTCTCTCAACCACTCTAATTATATAACCCTTTTTTCTTTGATTGATATGAATTATCCGGCGAGTTTCACATTGTATTGCGATTGTGGATAGGTTTGATATGCCGGCACCGACAATGACTCCCGAATTGAAAAGGGATCTTCAAATGCTTAAGGTAATTGATTCTTCGTTTTTAGTTGTTGTTTGGATTTGGTTTCAATGTCCTAATTCAATTCTAATTTTGATATCTATTTTGCAGTTGAGAAATGTAATGGATCCTAAAGTACACTACAAGAAAGCTGTGTCCCGGTCGAGATTAGGTGACAAGTATTTCCAGGCAAGTATCATAATTAAACGGCAAAATTAGATCAAGACAAGAACTTTTGATCTCTCTGCTTATGTCTTACACCAACTGTTATCGTTTGCTTTTGTGTAATAAAAACAGATTGGAACAGTAATTGAACCAGCTGAAGAGCACTATTTAAGATTGACAAAGAAGGAGAGGAAAACAAGTCTTGCTGAAGAGTTGGTCTCAGACCCCAAATTTAATCAGTACAGGTAAGCTTACTTCCATCTTCTATTGAAAACCAGTGTCTTAGATTCTGGTAACAATATCATATCCATGGATTTCGCTAGAATGCTTCATGAGAATAGGCATTATTATAATTATGTGGTTAAATGGATTTGAGTAAAAGAAAGTTTTGCTGGGGGAGTTGAGAGATGTTGCTGCAACTGAGAAGGACATGTGTGGAATGTATGCTTAGTGATTTGTGTTTTGGTTGTTGTGTTAACAGGAAGCGTAAAGTGAGGGAGATTGAAGAGAAGAACAGAGCCGTTGAGCATATGAAATGGAAGAAAAAGAAAAGTCAACCCAAGAACACAAAACTAAGAAGGAGTTGAATTACAATTTACTAGAGAGAATATGAGATCACAGTTTTGGTACACCGTACCTTGTAATGACTCTTGTTGTTTTATGGCCTTCGTTTAAAGGTTCTGTTTATTGAAACAGCTTTTCCTGAAAATTTGATATTATCAGACTATCAGAGAGTTATTTTGAACCGGTGTTTATGCTAAACCCTTTGATTACTTGTCAAAGTCAAAATTAATTTCAGGTTTGGAATCACCCACAATCTTGATCAGAATGAAGAAGAATCACAAAAGCATAGATAATTTCGTGGTCTCTTGCAAATTTGTTATTGATGATGAATTGATGATATAAAATTAGAATCCATCAACGTTTTCGGATCCTGATTTTGTTAGCAATGAGGAGTTTCTGTAACATATCTAAAAGTTTCGGGGCTATTTTTACTTTTTTAAAACTAAAGTGGTCAATTAACTAATATAAGAAAAATAAGCTTCCTCTCGAGTCTCAACTCTCTCATTCATCTTCGTCTCTAGCTAACGACGCCGTTCGTTGTTTCAGACAGTTCCACCGATTAGGGTTTTTTCTACGGCCGGCGGTTCCAGGTAAGCTGTTATCGTTTTGATGTGATCATATTCAAAAGCCCTAAAATATATCTCCTGAAGATACGAATTCGAATTGAATGAATCTAGGCAATGGGGTCTCACGAGCAATCGGAGAGAAAATCGCCGGAGAAAAGTGGTTCGAGCAGTGTCTCTAATAAAGTCGCAGAGCTATGGAAGAAAATGAATGAAGGAGTGCCAAATAGACGGCTCAATTTTGCCTCAGAGAGCTCAACCGTTTCGCCCGCTAAAAAATCAGCTGATAACGTGAGAATCGTTTCTCTTTCTCTTTTGCGTTTTGCTTCTTCAATATCTTTGTCTTCTGGGATTGAAATCTGTGTTTTTTCGATTTCGCAGAATTTGAAAAAGTTACTTGGTGTGGATTCGAAGAAGAAGGATCAGTCCATTTCGAATGTGCAAGAGGAAGATAGCGTTATTGATAATAGTTGTAACGAGGAGGCTAAGAAAATTGCTGCAGCCGCTCTAGCTGCTGTCAGAAACGCAACCGCAACCGCTGCAGCTGCATCGAGCCGTGGCAAGATTGAGGTCAGAAAGCTTACTTCTTTTTGTTTGAATTCATGTGTTTAGCTCGGCACTGTTAGTATCTAAGCTCTTATCAGAATGTTTGGAACTATGAATATAGATTGTGAGAGGATTAGAATCAGCTTTGTCTCTGTATTGTTAGGACTAAAATTTGTGATCCATGAATTGCAATTATTGAGTATTGATTTGGTTGATGCATAATTGCATATGTTCTTGTGGTTCAATTTCCAGATAACGGAGGTCAAAGACTTTGCTGGTCAAGAGATCGAAGTGAAGCGGTTAGTGGAAGCGGATTCGAAGGAGGCATTGGAGAGGGGAAACAAAGGCTCCTCTTCTTCCTCGGCGGCGGCGGGAAAGACATCGGCTGTTGATGCGGTTCTGGAGCAGATAAAGAAGAAGCAGAAGCTGAGTGTTTTGGACAAGACGAAGAAAGATTGGGGTGAGTACAAGGAGGAAAACAAAGGTGTTGAAGACGAGCTGGATAAGTACAAGAAGAGCTCGGACAAGTATCTGGACAAAGTTTCGTTCTTGGAGAGAGCTGATTACAGACAGTTTGAGAAAGAGAGAGACGCTCGTTTGGCTCTTCAGTCCAAGAGAAAACACGATGATGCCTGAATTGGTGTGACTCTTTTAACGTTCTTCTTCTTCTTCTTGCTGTAACTATTCTTGTTTTCTTGTGTATGTAACTTTCGAGACTTTGTAGCATTTTTCTGAAGCGGTTTTATCTCGGCAGCGTCCAAACCAAGTTCCGGTTTGCTTGATCAATCTGTGTTCTTTTTATCTCCGGCTTGAGTGTGTAGAAGAATGAATATCATGCTCTTTAGGTCAATGGATATTGATGTGGGCTTTAAATGCAATAAAAGCCCAACTTTAGAAGCCCACATTTCTATATCTAACCATGAACTGTATACTGTAACACAAATAAAACATCGTTGTGATTGCAATCCTCTCGTTTTTTTTGTTTCTCTTGATCATAAGTTCATAACCTTAACTTGACATATGATTTTGTCAATTCTATGAAATCTTAAGCATTGTCTTTTACATAACTAGGTATTAAACCCGCGCGAAATCGCGCGGTAACTCATATTATGATAAATTTATTTATTAAAATTTTTTGCAATACATGTATCATATAATGAAAAAATATTATATGGTAGTTATAATAGTAAATAATAATGTAAATTGAACTTGTTGCTCTAAAAATTGTCATACAAGATAATGCAATCCGACAATATTTTGCTGTTTTTAAATTAGATGAGGAAAAATGAGATTGACAAAATAGGATTTGATCTGTAATGTTAACTCCTTCTTTTTATTGCTTCACTCTGTTTTCTCTCCCAAACTCAATAGTGTAACCAAAAAAATCGTTTTGCTTTTTGTTTTCAGACAAAGCTTATTGATTCACATGAGTCATGACATTAGAAAAATGTACACACTTTGAAATCACATTTTTTCGAAAAAAAATTTGTCACTGGTCTTTTTCTTGAAGATAATAATTACCCCAATCTTTTTTCCAAAATGGGATCTAATCAGGGTATGTTTCAATCACAATTGACCGACATACTCAGTTTTCTTTTCCACTTAGTGTAAATTCAAATGCTAACGTAAGAACTTATCGCCAGTTCAAGCCATTCTCAAACAACATCTTATCGCCAGGACGAAGAGGGTTTGCAAAAGTGATAAATTGATGATCTTTAAATCGATCCCACTTGCTTGGACATTCATCGCTATATTCTTTTTTTTGTTCTTTTAATATGATGAAGTAATTTTCCAATTTTTTAAGTAGAATACATATGAATTGTTTCTCTGTTTTTCTTTCGTATACTATTCTTGTGTTTAGACATGTTCTTTGTTTCAATCTGTTTCGATCTTGTTGCTAAAGCAAAAATAGAGTTGAACCAGGGTAATTAATTTCCATAGATAAAAAATGAAGTACCAACATAAGTTTCTTGATCACCTTTGGATGTCAAAGATGAACGGGAATAAATGTATGATCAAGATCTCTAACCATACTTCCAAGATCTTCCTTATCATGTTAATATTGCATAACACAAATTACCCATTTCTTAAAAAGCGCAATGGAAACAGTTATCAACAACTTATCGCCAGTTCAAGCCATTCTCAAACAACATCTTCTCGGGTTATGAATCTACTAACAACATCGTTATAGTAACTTTAATTACTGTTTACTCCTTAGTTGCCAATTTATAACCGCACCATAATACTTCCAGAATACTCCATGCTAAATTTAGAAAACACTCGTTAATGCATGCATGCTTAATCAACAACAGTTCCAGAAGAAGAGAAATTAATTTAAGCATTCGTTCAAACAACTAATGTGATACCGTAACCACTGATTTCTTCTCCACCAATTGAAATCAGAAAGTAGTATAACACTAACCGATACAACTTTTATGTCACAATCGATCAATTCCATAAAGGTCACCGTTATGCCTTCAGGACACTAATCACTGGAAGATTAGACAAATCTAGAATGGCTCTTATGTCAATTATAAACTACTTTAATGATTTATATTCTGAAATATATTCCAAGAAGATCTAGATTTGGTTTACTCCAACCTAAACTGTTTCGTAAAGAATAAGAAAGAAACACTAACCTTGATCCATGCTTTTTTATGCTTGTTATGAGATCAACAGTTCAATTGATTCTTCTTCGAATTCCCTTTGACCCTTTGCTCTTTTATGATCTTTTGTTGGGGAAGATTACTATTCTTTTATTGATGTAATTTTTTTTTTTGACAACTTTATGAATTTCTTTCAAGGGTTACTAACTTGCTATTATCTATTTCTCATGTAATGAAAGGGTAACTGTCACGCTGAAATATCACACAAATATATACATGTACATATAATCCAAGAGTTGTGAATTGTGATGGTTCATAATTACATATCATCCAAAGGTTGTGATGGTTCATCGCACCACTTCATTATATATGAACGTAATGTATATATGTTTATACATATTTATATTATTAAGCTAAGGGAATGGGTTATAAATATTCCCAATTCGTTATAATGCTTTTCATCATCATGGTGTCACATTTTATAATTCTTAATTTAATATTAACTTATCCTTCAATTAAATCGATATACAAATTTATGGTAAACATTAAATATTATTTGAATTACTTTGTTTAGTTTAAGTGTTGCAAGGGTTTTGGATGCATGAAGAAATGTCATGGCAAAGTCGTGTTGGGATTGGAGCGTCCATGACAACTTGCTTCAAGTTATGATTAATATTTAACAATTTATATGTTGCGGGTCAATTACTTTTCCCTAAAAAAAACTATACAGAAATAGAACATGTTATTCTTATATGCATGTTGATTTATATAAAGTATTAGAATTAGCACTTACCGAATAGAAGCACAAAGAAAAGGAAATATGAACTTGTTACTATTTTTTTTTTTTCATCTAATAATTTCATTGATATCAAATCGGGATTGCAAAGTCATTTACAGAACTCTCAAAAAGCAAATTATTACATATATAAGCAGATATATGTGCCATATACTGAAAAAGATACTCCAGAAGAAGTGAATTTAACGATGCCTTAGATAAGCCTTACTCGCTAACAGATTATGATATCCATTATTTTCCTTCTCCATACTCGATCTTTCTCTTATGCGAATTGTGTGCTTGAGTAGCGTTTCTTGGCTTAACCTCCAAATTGCACACCGCATTGCAAAACCCGATGCTTCCGATAAAAGTTTTGAAATATCGACATTATGATACCAAAGCTTCCGTATCATAGTCATTGTGAAGAACTTTGACTTTGATTTTCCCCTTGCTGGTTTCAAATTTCTACATCCTTCTCTCAATCCCGAATAAGAAAGTTCTGATAACCAAAGATGAAAAGAAACTAATATCTCCTTTACACAAGTGTGTGCAAAAGACCTTAGTTTCATCTAATCTATGTTGATGTGGTGTCACCATTTTACGTTTTCGTTTAATGGCTAACGTATCCTCTATCATGAGAGAGATTCCTGGATCCCATACAAGGTAAATTGACAACAATCCAACACCAAAACCGGTTACACCGGAAAGAAACTCTACATGAGAGAGAAAAACGGTTACCCATTGGAACCGACAACGCTTGAACGAAATGGGAGACCAACGCCGCACAACATCAGCGATCACTGTGATACACCACCATAGGTGTGGCATGAAGAAACCGCCGTGTGCCTGTCGTAAAACCATCATCGGATTCAAGATTAACACAATCATCTAACAGTTTAGATGTTGTAGATGACATTCCATAAGTGATGAGATTCAAATTGGATAGAAACTTAAACCCAACCCAGATTGAATATACAATAAAAATAGGCATTGGTGTCGACGCTGGAGATGCGTGAAGCCAATGTCGGCCGGAAAAGACGCAAAGACGGCGGTTGTGACAATCGCACGAAAAGTCGTCTCTATCGGGAGAGAAGTTGGCTCTGTCGAACAAGTTTACCATCAAATGAACTTGTTACTATCAATAAACGTAACTTCAAACAAACAATTTAGCATAAACTTGTTTAATTATAGCAAAAATAATAAAACAAATTTAAAAAATAAAGAGTGCACTATCATTATTGTGTATCACGGAAAATCTTCTCTGCGCTTTTAAGTTTTTAACACAGCCACCGCGAACAGAATCATAGAAAAAATGGCTTCCAGATTGTTGTGGGCTTCTTCTAGAGTTGCTTCTCATCTCAGGATCTTCGTTTCTCAACGAAGCTTTTCTTCTGGTGAATCTCCATTTCCTTCCTCTACCATCCCTTTTCTCTTTGTTCGATTTCTATTGAGAAATGTTCTGCCTTTCTGATCTGTAACATGTTAAATTAATTTTTTTTTTTAATATCTGATCTTAACATAAACGAAATAAAGAGGCTTTAATAACAGTGAATTTATATGATCGATTGGCTTGAAGCCTTTAAAACACAAAACAATTTTGTCATATAAAAAAATAAAGAAAGAAGGATTGTGAGAAACTTTTACTGGTGGTATTGAAGGATCTGAGATACGCAGATTCACATGAATGGGGTGAAGATCGAAGGGAATAAAGCGACGGTTGGTATAACGTATCATTCTCAAGAGCATTTGGGAGATGTAGTCTATGTAGAGTTGCCTGATGTTGGACGTTCTGTGTCACAAGGTAAGAGTTTATGAGTTTTCGAAAGCGTTAATTAAAGCTACGAGTGATATCAATTCACCTTCAAAGTCAATAACGACTTAACCGAGTCTCCTGCATTGGTGAGTTTCGTTCCTCGTTCTCATGGCGGTTGTTCAACAGAAGTGTGTGCTTACACTTTAACCTAAAGATATTGAACATGAATCTCATATTTGAATTTCCTCCACATTGATTCACAAGCCATGATATATGATAGCTTGCTTTAATCTGTATCAAAATTACTTAATTGTGCAAAAGCCATAGCTAAAATGAGTAAACATATGAATGAAGCAACAGCTATATAAAAATGGCATTTAACAAAAGTTAATACAAAACAATGAGAGAAGTAGGGAGAAAAAAATAAGAAAATAATTAGGAAAGGATGGAAAAAAAATGTAACTATTTGATAAAATAATCTCACACATATATAGAAGTGAAAAGGTATTACTAAAAGGTGCAACTTTTCAACAATGTAGCGGTTATAAACGAAAATATGCGACTGAAAGAACACAACTCTTTTTATGAGCGGTTATAGATAAGACGGTTAAAAACGAAAAGTATGACAACAAAAGACATTTATTCAGTTTGCTATTATATATATAGATAATAATAACCAGAGGAATATCATTTCTAGATAAGTTAGTCACAAGACTCACAAATCTTCGAAGGGCCGAGAATTTGCCACAAGCCCAAAACTCGTTTGATAATCATTGGTTTTGTTTAGTTTAACGTGCACTTCTACTGTAGTACACCTCGTAATTTCAGTAAATTTTGTTCTTTCCATATAGAGCATTTTTTTATATATGGAATAATTAGCTCTACGATATGAAATCACTCATTTCTATATCATATTCGAAACAGAAGATGCTGCCCGACATATTCTTCTCTTCTCTTTTATTGACCCCCAAGATCGGAACATTTACACTAATATAATCCACATTCGGATAAATATATAGATAAAATATTCGTATTTCCATTTCTAATACGATTCTAGATTCAAGTTTCTTTATCATCTCCGGCTTAAATCTTGGCAAACAAGAACGGGATCATCACTTTTAAAAACGTTACTATAAAGATGAAAATCCACAAGATTTTGTAATTAATTCCGTATTAATTACCCTCTCTCCCTCGTCCCCTTATATATAATGCAAGTGATTTCATTCCATCTCACACTACTCCTATCCGCAAGCAAAAAAGTTCTTATCTTCTAAATCTCTGTAAAGCTACTAATCTTCTCTTTTTTAATCGTTTGAGATGGCGCCAATGAAGATGACCATCGAGAAAGCTGATGTAGCGTTGAGTCCTAACGGTGGGAAAAGGGCTTACGTCACATTTCTAGCCGGAAACCAAGACTATTGGATGGGTGTAGTTGGTCTAGCCAAGGGACTTCGTAAGGTGAAATCGGCTTATCCTCTTGTGGTGGCTATGCTCCCTGACGTGCCGGAGGAACACCGTCAAATCCTGATCTCTCAGGGTTGCATCCTCCGTGAGATTGAGCCGGTCGTCCCACCGGAAAACCAAGCCGGTTATGCCATGGCTTATTACATCATCAACTACTCGAAGCTCCGTATTTGGGAGGTAGAATATTACTTATGCATGTGTATATATCTCCATATATATCTATTTTATCATTTGGCCCGTATCTTTTCTTTTCATGTAAGCACACATGCATTAAAAATCTTTTATTCAGACGTCGGTTTTTTTTTTTTTCTAACAAATTACTAATTAATGTTTCTATAAATGATTGTTAATGCAGTTTGTGGAGTATGAGAAGATGATTTATCTAGATGGAGACATACAAGTTTTTGGTAACATCGATCATCTTTTCGATACTCCTTCTGGCTACTTGTACGCCGTCAAAGACTGCTTTTGTGAGGGGAGTTGGTTCAAGACTACTCAGTACAAGATCGGTTACTGCCAACAGTCGCCGGAAAAAGTGACGTGGCCCGTGGAGAGCTACGGACCTCCACCACCTAAGTACTTCAACGCTGGTATGTTGGTCTTCGAACCAAATCTCGTCACTTACGAAGACATGCTTGAAGTTGTTAAAGTCACTACGCCAACTTCTTTCGCCGAACAGGTTCGGTTTTCCTTTTTCCTTTTAATATTTCGTTATTTAATTTGATTTATCATTTATTCAACGACTAATACTATTGTTTATTTTTTGTAGGATTTTCTGAATATGTACTTTAGAGACATTTACAAGCCAATCCCTTCGACCTACAACCTCGTGTTGGCTATGCTTTGGCGTCATCCAGAACACATTGATCTTGACCAAATCAATGTTGTTCATTACTGTGCTAAAGTATGTGTTTATTTCTTACAATTCTGTACTTTTTAGAGATTCGTGCAGCTAAAATTTATACTTAATTTTAATAGGGTTCAAAACCTTGGAGATTCACCGGAGCTGAAGAGTATATGGATCGAGAAGACATCAAAATGTTGGTGAAGAAATGGTGGGACATTTACGAAGATTCGAGTTTGGACTACAAAAACTTTGTCGAGACCGAGTCAAAGCTTAACCCGATTATGGCTTCCTTAGCCTCTCAAGAATCCGGCGGTGATGGCCTTAAGAGCCTTGCCCCCTCTGCTGCATAAGCTTGCATTATCTATGCGGAGACGGTTTTTTTATTTCTTTTTTTTATAAAGGTTTAGCTATATATATAATTTTTTTAATAATTATATATAGCAAACCTCTTCCTAGTTTTATGTTTCGGGAGATTATGTGGTTGGTCTTGTGTTTTGTTAGACTAGTGTGTCAATGACAACCTCGACCACCCTTCTTGTTTTTCTGTCTTCTCCTTTTATCAGTTACCAATAATAAGAATGTTATTTTGGCTTTAATTTTCTTCTGTCTAAGTGATGAATATAATTAAGTTACTACCTCGACGGTAACAATACTTTGTCTTAACATTGTGTGTACAAATCAAATAATCGATGCCCTTTTTTTAGCTAATGTGTGTATCTCGCGTAAAGAACATGATGCATATCTAACCGAAGTAATTAAAGACTTTTGTCTTTAGCTTCTTGAGGGTAAGTAATTAAAGACTTCCTTTATATTATTCTCTATAGTAATTAGCAAATAATCCGGTATCAAAATGTCACTATATATAAGACAGGGATCAAGTGAGTAATCAAACAAGGCAACCGAGATTATACAGAGGAATTGTTTGATGCTACTTAGGAAATCTCTTAAAGTTGACCCGAATTTTAGTATTGAAGAAAAGGAGAGTACAAAATGAAAACGAGATCATCTCAAGGAGACTTCATTTAAGTTGGAAAGTTTCGGTTTCGAAAGTATCCGATATCTATCAATATGGTAAATTATCCCACTTATTATGGAGACATTATGCATCATATCTAATCGAAAGATCCGTAATATGAATCTTAGGACTCGTTCCCTCCATTCCAATAACATTTTATATGGAAACAATATCGCATAATATTCCAAAACAAATTTGTATAAAATTGTAAATTTAGAAACCTACGGAATCTTCAAATGATGGATAATAGTGTTGAAAATTGCAATATAATATATTTTATATCATATAACATATATGTGGTCTGAGACTCTGAGTTTCCCTTAACATGCCAAGTTCAAATGATAAGCAAACTCATGAAAGATGTGAAACATTGGAAAAGCTGATATTACATATTTAAAGGAGTATGACCAATGCTTTCAGGCCCAGATTGTTGTCTGATTGGGGTTGGCCCAATCCATTTTGGAGATTTGACACATTGTAATAGAAGAAAATACACAAAGGACAATGTCTCGTAGCAGTAACTACATACAGTATTACATTGAGGCTCAAGGAGGTGCCCTTTGTGTACGAAAAAGTAAACTAAAAAGCTTTTGAATCTAAAGATCAACAGCAGGAGGAATGTCATCGACGGTGAGATCTACACCATCATCCGGTAACTCAGATCCGAGAGGTCCTAGTATCCCGTCCGAACTCAGCGTTAGTCCACTCTGCTCAAACATACAACACAACACTAACTTAGTCTCCTCCAGCAAACAAAAGCGCAACATTATAAGACATCAAGAAGCATGTATAAACGTGGTCAGGCACAAGTTGAAAATCATACCTCAGGCTGGAAACGAAGCATGTCAGCACGAGCCATAGCTTCTGCTTGAGCGATTCTCTGTCTGAACGTCTGCGCCATCTCCTCAGCCTTGAAACAATACAAAAAGTTAGCAAAATGATTGAGAGAAAGGAGAGAGTTGAGAGTGTATTTCAACAGAAACAGTCCCCTAATTACCTTCTCGAAAACAAGTTTTGGGTTGCGAATCATATCACCAGGTGTTGGCTCTAGCTTCTTGGTGGAGAGACTTACTCTTCCTCTGTCACGGTCATGGCTCAGTATCATAACCTGTATCACATTATTCGTTAAGTTACTACAGTTTTAACATCCGAATCCAGAAACTTTTAAAGAATATCTGTTGTAGTAGACCTTAAGAGTGTCACCAGGCTGAAGAACAGTTGCAATATCTGAGACACGGTCATGACTGATCTGACTCACATGGAGTAGCCCATTGATTCCGCCAATGTCAATGAAGGCACCATAAGGTTTCAAGCTCTGTACAACTCCGAGGACTACAGATCCAATTCCAAGCTGAGCCTGGCTGTCTGCTACAGCCTTACGGTTGCTGAGGACTAGCTTCGTTTGTTCCTCATCAACCTCCACAAACTTTAGAGGTATCTCTTTCTCAAGAAGCTCTTCCGCTGGTGCTTTCTGAGCAACAAAATTTAGTAAATGGCAAATCAGATTCAGCTAGTTGATTTGATTATCCTAAAACCTGAGACAAGTACTAACCGATGATATTTGAGAAAACGGCACAAATCCACGAAGACCTTCCACTAGAGCCACCAATCCACCTTTGTTAGCACCAATAACCTACACACACAATCCAGTTTCTGAGACTGCAACCAGAGAGAGAGAACCACAAAGAGCAGCAAGAGAAGTTCCCAAAACGTGCCTTGGCCTTGACAATGACATCCTCAGTCTGAAGCTGCCTACAACGTTCCCAAGCAAGTTCGTATTGGATCATCCTCAAGCTCAATAGCAAGCTGTCGTCATTCTCGTTCTCACCAATGATGACAAACTCTTCCACCATACCGGGAACTATACCGGCTTCTTCCACATGCTTGATTCTATGAATGCACGCCTGTTCCACCGACAAGTAGGCCGACGACTTTGCAGAAATGTCAACTAATGCACCATTTGCGTCGGTCTTGAACACCGTTCCTTTCACCTGAAACAATGTCATCACCACAAATGATCCACAATTCCACAGAGCCAATATTGTCATTTCTCATCTTCGTTTGATTCCACAGAACAACAGATTACAGAGGAAACCATTTCTCATTGTCAAATTGGATGATTATGCATATACCCAAGTTCAAAACTTTCTCAAAATTCCACTAATTACAACTGAATTACGAAGAAAGGGAAGAGGATTAGACAAACCCTAGTGCCAATTTCGGAATTGAAGTCGTATTGTTCGATAGCAGCTGCGAAATCGTCGACAGTGAAGGCGACACCTTCCATGGGAGCATTTCGGCATCGCTCATAAGCGTCCTCGAACATCTTCTTCAGCTCAAGCCGCTCTCTTGTCTGCCCGCTAGACATCGCAACCGCGGCGACAATCGTCGGGGAGACGGAGGCGGATTTGTTCTGCGGTAAGTTCTTCGCGGCTCTCCTCGATAACCTAGAAGAGGAAGAGAGTGGAGAGCATCTCAAACCCGTGAATTGCTGAGCCAAGGACGCCATTGTTTCGTTAACACCTCGAAGAGTCTCACTCACTCTCTCGCAGAGTTGTTTTATCTGTTCTTCTATGGCTCCTCCTGCGTTTTATCGTCCGGGTTAGATAAGGAAGATAATACAAAAGCAAAAGAGATGATGTTGATCTGTGTGCTGGATTGTTTCAATTTGATCGGACGGTCAATACAGCTGCAACATGTTGCAATGAAACTACATGCCGTTTGAGTAACCATTTTAAACAGCGTGACGTTTTTTCTCTCGGCTAGAAACAAGTAAAGCGTACTCCGACACTGTGTCGTCCATTAGATGTGTACAAGCACTGTGTGACGTTTTTACGCACAAAACAAAATAAACATCAAAACACATTTTTTTGTGCTCTCTTCTTTTGCTATATAAATATATACTTTTTACCCTCTTATATCATTTTTTTTTAACATTAATCTATCAAAACCTGTATTTATATTCTTATATCAAATTTTATTTTGTTTATTATCTGTTAAGCAAATAAATCGTATACATATGTATAGGTTGCAGTTGTGGTTCTAGTTGGTTCCTTTGCAAATGTTCCTACTAATGATGCCCACAAATAATATTATGGCATAATGTTTAATGTTTCACCAGTAGGCCTAATTACATAATTTAGATGGAACACCCTACACATAAAATACCATTCTTTTTCTAAAAAAGGATGAAAATTTCATTAATCAGATTATGATGTACACCCGCCAATTGGAACTAGAGTTCAATCCTTGGAAGAAAAAGATTTTATCAAAGCTAACGTGGCCACGTGACAGATTAGCTCAATATATATATTAAGCCTCAGTTTTGTGTATTTTAAAGCAAATGAAAGCCATGTAATTCAACTCGACACGGTAAGTAAGACAAGAATTGTAGGTAGACCGTAGAGTTAAGATTAGCCGTACAAAGTGCATAATTAACTTGTCAAAGTACAACAATTGTTTCACTGGTTCTATAGTTTGTTTCATTTCAAGGTTGGTAAAGTATTTTCTAACTTTTCCTAGACTTATCGTTATTTGATATGAAGAATCATTCAAGATTTCTCCTACTTTCAGTTTCACGGATAATCTTGAACTTGGTTAACCATAAAAATTTACATTTTTTAACCATTAATTACTGTGCTTATAAACGAATTTTCTCTAATATGAGTGAATGTTCCCATATAATGATATTCTGAGTTCCGAAAATGACTTTTTGTTTAGTATCCTGTTATATAAAAAAATAAAAAATTCTTTCAAGTGATATTTTAACAGAAAATGTTATGAATGCATTGATTCTTCAGAATAAATAAAGAGGTTGGAAGCTTCGCAAAAGAATACACGATGCGCGTTATATATCCTTCATGACTTAGATTACAAAGTTATAATTAAGATTTAAGAATTAAGATTAGTGTCGTTTGCAACAATCACTATCAGAAACTTCTGAGAAAAAGAAAATTCTCACTATAAATTAAATAAAAGTGATCAACAACGACGCCAAATATTTTGGTTGTGCCATTGTGTGTACGTGTCTATTTGCTAGACCATATATCTTTGTCGGCTCGAGTTAACATAAATATATTTTTGTATTGTATATAATTATATCACAAAGTATTAATTAATAATATAGAGCTAAGATTAAACTTTCACCAATTATCCAAATACTATTAGATAAACATAACTTTCCTTTAGAGAAATTAGGTTCAGTATCCTCTTATAATCTATCATTTTGTCCATATATATACAAAATATTCTTCTGAAAAGTTCCGGAAGAACATGTCGCTACGTCACGTTTTCATAATATTTTGGTAAAAAAAATCTGTGGCATTTTAAGTATCGTGCAGGTAACACGTATAAATAAACAGAAATTCTTTGATAATTAACTTAAGAGTTGTTATGAAACACTGTCAAAGTTAAATTAATCAGTGTACACTCCTTTCATGCTCCTATAGTGATACTTGTACTTGTGGATTGTATGTACGTAGATGGCAAACAAGTACGTGCGCGCAACGGTGCAACAAAGTATTAATGTAGGGATCGTGTTATTGTAGTTAAGTTTTAAGATTTAGTTGCACAAAGAAAACGGTATAATAATTTTTCTCTAGTTTTAATTGCCTTGATCGTAGGTAATTATTTTTAGGGTTACTCTGAGCTTGGTCCAAACTTATTTAATGTAATTATGCTGGAAATAATTCATACTCCTACTACTTACTAATTAGATAAAGTGCCCTACTTCTACTAGGTTGATAATAAGGACTAGTGTACGCATAACGGGGAGCTACAAGAAGGTGAATTTTTGTACCTAAAACTACCTTTTTTATCAAAATAAAATGTAAATTGCTTTGAATGTGGAGAGACTAAGACCTAAAGTCTAGTAACTTTTTAGTTCAAAAATATTGTTAACCACCAGTGATGTGGTAATTATGGTTACGTATGTCATCCTCATATCTCCTCCGACAATACCAATGGTAGTTACCCAAAGGCCAAAAACTCTGTCAGGATGGTTTATCGTTGGTTGCTAAAATTAATTTTATCTCTAGATCTCAAAGAATATAGAGTCGTTACTCAAATTGATTCAAGTGGAAAATGTTGTGGACTCTATATTAAGATTCAGTTCGAGGTGAATACAAACAAACTATGATCCTTCGTCAATAAGTTGACAAAATAACCTAATTAACTTTTCGTAATGTGGTTAGTTACAAAATATCATATTATTAAATGTTAACATTGTCCTAAAATATCCATACGTACCTCATTCGTAAATGTTGGCTAAACGAATTTGAATTTTTATGGGAAGGGAGGAGTGGAGAAGTGCAAAACGTAAATGAATAATAAACAGCTTTTGCGAAACCATTTATACTTGTAGTATAGTATTATACTGGCAACTTGTTTGAAGTTGGAAAAAAGTACGAAAAACAAAATTTGTAAAGAATACAAAGGTACACAACTTACAAATATAAATCAAGAAGCAGAATGAATTACACGCAGGGAAAGTCAAATGTCAACCTTTAAAGCTCTAGTGCTGAAGTAAGTGCTAGCTAAGTACACTAATTAATTCCTAACACGATCCTTTAACTAATGTTCAGTTTGCGGCATTCTTTAACTATACTCATTAGGATAACGCGTTTGGTGAAAAACAGAGAATGGGTCAAGTTAAGTTCTAGAGTATTTTAATTTAACTCACATGAAAAATGCATCAAATTTTTATCGGATTTATCTCAAAATTACTTGGGTTTGATCTAATTTTGTTCATATCTTTGATATATTTCGTAAGATTAACTTGTTTTCAATATAAGATTTCTAATACGTCTCAATAGGATCATATATTTCTTTTCACTACTCATCATCTCGAACTGACTCTCATTATAGATTCCGCAACAATTTTCACTTGATTCAGAGTTTGGACAACTAATCATATATATGTATATATTTCCTATTCAAAACAGATTGGAATAAATAAATAGATGAATGCCTCATATATAAGTCTATTCTGAATTCCGATATCTAGATTTTTTTTTTTTTTTTAATATAACAATGGTAAAATGTGAACTACCCTTCACGTTTTGAGTTAAAAATGATATATGTTATCACTTGTTGGGGCATACATAATAACACATGTTTAGACGAACTATTTAGCGGTACATATAGCTTAACTGAAGCAAAAATTGTAATTCCACGTGTAAAATAGTTGCTAAGCATATCAAGCGAACCATTAGGGGTTGATCTACAGAAGATCAAGCAATTCAAAAGGTGCTGGCGTCCCTCGATGCCAAGTACCCCAACAAGGCAACAACGCAGTTCCGGATATTGATAATCAGATAATCACTCTTGGAAATCCAGACGATCAACTAACTGAGTTTTAAACTAGTTAGCAAGATTTTTCGTTCGTGTTTGTGTATAAAAGTCCAAAATTTAATGTGAATGTTTATGGGAATAGTTAAATAATTGTCAATATATAATGAGATTAAAGAGATTAAAAAGTTATTGAAAGAGAAAAAGTTCTTATATTGCGGCCGTTTATGCCTTCTTTAGCCCGTCCCACATGTTGCAAATAAATTTAAAGAAGTAAGCTTATTTTTTTATAAAAAATATCAATTTTTTTGTTCATCTATAAAACCATCAACTTCTCCATCTTATCCTGTGGATACAAACAACATTCATTCTCTCTCTACACATAACTCCAACAAAAAGTGATTCTCTCTCATTAAACACAGACAGAGAAAAGTACGAAGTCACGATCTCTTTTCTAAAGATCTCTGTAGGTCTCTCGTCAGAAAACATATAAAAGAAAGGTCTATCGTCATGGACGACAAAGCAAGAAGCTTGAAGATCAACAAAAACATGGAGGATTACGAAAACAACGTGGAAGACGAAATTGACCTAAGGAGAGGTCCATGGACCGTTGAGGAAGATTTCCATCTGATCAGTTACATAACTACTCATGGTGAAGGCCGATGGAACTCTCTTGCTCGTTGCGCCGGTATGATCCACTAACATCTACTTACAAATATACACAATCATATTAATATGTGGTGTGTAAGAAGAATGTGCTCTTGGTTTAAAAGAAAAAAGGATAAAGCCAAATTTGACAAAAAGTTGCATAATTTGATTTAACTTATTGTTAACTTTTGTTCAATCCATGTCATGTTTCGATATCCGTGAGTGTTTTTGTTTTTTATTTAACTCGCCACTTCTTTTAATGTTGATCAAATTTCTTTTTTTTTTTTTTTTTTGAAATTTTACGAAAAGGGTTTTGCCTTGTATGAAAAAAAACCCTTCATGGGAAGAAACCAAAAAGTGTAAAAGCTTGATTTCATGTTTTTCTTCTTTATGATCAGTTGCTAAAAGTAATTTCATTCGAATCTATAAAACTATTTACTTTCTAATGGAATCTTTTTGCTGTATGGACTCAATTATTATCTGCTTCGGATATGGATTCAATTATTTAACCATCTAGGTTTTGAATAAAGTAACCCATATTCGTGTTGAATTAAAAAGAAACAACAAATGCTAATAAATGATCAATATCTATATGGGGAGAGCACTAACGCAATGGAAGAAAGTTTGCTGGAGAAAAAGACCCGTTTAGACAATTTTCTCCATATCAACGGTCCATATAGTTTACAGAGTAAACTTTACAAAATATGAATATTATGATGAGTTTCTTGCGTATAAATAATCATCATACAAGAACAAGATACGTGTACACGATGATGTCCAAATAATTATCTCTTCTGATGTCAAACAGGACTCAAACGGACCGGAAAAAGCTGCAGACTACGGTGGCTGAACTATCTCCGACCAGATGTCCGCCGTGGAAACATAACCCTTGAAGAACAACTCTTGATTCTTGAACTTCACTCTCGTTGGGGCAATAGGTACTTTTTGATTTTAATTCAAAGTACACTTTATTTTGTATTTACAAGAATTTGATCACAGCTTTAGCTAGTTATTATTACTTTTTTCCCCTGTGATATTAGATGGTCGAAGATTGCACAATATTTACCTGGAAGAACTGATAACGAGATCAAAAACTATTGGAGAACACGTGTCCAAAAGCATGCAAAACAGCTTAGATGCGACGTGAACAGTCAACAGTTTAAAGACACCATGAGGTATCTTTGGATGCCTCGGCTCGTAGAACGGATCCAAGCCGCCTCCGCTTCAACCTCCACAACCACAACCGGATCTGCTGCCACTTCATCTTGCGTCACCACCTCCTCAGATCAGTTCTTGATGACGCCATACGACGACGGTGGCAATAACAACAAGATGGAACATTATGGTTTAATGAGCAACCCTAATGGTTACATCACGCCGGAAATTTCCAGCTTGGCAGTATCTCCGGCATCCGATTTTACGGACTATCAGAGTGAAGTGGGAAAGATTGGGAATAATTATAATCCGGATCATAATCTGGTGGGTCCACAAGTGTCAGCATCGCAGAACTATTTGGATAATAACAGTGGATTACTGAACGGAGATTTAACGGCTACGCAGGAGCAGTGTTATGTTGATTTGTTTGAAAATGTTAGTGGAATGATACCTTCTTATTCGGACAGTTTTTGGAACATTGGAAGTGATGAAGACTTGTGGCTCTTACAGCAGCAACAACAACAACAACAGCAAGTCCTCAACAATTGAAGCTTCTGAATAGACAAGAAGTTATTAAAAAGTGATAAAAAAAAAGAGAAAAGTTAAATGAATTAGTGTGAAAGGAATTTGTTTTAAAGGGAAGAAAAAACAAAGCCTCTATTTGAAAAAGAGAGGGCTTGTTTGATATATTGGGGAGATTAGAAAATTGTTATTTTGGAGAAAAAAATATATTGGTTTATGTTCTTTTGGGATTGTTATTCGAATCAAATTAATAACCAAGTGTTTTTTTTTGTCGTTTGTGGAATGATAATATATTTGAAAGATGTTTTAAAAACTTTTTTTTTAGTGTTTTCCTTCATGGAAGCATTCCATAGTACCATTCATTGTATCACATATATATGCTTTTGCCAATGATACCATAATTGGTTCCACCATGTTTCATATATATATACTACTTAATTAACACATCATATGTCACACAAGCAAACAAAACATAAACAAAATTATAATAATGACTTTAGCATGATAAATGAGAAAAATGGATAATCCAATTCATTATGCTTTTAGGAAGCATGTCGATGGGACCTGTATAAGGAAAAAAAGGGGACCGAGGTGTGTGAAAGGCTTTGGGTTCAAAAGTAGACAATCCAAAAATTGCTTTTAATACTGTATCCTCACGTGGAAACGTCTGAATGGTTGAAGTTTGAGTTTAAGGTGGCCATTAAGGGGAGAGTGTAATAATTTTCTGTTTAGTTATTAAAATATATGCTTAGTGATGATAACTCCACCATTAACGCGTGCAAATCCTTAATTTTAAATTGAACCCCATTATTGTACGGAGATCCCACCATTATCCAGAAAATACCTTCCTCACTCTGTAACACGTAATCCAAAGATGTCGTCTTCCTCTATCCCAATTCTTTTCTTAAAAATAATGTATCTAGATATGTAAATAATCAATATTTATGTACTGTTAAAGACATAATGCTGCCAAAAGAGTAAGTGATATAATAAACCGTAATCAAACGATTTACCATTGTATTGAAAGACAAAATTTACTACATCATACTATAATTCCAAGTTACAACCGATCTTGTGTAGTTTTAGTATTAAAAAAATCGATAAAACCAAAGACCCAAAATAACAAATCGAATTAAGAGCAAACTGTAAAAGCTATAACTTAAACGGTACAAAATGTTTTTTTTATTATAGTATGATGATGTAGTAAATTACAGTAAATGCTAAAAAAGGTCTTTTGGTTATCTTTTATGTTGGGCTCCGTTAAATAGGCCTACGCATGTTGCATTAGCATGTATCCAAGACAGGTTATGTCCACAACGTCTGTTCTTGCCATTGTTTCTTATCCCATTCTTAATTCATAGATTAGTGGTTCCATTCACGTACTGAATGTGGCATTTTGGTAAACCTTGGCGATGTTTCAAAGTATGCTTTTCATAATCAGGTTACAATTTTTACCTCAAAAATCAAACTATTTAGTATCTACCGACTAATCTAATCTTGGAGACAGTAATTAACAAACGTTTTTCTTTCGTTCTACCGACTAGACATGGACATAGAAAAGTCACACACACGTTTTTCTTTCTTTCGAGAAATGGCTGTAAAAAAAAAGATAGTTTGTTCAATACGTTATGAAGAAGAGCTTGACCATTAAAATTAAAAAGTAAAAATCATCACGCCCGGTGGGACTCGAACCCACAATCGTTTGATTAGAAGTCAAACGCCTTATCCATTAGGCCACGGGCGCTCAACGGTGTTACATATAGGTTGATATTGAGTCAGAATCGATGCACAACGTCGATCAATTGGGTGATATCATAACTTGGTGATACAAACATTGTTACATATGGCATCAAAATCACAATATTTATTTTTATTGCATTAAAATGGGTTTACAAACATCTCTACACTCTAGGATCTCTTAATTAAAGCAATACATATATAGTAACATAGGTTGTGAAGAAGTCATGTAGCTCAAGAGGGATATAAAGGAGAGAGAGTATATGAACCATACGAGCACTCAACAAAATCTTGATCGATTTAGTAGAAATAAACATATTTTGTAGAAACTCTACAGGATCGAGGAATCCAGAAGATATAAATAGTAAGAAGACAGAAAAGGGTAGAGAAAAGGTCTTACAAGGTCAAGAAAAAAGGCAGGGAAGAGACTAAACTAACAAAAAAAAGCTCAAGGTAAGACAGCGTCACTGATTTGATCATGAACAACAGCAAGCCAAGATCGTCTTCTTCTTCTTCCTCTTCTTGAAATAGCCTTTTTGTCCTAAGCCAAATCACAAATTAATGCAACAACATAAGTTATATACATAATTACTTGTGTCTGTGTGTATACCTTGATCGTGGCATTTTGGTGGTTCTTCTATCCGTGACACGCTTTCCCCTTTGTCCATAGCTTGAGAGAAAGATAGTGAATGCCTTGCGTGAATTATATATTTATAGAGACGTATTGCCGAAACCCACACGGACGTAGCTATAGATACGTGTATACAACAACGTATATACAAAATTAATTTGTTTTGTCTACAAAGGAAAATATATAATATTTTCTGTTGACATGTTTTCTAAATATTTATTTATTTATTTGTTCACATTTTGAAATGGTAAAACTTACATCAATCATGTGCCATTTTTTTGTTAACAAGGAAGTCTGGACCCTTTCAGTCTTTAGTTCTGCTCGGTTCGAGTCTTCGAGATCAGCATTTGATAATCCATGATTTAAAGGCGCCAAACATTCCTCCAAAAGCAAGGGTTTTAACTTTGGAACCTCTTTTGAAGGACAATAATGCTAAGACACATTATTACTCATTTAATAGTTCTTTTCTTTTATCTGAAGTGCATTTGCAAATTGCAAAACGTTATTTGTCATAGTGCATCATTTAAATAAGAATCAGAGGTTCTTGCGAATCAAACATTCGATACGAGAAAATTGTTCTTTTATATATGTGGCAAATGGCAATCGTCATCAGATGGTTAGAAGAGAGAAACTATTCGTCGGATTAAAACTGCCCCTGAATATATTTTGGATCTATGCAAAAGCCTCATCCTCTGCCCCTGCCATGCATGAATCTTCTTGTAGAGCTCTTGCCGACAAAGAAAAGTCACACACACGTGCGCCATGGACTTACTAACCTAAATCGAGTTATTTTATTCGCTACATGTTTTTCCAAACTAAACCAGATTTGAAGTTGAACTAAACAAAAACAACTTTACGGAAATGGTGGGATGCATGCTTCAACTCAAAAGTTCCTAAATAATTTTCTTCTTTTGACTAAAATTAGAGGCTTCAAGTTTTGGAGTTATCAAACTTCAAAACTCTATAATTACATGAAATGTCTAAATCAAATCATAGCATAGTTAAAAGATCATAGAGGCTCGTATGTCGAATTAATGCGTCTTTTGTAAAGAATTTGATGCGGATACTCCTTTGTGAATATTGTCGTAATGTTTTGTAGACGTCAATTTTTTAATAAAAATTATTGTATTACCTACCGACGAAAATATTCCATATTCTCGGGAAAGAAAAAGCAAAGTGAAAGTATGATCGATCAATAAAATGGAACAGAGAAAATAATAAAGCAAAAAAGCAAGAAGTAAAAGAAGCAACTTAAGTTGCCTGAGGAAGATAGGGAAATTGATGTGACCAAAGACACAAATCATTGAGACAAAGCCACCAAGTTCCGACAAATCCTTCTCCTCTATTACACTTTCTACTCCCTTTAATAATTCCTCCATTATATACTTACATAATACATTTCTATGCATTCATTTGTGAGTCTATCGACTTATACCATGTATGTAATAATGTAAATGTATATGTACGCAGACACTATTTTGTGTATACGCAAGGGCTACATATAAAAGACTTTACGATAAGGTTGGCCCAAGAAGAAGCAAGACGTCAAAAATATCCTCCGTGCTTGGAAGACTATAAATGAAAGAATCTTAAGTTATATCTCGGCATCTCTACTCTTCTACTTCTTCTACGCACTAATAACTTTGTGCTTATATACAATTTTCGTATCGAACTACCACTACAAAAGAGAGAATGTTTTCGTGTATATCTCTAATATTAGTTCATCGAATCGATCTAAAAATGATACATAGAACTACCTTACTGTCTATTTAGTGCATAACCAAGTTTTGAACATTGGTTTGTTCTTACAACTGTCCTTAACAAAAATGATACATAGCGAAGCCTATAGAGATCTTAAGAGAAACAATAATGATGATCAAATCGCCTCCGTAGCATAGTGGTATTGCGTTCGCTTCGTAAGCGAAAGGTCGTGAGTTCGATCCTCGCCGGGGGCTTCCACAATCAAACCTTTTTTTCTAAAACCGTAGAAAAAAAACGATGGGCCTAAATTTAACAACCGGTCTTTGTTTATTGGGCTATTCAGACACACGCGCTTCTTCTTCACCATTACACTTGTTCAACGCTCGCGCGATTCGATTTCTTCTGTTTCTCCATTTCTGGATTTCTGCTATTTTCGTTTCTAAAATTGAACCTGTTCTTCTTTTTTCCAATAAAAAACGAAAATTTCAAATCCCATCCTCAATATTCCTCTTGTTCTGGTTCGATCGATCGATGGGTAATCGAATCGAATCAGAGTCTCTACGATCAGGTTAGGTCTCATCAGATGCGGTAAGACGAGAAATTTTAATTTTTTGTTTCAGCCTTTGTATAGCCTCTTCTCTTCGATACCTTTGTTGATCTTGCAATGGATGCTCTCTTCCCCGATGAGGTGATTCTTCAGATTCTGGCTAGATTACCTGTCAAATCTCTCTTCAGGTTCAAATCCGTTTGCAAAGCTTGGCACAAACTGCCCTCCGACGGATATTTCACCGCCTTGTACAACAAAGTCTCTGTAAAAGAGCAAATGCTCGTCGCCGAGGTATCGTATTCCTCGGAATCGAAATCTAGCTTGATCTGCGTTGATAATCTGAGAGGCGTTTCCGAGTTATCATTGGAATTTGTTAGAGACAGGGTGAGAATTAGGGCTTCTTGTAACGGCTTATTCTGTTGCTCGAGCATTCCTGAAAAAGGTGTTTATTACGTTTGCAATCCATCGACTAGAGAGTGTAGGAGATTGCCTAAGAGCAGAGAGAGACCTGTGACTCGGTTTTATCCGGACGGTGAAGCGACGCTTGTTGGCTTGGCTTGTGATTTGGATAGGAACAAGTTCTATGTGGTCATGGCTGGTTACCACAGGTCGTTCGGTCAGAGACCTGACGGGAGTTTCATCTGTTTTGTGTTTGATTCCGAGACCAACAAGTGGAGGAAGTTTGTCTCGGAGCAAGAAGATTGTTGTAGCTTCACGCATATGAGCAAGAACCAAGTGGTGTTTGTGAACGGGAAGCTTCACTGGTTGATGAGTGGTTTGTGTTATGTGCTTTCGCTTGATGTTGAGCGTGACGTGTGGAGGAAGATTTGTTTGCCTGACGAGATTAGGTGTGGGGAAGGTGGTGGTGGGAATCGGGTTTATCTGTTGGAGTCCGACGGGTTTTTGTCGGTGGTTCAGATATCGGATCGGTGGATGAAAATATGGAAGATGAGAGAGTATGAGAGTGAGAGTTGGTTTGTTGTTGATAGCGTAAGTTTGAGGTGTATCAAAGGATTGGTGCCTGGGATTTTTCCGATTTGTCAGACCGGTGAGTATGTGTTGTTGGCTACTCATAAACAGGTTTTGGTGTATCAGAGACGGAGGAAGTTGTGGAAAGAGATGTTTTCTGTTAAAGGAAGCTCTTCTCTGCCTTTGTGGTTCTCTGCTCACGCCTTTCGCAGCACCATTGTACCTTGTAGTTGAGTTAATAAGCTCTATATGTTTATGTTACATTTTCTACCTTTTTAAAATGTAAATTGGTTCGGTTTTCGTTACACAATCGTTTATAAAAAATTATGAACATATATACAGTTGATTTCTTCTGTTTCTTTTGAGTTTTGATACATAGATTTTAGAGTGGTTGAATTTTTGTGGAAGCTTTTTTTGGCTTCTCCTTGACATCATGAACGTCTTCAAACACTGACAAAGGCAGCGACTTAGATAATAAACCGACCTGTGTCTTGAAGGTAATCAAACCAGAGGAACGGTTTACATGAATCTCACCGAGAGAGATCCAGACCACGAACTCCTTAGCCTTAACTCCGGTGAGTTTCTTGATCTTGTTGGGCTCGAAGTACGCAGTGACTTCAGCTTCGAAACATACAACAACGTTATCGAATCTAAACCGGTCTTGATTTGTCCCTTTTGCATCTTTTTGCTTGTGTTTTAACCACACGAAACCCGTGTCCTTCACGTAACCGCATTCTTCGATCTCCTGGTTACTAAGGAGCCGGTTTGGTAATCCGATTTCGGACAAAAGCGAACCGAATTTCTCTCTGCATGTCTTGTCTCCATGGTAGACCTCTGCCTTGGCTTTCGTGGCTTCTGTCACCATAGTAACGATGGTATGATCAAATCTCTTTGTGTTTGGATAAGTTAAATAATATATGTTGTTAGGCAATGAGGTTTTCAAATTTGTCTTTTGGTACTCTTATTGTGTTTTAAATGTTTTTTGCAAGTTTGGGAATATGCGTTCTCAAGAGGATCTCTCTTGTGTCTTCTTTCTTGCAAATTGATCAACTCCTTTTTTGTCTTTTTTTTTTATAGATGGTACCCAAAGGATATCCATTTCTTGTTCTTGGCCATTTTTTAAGTTAAATCCATTGTTACGTTTACCTATTTTGGCTCAATTGCACGTAAGTGAGTTACAATATTTGGCTCTGATTGGTACGTAACTGAGAGTTAACAAATAACAAGTGGGGAAAATAATCCTCTGAATATTTGGCTGTGATTGGTACGTAACGATGTTCAGTTTTTTTCTTGTTATCTAAATTTCTCACTGGATGAAATTAGTGAGAACCCTCTATATTTGGCGGACTATAAGAAGAAGAATTTAACGCACTAGTCATATGCTGATTTTGAGAACCACTTATTTGTAAAGTCAAAACTTATAAATTAAATTTCATGTAACTAGAAATGAAAAAACTACACCACAACAAAATAAAATAATTGATTGACTACCATATGAAACTGCATAAACTGGTGTGAAATTACAGTCTACTGCAAAAATAATAATTGATTGACTACTGTATAAAAATGCATAAAATGGTATAAAACCTGTTAGAACCATTTAAGTTCGTCTAACTTTGCTTGATAACAAAAATGCATAATTCGAAGGTTTAAATATATAATCACCATGGTTTGAGCCTTGTGGCAGTCTAAATATCTAAACTTTTCTTTGTTAACTATTGATTTTTTCCACCAAAATCTACTTCTCATTTTAAGTCGAAAAATACACAATTATTACATAGAGTTTTATATATAAGTAAAATAAAATAGGTGTAAGATTTTTTTTTCTCCCCCAATGTATGTGTAAATAAATACGATATTATTATTAATTTCATTCAACAGAAATAAAGAAATTACCACGATTGCAAAAACCTTTTCTGGTTTTTAAATGATTTTTCACCTGTAGTGTAATAATGTTTGACCACCAACAGCATGTTTATCTGAAAACTGATTTTTTTTTCACCAGCTCATCTTTAAAAAATTAAAACAGTGACACCGCCGGTCGAAACCTCCGTTTTCTGATCGCGTCGGTCTTTTACTCCAAAAAATTGCAAAATTGAAGCTTCCTTTTCTTCAATCGGCTTTATTTGTGTGCTCCTACTTTCTTTCTCTTCATCCACTCACCAAATTCACAGATAAATCCCAATTCGGCACATCGATTACGAGCAAGAATTTGTTGCTCTAGGGCACCCGAATCTTCGTTATTTCCCTGTGGGCCTTCTTCTCCGACCTCCCATTGACTTTTCAAGTTTCTTCTCATGGAATCTCCTCATCCTCTTCCCTCCGCTCCGCCTCTCGTTTGAAATCTCAGTTTCAGGTACCTTTTCCGTCTTCTTCGAATTCGCATTCTTATAATTTCGCCTCCATGGAGAAATGCGATTCCGGTGACTATGGTTTAGTTTTGTTTAATTTCCTCCAACCGTACGAAATTTCATGGGGTTTGATCTCAATTACTCTCCTGGAACGAAATTTCGTCATTATATTCAAAGATTTAGAGTTGTTTCCGATTTGATCACTTCCTCTTTGCTTGTGATTTCAATGGATTAGTTCTTCTAGATTGACTTGTAATTTCTCTGCCTTCTCCACTTGCAGGAAATGCTAGAGAGAGTCTCAGTTGATTGCGTTTTACTCTACGTAGCTGTTTGAATTAGTAATGGCTCGCAAAGGAAGCCAGCAGAAGAATGGAATTGATCACCAAACCAAGCAAAGAAAGAAAACTTCTGATTCTCTGCTCTCTTCAAAGGCACAAGGGAAAGCTAGTGACGCTGCGACTGTCCTGAAAGAGACCTGCCAAGATAATAAACCTACAAGAAGCAGTCCAGCTTCCGAAACTTTAGATAGAGACATGGATGCAGCGAAAGCCTCTGCTTCAGAGACTGATTTAGCTGGAGATAGACCTCATAATGAACCTGGTTTTAGCACAGAAGAGAGTAGGTATATTCCGTTTAGTCGTGAACACATCAACGGTGTTATGAGAAGCTTGCTGGAGATTTTGAGCACAAACAGCCCTTCAGAGAATATTGGGCTAGCGTACAATGCAGCACTCAGGAAACTGAGGATACTCACTGCTACCATATCAAGGGAAGCGAGTCCGTGGATGGAAAGACACAGGCCTTTGATGGTTTCTCTCAGATCACGAGTGTATAAAGCTCGTGATGTTGTTTTCAAGAAAATTCGGCAAGTGTACCCGGTTGTCTTGAGATGGCTTATGCACTTTGGCAGCATCGTTCTTCTTCTGTCTCTGGTTTGGTTGGACTGTGCAATCCGAGGTTTTGATTCTTTCATCCGGATGGGAACAGCGTCCTTTTTCTCAATCATGTGGTGTGGTCTCTTCTCAGCGTTTTCCATGATCGGCGTGACCAAATTTCTAGTGTTGTCGGTAAGAATTTAACATATAGTTTTGCTTATATGATCACTTTTTTATGCATATGGGAATTACTTTTATAAATACAGGTTGTTACTGTTCTGGTGTCGTTGTTCATTGGATTCGTTGTTGGAGCTATTACCCTCGCCATTTCTGGTTTGGTTTTGCTATGGCTCTATGGTAGCTTTTGGACAACACTGCTCTTCCTCTTTGTAGGAGGTAAAGTCCTTCCTATCTCAATCTTGTAGCAAACAACCATTCTCTTGCATTATTTAGTCTAATACAATGTTTGTTGATGTAAAAGGTCTGGCATTCATGCTGAAGCACGAGCGCGTTGCACTGCTTATCGTCACAGTGTATTCAGTCTATAGTGCATTGAGTTATGTTGGATGGCTAGGTCTTCTTTTGGCTTTTAATCTTGCTTTCATCTCAACCGATGCTCTCATATATTTCTTCAAGAACAAATTAAGCCAGGAGGGCTCAGCTGAAATACCCACCGATCCCTTAAATGGTCCATCTTTCGAAAACGGCCCTGGCTTTCCGGGAGACCGTGGTCCAGGAGTGACGTCAACTAGCGGAACCGACTCTGAGTTAACATCTGAAGATGAAGTTTCTCGGTTACTTAATTGTGCTGACCACTACTCAGCTTTGGGGTTACCTCGGTATGGGAATGTTGACATGGCTTATCTCAAGCGAGAATATAGGAAAAAGGTAATTCTTGTTTATTTTCTCTCTTAGAAGTGAATGTCTCTCTGCCTCTGTTAATTGCTGAGTTCTCATGAGCAAATGATTTGATAGGCGATGTTGGTCCATCCTGATAAGAATATGGGGAATGAGAGAGCAGCTGAAGCTTTTAAGAAACTTCAGAATGCATATGAGGTAATGATCTACTTCTCATTTCATCAATTTGTATCGGTGCATCAAGTTTCTCCATATCTCATCTCCCTGGCTGGCCTCTAGGTATTGCTTGATTCTGTAAAACAGAAATCATATGACGATGAATTGAAGAAGGAAGAGCTACTGAACTACTTCCGGAGGTTTCAGAGCTCTTCTCAAAAGGTATGTTTATAGTTGTCTGGCTGATATTTCATCTTCTGGAATACATCTTTGTTGCAAAAAGTGTCATTTTCTCTCTTTTCTTAATCTTCTCGGATGTTTGTCTTTATCCCCAGGAGGCTCGGGGACACTGTTTCTCTGGCTCGGGTTTTGGAAGCTCAGAAGGGGAAGGAGAGGAAGCCTTAAGAGAGTGTAGACAAATAGCGTGTAAAAAATGCGGAAATCTCCATGGCTGGTTTCTAACAAAGAAATCAAAATCTAGAGCAAGATGGTGCCAGGTTTTTTTCCAACTCTTCATCTGCATCTCAGAGATATTATATATTAACAACACCAATGATGAAACTTCTTGGGAGGAAGTATAATCCCTAGTACGTAATTGATTTACTCGAGCTCTGCTTTTGTATCTCAAGGATTGCAAGGACTTTCATCAGGCAAAAGATGGAGATGGTTGGGTTGAACAATCTTCACAGCACGTCTTGTTTGGGCTGTTTCAAAAGGTATTTCATACACAAAAGTTTGATCTACAAGAAAAAAATGACTCAGTTAATATGCATTCTTCTCATAGTCATGTGAGATGTTTGTTGTTGCGACGCAGGTTGATATGCCGCGTGCTTACGTTTGTGCAGACAGCAAAGTGTACGAAGCTTCTCAGTGGTATATCTGTCAGGTACCTCAAAAACCAATCGGTTTTGCTTTTGGCATTTCATAAGAGATTGCTCTGCTTGGTTTTTGTTTCGGAAGGACTGAAATTTGAACTTTTGTTGGAAGGGAATGAGATGTCCAGCGAACACACACAAGCCGAGCTTCCATGTGAACACGAACGTGACAGGTGCAAAACGAGGAGCAAGTGGTTCGTCAGGGCAAAAAGCAAACCAGAAGATGCCAAATGCAAACTTGGATGAAACAATGACAGAGGAAGAGTTCTACGAGTGGTTGCAGAACGCCGCGCAAGCCGGTATGTTTGATAATGCCAGCGAGAGCCCTTCTTCAGCAACTGCCACTAGCACAAGTAGTAGTAGCAGCAGCAAGAAGAAGAAAAAGGGAAAGAAGCAATGGTGAACAAACGCAGAGCTAGTGTTGTTTCATACTATTATTTAACATGGTGGAAATTTTGTATCCTTTTTTTGGTTAAGAAATTAAACTGTTACTTTGATAACTATTATCCATACAGAGAAAAAGCTCTTGAAAGAAGCTGATTGATAGATTCATTTCAACAATATTGTCTTGTTCGGTAAAATTCAAATTAACAATACTATATTTCTTATAATGAGTTTCAAGAAGATATTTACAAAGACTACTACTACAATGGTTGCCTTAAGGCTTGGCGTGGAAGAGTCTTGTTGAGTAAAGCTTCTTTGAGCTTACGTCCGAGAGCAAAGGCCAATGGTGGAGGCACCGCATTCCCAATCTGCTTATGCTTGTCTCTTCTTGTCCCTGCGAACTTATAGCTATCCGGAAACCCCTGCAAATTTTCAATAGAGAAATCAACATTTTCATTTCTCTCAAGAGCTAACAATTACTATATTTCTAAAACGCCATATCTGAACAATCTTTCCCATACCAACAAGTGCTTTGACATGTAGAGAGAACACTTACTAGGAACAAACATAAGAGTGTTTATTTACCTGAGACCGAGAGCATTCGCGGACCGTGACAATTCGGTCTTGGTCAGGATGGAAGCACATCCCCACCTTACCGGATGGACGAGGATCGGTGATGGAAGTTGGGAAATTGCCTTGCCACTCTAATCTCCCATACAGTCCCTTCCACTGGTTGTGGTTCCTAGATTTGTTTGGCAGACAGTCTGGAATCAAATTTACATGCAGCCCATTTGATAACTTCACCTGTAATAGTAAATGAAAGTAAGCATGCATTCCCTCATGTGTCCCATAGTCGGATGTATAAGACTGACCATTTCATTTGGGAGGTCACGCCAATCAGCACCTGGCCTCTTTGGGTTCATCTTGCATCTAATGAGGTTTGTTTCGTTCATCTTTTTGCAGATATGATCATTGAGATCAATCATGTTTCCTCTTATCCCCTTTTGGAACCACGAGACCGGATCATCTGGATACTGCAAAGACACAAGAATAACAAAAAAATCGATTCACGTCAAGATATGTGTGTGTGTGTGTATACTTTCTCTTGTTGTGTTATATATATATATCATACCTGTCTTTTGGTCTCCGATTCTCCGTTTTCAACTGGTGGAAGATCACCAATGGTGTCTCTCACAGTGATTGGGCGGAAAGGAGCACCAAATCGAGTACTAGGAACAGCAGCATAGCGCAAACCTTTGGAGAGAGAGATGTTCAGCTTGGGAGTAGCAAAGACATGCATAGGTTGAGGCCATTCCGGAAGAACTTCATCAGGTGCAGCTGCCCAAATAAAAGCTCTTTTGCGAGATTGGGAAACTCCATATGCACCTGCCTCTAAGATCCCAAACCGCACATGTAAAACATCATTTTAAACACATGTTTCAACAAAGAGGCAAAGAGCAACCAACTTGTAACAAGTGTGGAACGAGATAAAGTATTTACCTGGTAACCCATCTCGAGAAGAGAAGCCAGAGTAAGTTTAAATGTTTGCCCTTTATTGAATGACACGAACGTCCTCACGTTCTCTAGAAGAAAATACTTTGGCCGTAAATAATCAGTGTATGATAAGAATGCTAATATCATTTCTCGCTGAATTTTACTCCATGATGTTTGGTCGAACATATTCAAACGAGAAAATCCCTGCCAAATTTCACAGCTCAAGAGTTCTTCACTTTTCAACTAAAATTGTAGACGCAAATATAGCAACAATCTTAAAAATTATATATATATATATATATACCTGGCATGGAGGGCCTCCGTTGATGAAATCCACTTGACCAGGAAGTGGTAGAGTACGCTTTTGGTCCTCATTCAGTTTAGCTGCGAGATCATTTGCCTCTGTAGTAGAGACACAATCATCTTGGTCTCCACATTTCTCCATTATGGCCCTACAGATAATCATTTCAACAAACTCATCATCACCAACACAAGAAATATATAGCCACATTTGAAAAAGGTAACCTGTGTTTAGCTATTTTCTTACCTAAGAATCACATTGCAGTTGTTGACAAAAACTGTTGATTCAGGATGGTTTTGCTTAAAAGCCTGCCCAGCTGGCTCTTCATACTCGATTGCCCACTTTGTTTGAGTTACACCTTGTACGTAAATTAAGCATGCAAATTAAATATAACGTGTTCAAAGCGTTTTGGTGGATTTACGTGTTGACTGGAGATAATACATACCTGCCTGCTCCAGTCCCCAAGACATGCCACCACAACCAGCAAAAATATCTCGGCCAGCCGGACTGCGCGGTTGGGCGCTGATTCTCGATAGAGCCGTCTGGACAGTCTTCACTCTTTTGGTTGTAACTCCTTTTCTACTCATCCAAATTAGGCCGTTCCAGTTGCGTTGGAAAGTTAACTCAATCAGAGCACGCAGGGAACTGGTCTTGATGAAATCCATTGAGTAGATCTTTTTCTGGGCCCTCTTAAAGTTGGTGCTTGTGCATGGAGCTGGCTTGAAGTGCAAATCCTATGGTTTTGCTCCAAAATGCATCATTTCACCTGTTTAGACTCTAGACACTATAAACACAGTAAAACTACCTTTTTAGATAGAAAACCTGCCAAAAACCATTAGAAAACAATGCTAAAACAGTATAAAAAGTGGGTAAATTAGAGGTATATCAACTCCCCCAGACTTAGATCTTTGCTTGTCCCCAAGCAAAAAGAATCTAAATCCGTGAAAGAGGTTTGAAAACGTGGAAGCTCCCTTGCTCTTTTGAATATCCTGTGAAAGGTTCCTTTCCTGTATTCCACTATGAACATAGACAACATAAGGTTAGCTTCACATACACCCTGCAAGTTTAGCGAACAATACCAACCCAACTAGTCTCATCCAGCAATCCAAACTCTCTATTGCTAACCTCTTGCATAAATTTAAAGCGTGAATTCTTTATCAAGGGGACATCGATCAATTGAACTTGTTCTTACCCACTTGATCTCTCCAAGATTGTCTTTAAGTGCAATGAGTTCTTTTCCTCTCTCTTTCTCACATCAGAACTTTGAAAGGTCAATTTCTCCCTACTTTTCTAGGGTATCATTTTATTTTTTCTATTGACCCTTCTTTCAACCACAGGATAAGTCTTTAGCTTGTTCCTTGTTTGACTAAGGTATTCCATAAGACATGAAGGTACAGACATATGCATTCCTCATGCTTACTTGTTTTCCTTGTGCTCTTTGAGCTTTTTCTCATAAACATTACTTACCATTTGGGATGGGAGAGAGAGGAGAACTCTTTAAAGACAAATCTCATTGAAAATCAAGCAAGGAACTGTCGACATGTATGCCAACCCCCTTGACAAGAGTATTAAGATTGATTAAGGGTGAGGTTAACTCTAGATTGCTTGGTTACCTTAGAAATTTTGCTGAGCTAGCATGTCGATCCACTGTAAGAGCTTCTGTTAGGCTTGTGCCTTTAGCTGTTTCTGCTCTAGGGTCATGGATTGTTAGCATCTACTAGTCTCATGTTAGCAAACACTTCAATTCTCAAAGCAAGTTCATAACTTCCGGACTGGTTTTTGACTCAATAAAACTTTTTGAAAAACATGAAACAAAGTGAATAAAACATAAGAAAAGAAAGAAAAATGCATTAGTAACACAATAAAACTCCCCCCAGACTTAACTTGCACCGTCCCGGTGAAAGCAAATCACATTAAGGTGAGAGGTAATATTCAAAGTAAAAGAAAAATAAAGAAAAATTCATTAAAATGAGATAGGGATAGAAAATGGAGATTTGTAAGTGTCCATTGCACTAAGTACCACTTGAGATGACTATGTGTGGCAGTGAGAAGAACTCTCTTCCTCATCTATGGGGTCATCGCCTTCTGAACCAAGCTCTGAGTCTAGTGAGAACTCACCAAGGTCAGGCTCATATGGCTCTCTAGCGGTGGAAGAAGGGCGAAAGAGTCTCTCCGGTGCAATGTGGCGAACTACACGAACTAGGCGTGAGATGAAGCGAGATTGGCATTCCACGATCTTCTCCAGCTTGTTAACACGGTCTAGAGCTTGTGCGGCCATGCCAGTAGTGAGAACATGGCGTTCTTGGTGGCGGCGTTGAGTCTTGACTGCATGCTGAAGTGTGCGATAGGTGAGCATGGGGAATGATGGTTTCTCACTTGATGGAACATAGAAGTCTTCCTCATTGGGCTGGAAAGTGACAACACCTGAGCGTAGGCTTGGGATGTCTTCATGTGGCAGCAAGACAAGGGAAGTGTTGGCTGGACCAATTGGAAACTCATAGCAAAACCGAGTTGGGTCTTTAGTCCAACGGTTTAGGAAGTGGATGTGCTGAAGAGCATGGAGATCCAAAGGGGTTGGCTTGGGTAGTGGCTCATAGTTGGGAATGTCAATCCCCACATGCAGTACTATGGCCGTGATAAGCCTCCCAAAACGAACACAAAGCTTCTTGTTGCCTTCCAAGTCTTTAGCTAGCTTCCTCACATTGATGAATGTCTTGGCAAGTAAAAGTCCAAGGTTGGCCTTGTACTCATGCTTGATGAATGGTGTGGTGAGGATGTAGAACTCATCAGTTGTGACCTTGTTGGCTTCTTGTTTGCATTGGAAAGTGGTGGAGATGAGGCGGTGCACATAGCGAATGGCTGGATGAGTGATTCTAGACACCTTTGACCTTGAAGGCAAGAATGGTTCATTGGCAAAGTGTGTCCAATCAGCAAAGGCAGCTTGTTTCCTCTTTGAGTTCTCCTTGAAGTCATGTGCTGTCTCATTGGGAAGTCCAAAGAGTTGGCATAGAGCTGAGATAGATATGCGCCCATTGGCATCGCCTATCTTGAAGAGTAGGAGTCCTTCACCAGCTGGTTGGTCTCCATTGTGGTTGGGAAAGGCAAGAGCTACTGTAGAGGAACTCCTTGGTGAGTTGTGAGTACTCACTACATTCTAGCTTGAAGAGCTTGCTCAAGCCTAGCTTCCTTATGTACCATGTGACATCATCTCTTATCTTGAGAAGATCAAGGGTTTGGGTGTCCATCTTCACACATGGCTCGATGTTCACCTTCTCCATTGCCTTCTTACACTTTCTTGGGTCTTGATTTTGTTCTCCAACAAAGGTTACAAGTGCCCAATCATCTTCTCCTCTTCTTGGACTCTCCACATGTTCTTGATTGCATCAATGGAATGTGGTGAAGTTGGTATTTCTGCTCTTGCATTGGAGCTACTACTCCCTAGCTTGATTTGCTTCTTTGGTGGTCATGAATGGGTTCTTCTTCTTCATACTCTCATTTCCTTTTGTCTTTGCCATTGGTGTACCTACAAGAGCAAATTCTTGGGAAGAAATATGAGTTTGTGATTAATGCAAAAGAAGAATAAGCTAATTGAGTTGTAATAATGATATGGAATAAAGGAACAACTCAAGGCTTAATCATGAATCAAAGAGACAAAATAGAAATTTCACTTTTTCAAAGTTAATTTTCGGATTTTACTGTTCATCCCAAGATTATGGTGCTTAAAATCAAAATTTTCAGCAAATCAAGAGAAATTGAGTTTCTAATCCAAGTAATCACTAGATAAACTAATGAATTGAAGTATGCCCAAGCAATTTCACCTTTGAATAAGGGGTTTGGAATGCCCAATAAGTTTTGTGAAAAACTATTCAATTGTGAAATTAAACTTCAAATTAACTCTAAACCACCTAGGTTCCACCTAGCAAAGTTCATTACAAGACTATAAGGATGCTAATTTCAAGTCTAGACAAGAGTTTAGACCAAACATGAAACTTATTAAGATTTTCGATCTTGCATAAACATAGGATTAGAGTTAGAAGACATACCTTGTGTTGAAAAGTGAATAAGGTTGCAAGAGCAAGTAATTCCAATTTAGAGTTATGAACAGTAAAAGTTTTGAAATCAAAACTCTTAGAGTTCCTCTAATGGAGTTTAGGGTTTTGGAGAAGAAAGAGAGGTTCTTGTGGTTTTCAAGGGAAAGGTGAAGTAAATAAGATCTAAATCCTATCAATTTTCCTTTTCAAATTCGAATTTTGATTGAAAACCGGTTTAAGTTGGTTTAGAATTGGTTAAAACCGGTTTGAATTAAATGAAAAGGGGACTTACCTTGGCCTAGAAAAGTTTTGGGCCGATGGCCGATTTTTGTCGCGGTCGAGCGATTTGGTCGGCCAAATTCGTTTGGTCGAGAGAATTCGGCCGAGGCCGAGCGATGTTTCCCGGATCGACCGGCACGGTCGGTCCGTTCCGATACGAAAATTCGGCCGATCGCGATCGTTTCTTTCCCGGTTCGTGCGTGGCGCGAACGGTTTCTGTCGCGCAATGAGTGAATCCGGCCGAGCACGGCTATTCCTTCCCGGCTCGACCGTAACGGTCGGCCAGAATGAGAATTGCTCGGCCAAAATCACTTTTGCGCGTCCGCGGCCAATGTTTTGGCGCGGATTGTGTTTTCACACCTTTTTCTCCTTCTATCCTATCTTAAAACAAAGAAAACACAAAAGCAAAACAAAAACTAAGAAATTAAAGAAAGAAAAGTAAAAGTACCTCATGGGTTGCCTCCCATGCAGCGCTTGTTTTAAGTCTTTAGCTTGACTGTAAGGCTTGGCATCAGGAGAAGATAGAGACAAGAGGCATCCTTGATCCTCCAAGTCTTTTCTCCTTGCAATGAGTATCTGGTGGGTGATTCACAGCTGGATAGACAATCTCTCCATGAATGTCCCTTGGCACTACTGCCTTAGGGTGTTTGTGAGAATGAATCAGCATAGTTGATGGAGATGGATGATGGCTCTATCTTGGTGAGGCCTATCTTGTCAGCTATCCTCTTAGACATGATGTTCACATTGGCTCCTGTGTCACACAAAGATTGCTCAAGAATGTTACCTTTGATGATACAAGGCACAGCAAACTTTCCTGAGTTATCTGTCTTGGGGATAATCTTTGGGAAGAGTCTTCTCTTTCTAGCTCGATTGGACTCTCTCTCTGGGTAATTCTCTTCAGGCCAAATCATGCAATCAACAGTAGGTTTTGAAAGCATCCATTCTGGAACTTGGTCTTCAAATCTTTCTTCTATGGCGGCTGAGTTGCAAAAGGACTTCTTGGATTCAGCTTCCTGTCTCTTAACAGCTTCCATAGTTTGAGTGACTTGAGTCTCTAGTTTCTTCACATGAGTGGCAACAGCATCATACTTGGTGTTGAGATTGCTGAACAAAGTGTCCATCTTCTCATACATCTCTTTAGTGTTTCTCTTCTGGCCATCCATGATCTGTTGGAGGATTCCTTCAAATCTCCCACCTTGTTGGTTTGGAGGAGCTTGATTTGGTGAAGAAGCATATGGCTCCTTGGGTGGATATGATGATCTCTGCTCATATCCTTGCCTTGGCTGAAATTGACTTCCTTGAGATTGGTAAGGAGGTCTTTGTTGTTGTGGATACCTTGGAGGATACACTTGGTCTTGAGGATTCTCCACATTGGGGTTTCTATAAGACATGTTGGGGTTTGGGCGATAGCTTGGATTGTATCCCTTGTTCCCATAGTTTCCAATGTAGTTCACATCTTCTTCATTGGCTTCATTAGAGAAATCTCCCATGCATTCTCTTGATGAATCTTCATTAGCATCACTCATCCCTTCTATTGCATTGATATGCTTGAGCTGTCCCTTAAGAACTTGAGCCATCATGTTCTTGAGTTCAGTCATTTGAAAAGAATCAGGGGAGCTAGTAGTGGTGCGGCTTGAGCGGTCATAATCAGGACAGTTGTTACAATCACTAGCTGCAAGATTCTCAATAAGAACCTTAGCTTCATCAACAGTCTTGGTCATGAAGTTTCCATTGCTTGCTGTATCCAATGAAAGCTTGTACTTGTGGTCTATGCCACGATAGAAGATGTTCCATAGGTTTCCCTCATTGAAACCATGATTAGGGCAGTCCCTAATGTACTCCTTGAATCGATCTAGCGCCTCATAGAAAGATTCATTGTTGGCTTGGCGAAAGTGGAGATCTTGTTCTCACAGAAATTGATCTCTGTTTGGTGTAGAAGTGGTTGATGAATGCAGCCTTGTACTCATCCCAAGTGGTGATGGAGTGAGCTGGCAGAGACTTCAACCATCTTGAAGCTTTGTCGCCAAGAGAGAATGAAAAGAGCTTGCACTTAAGTAGTCAGCAGAGACTCCATTGGATCTTGTAGTGCTGCAAATTTCTTCAAAGTTTTCTATGTGATCAAGAGGATGCTCAGCTGGAAGTCCATTGAATTGGTTCTGTCTAACCAATGCTATGATCTGAGGCTTGATCTCATAGTCATTCCTTGCAGGAAGTGGTGGATGGATAGGGTTTCTATCCATGAAGAAAGCATCGGCAGAGTCATAGTCTCCGATTGTAGGTGCTCCGCTTGGGTTGTGCGTTCACATCTCCAGCAGGGTCTTAGGAGGAGGAGGAGGTGGATCTCTTCCTTCTTCTTGAGCGCGCGCCACTTCAGCGGCGTGAGCGCGAGCTGCTTCGTCGGCCATCTCTTGGGCTTTTGCTTCCTAAGTTGCTTCTCAAGCTTGTCTATCTCTGGATGTTCAACTAGGTTGTCCTTGTTGGACCTCCTAGTCATGCACCTGAAAAGAGTCTTGGAAACAAGTTAAATCAAAAGGGAAAAACAAAAACAAAAGTAAAAATCAAAGAAAAGGAAATCAAAAACTAAAAATTCAAAAGCAAAAGAAAAGTAAAACAGGAAAAGGTTCTAGACTAGATCCTAGTCGAGTTCCAAAGGTACTGCTGCAGTCCCCGGCAACGGCGCCAAAAACTTGATGCGGAGTCAGGTTTTACCAAACTCCTAGACCTCTGCAAGTGCACAGATCGCGGAAGTATGGGTATCGAACACAAGGACTGGCTATTGAGTACACTTTGAACTATGGATTTTGGATCAAGCTAAAACAAAAGTATGATTGAGGTTGTAATGGTGAACCGAACTAGCAAGTATAACGAGGTTGTAAATCAATAAAGGAAAAGCGCTAGGTCATAGGGGCTATCGCAGAGAAGCAAGCAATGATCAATGAAACAATGATAGATTAATTGATTAGGGATATTGGGATATTAAGAACCATCTAGAACACAGATCACGAATATAAAACCATTCCACTTTCGAGGCTCCGGCTCCTTTGCTAATCTACCTAGTCGCTAAACTTTTGGTATGTCCCTAGGTGATTAGATCAAGCATTAGAATGAATAGGTTCTGATACAGTTCACTAGATATAGATAGATCAACTTTCGCAGTCTAAGAAACCTAGCTTGTCAAAGAATATGTCCGGCGAATGATACAGCACTGTCGAGGCTCAAATCAACCTAAGATCGGATTACTAGATGCGCGGTAAAGCAATCAGCATTAGTTAAGTGCACAAGACGAGACAAAGACTCTAATATAATCCCTAGCTAATCATTGAAATCAAAGATCATGCAAGCAACTCATTGAATAGTAACCCTAGCAACCTAACTAGTGGATTACTCAGACATGATCAAAGCAAACACACATAGAGATGAAGAAAACATGATTGCAATAAAACTTAGAGTAGGAAATCGAAATACAAGGGCGGCTCTCTTTCTCAAGAGGCTAAAAATATATATATAGTGCTAGGTCTTTCTAGAGGCGGCTTAGGGTTAAGCCGGGCTTGAAAACATAAGTTTGGGCTTCAAAACGGGCTTCGGGTCGACCGCGGCGTTGGGACGGTCGTCGGGACGATCGGCCGGACAGTCGGGTCGTGGCGAGTCGGAACGGTCGGGGTCGGACGGATTCACGGTCGGCCGGCGTGGTCGAGCGGATGAGATTTGGCCGATGAAATTCTCGGCCGGACGTGGGACGTTCTTCCCGGCTCGGACGGATGCATCGGCCGTGGTACGCGAACGGTTGCGCGGCCGCGAGGCTTGTTCCCGGCTCGCGCGCTGGTCGTGCGCGGTGGCGTGGCGTTGGCTTGGCCGACCGCGGGACAATTGTTTCCCGGGTCGTGATGCGTGATCGGCCGGTGGTTTGGACTTTGGCCGAGACTTCAGTCGGACGGACGATTTGGCCGAGCGCGGAACATTCGTTCCTCGGCCAGCCGGACTGCGCGGTTGGGCGCTGTTCTCTCGATAGAGCCGTCTGGACAGTCTTCACTCTTTTGGTTGTAACTCCTTTTCTACTCATCCAAATGATAGCCATTCCAGTTGCGTTGGAAAGTTAACTCAATCAGAGCACGCAGGGAACTGGTCTTGATGAAATCCATTGAGTAGATCTTTTTCTGGGCCCTCTTAAAGTTGGTGCTTGTGCATGGAGCTGCTTGAAGTGCAAATCCTATGGTTTTGCTCCAAAATGCATCATTTCACCTGTTTAGACTCTAGACACTATAAACACAGTAAAACTACCTTTTTAGATAGAAAACCTGCCAAAAACCATTAGAAAACAATGCTAAAACAGTATAAAAAGTGGGTAAATTAGAGGTATATCAACTCCCCCAGACTTAGATCTTTGCTTGTCCCCAAGCAAAAAGAATCTAAATCCGTGAAAGAGGTTTGAAAACGTGGAAACTCCCTTGCTCTTTTGAATATCCTGTGAAAGGTTCCTTTCCTGTATTCCACTATGAACATAGACAACATAAGGTTAGCTTCACATACACCCTGCAAGTTTAGCGAACAATACCAACCCAACTAGTCTCATCCAGCAATCCAAACTCTCTATTGCTAACCTCTTGCATAAATTTAAAGCGTGAATTCTTTATCAAGGGGACATCGATCAATTGAACTTGTTCTTACCCACTTGATCTCTCCAAGATTGCCTCTTTAAGTGCAATGAGTTCTTTTCCTCTCTCTTTCTCACATCAGAACTTTGAAAGGTCAATTTCTCCCTACTTTTCTAGGGTATCATTTTATTTTTTCTATTGACCCTTCTTTCAACCACAGGATAAGTCTTTAGCTTGTTCCTTGTTTGACTAAGGTATTCCATAAGACATGAAGGTACAGACATATGCATTCCTCATGCTTACTTGTTGTCCTTGTGCTCTTTGAGCTTTTTCTCATAAATATACTTACCATTTGGGATGGGAGAGAGAGGAGAACTCTTTAAAGATTAGACAAATCTTATTGAAAATCAAGCAAGGAACTGTCGACATGTATGCCAACCCCCTTGACAAGAGTAATTAAGATTGATTAAGGTGAGGTTAACTCTAGATTGCTTGGTTACCTTAGAAATTTTGCTGAGCTAGCATGTCGATCCACTGTAAGAGCTTCTGTTAGGCTTGTGCCTTTAGCTGGTTTCTGCTCTAGGGTCATGGATTGTTAGCACAACACTCTCAATTCTCAAAGCAAGTTCATAACTTCCGGACTGGTTTTTGACTCAATAAAACTTTTTGAAAAACATGAAACAAAGTGAATAAAACATAAGAAAAGAAAGAAAAATGCATTAGTAACACAATAAAACTCCCCCCAGACTTAACTTGCACCGTCCCGGTGAAAGCAAATCACATTAAGGTGAGAGGTAATATTCAAAGTAAAAGAAAAATAAAGAAAAATTCATTAAAATAAGATAGGGATAGAAAATGGAGATTTGTAAGTGTCCATTGCACTAAGTACCACTTGAGATGACTATGTGTGGCAGTGAGAAGAACTCTCTTCCTCATCTATGGGGTCATCGCCTTCTGAACCAAGCTCTGAGTCTAGTGAGAACTCACCAAGGTCAGGCTCATATGGCTCTCTAGCGGTGGAAGAAGGGCGAAAGAGTCTCTCCGGTGCAATGTGGCGAACTACGCGGACTAGGCGTGAGATGAAGCGAGATTGGCACTCCACTATCTTCTCCAGCTTGTTAACACGGTCTAGAGCTTGATGCGCGCCATGCCAGTAGTGAGAACATGGCGTTCTTGGAGGCGGCGTTGAGTCTTGACTGCATGCTGAAGTGTGCGATAGGTGAGCATGGGGAATGATGGTTTCTCACTTGATGGAACATAGAAGTCTTCCTCATTGGGCTGGAAAGTGACAACTCCTGAGCGTAGGCTTGGGATGTCCTCATGTGGCAGCAAGACAAGGGAAGTGTTGGCTGGACCAATTGGAAACTCATAGCAAAACCGAGTTGGGTCTTTAGTCCAACGGTTTAGGAAGTGGATGTGCTGAAGAGCATGGAGATCCAAAGGGGTTGGCTTGGGTAGTGGCTCATAGTTGGGAATGTCAATCCCCACATGTTGTACTATGGCCGTGATAAGCCTCCCAAAACGAACACAAAGCTTCTTGTTGCCTTCCAAGTCTTTAGCTAGCTTCCTCACATTGATGAATGTCTTGGCAAGTAAAAGTCCTTGACTCATGCTTGATGAATGGTGTGGTGAGGATGTAGAACTCATCAGTTGTGACCTTGTTGGCTTCTTGTTTGCATTGGAAAGTGGTGGAGATGAGGCGGTGCACATAGCGAATGGCTGGATGAGTGATTCTAGACACCTTTGACCTTGAAGGCAAGAATGGTTCATTGGCAAAGTGTGTCCAATCAGCAAAGGCAGCTTGTTTCCTCTTTGAGTTCTCCTTGAAGTCATGTGCTGTCTCATTGGGAAGTCCAAAGAGTTGGCATAGAGCTGAGATGGAGATGCGCCCATTGGCATCGCCTATCTTGAAGAGTAGGAGTCCATCACCAGCTGGTTGGTCTCCATTGTGGTTGGGAAAGGCAAGAGCTACTGTAGAGAGGAACTCCTTGGTGAGTTGTGAGTACTCACTACATTCTAGCTTGAAGAGCTTGCTCAAGCCTAGCTTCCTTATGTACCATGTGACATCATCTCTTATCTTGAGAAGATCAAGGGTTTGGGTGTCCATCTTCACACATGGCTCGATGTTCACCTTCTCCATTGCCTTCTTACACTTTCTTGGGTCTTGATTTTGTTCTCCAACAAAGGTTACAAGTGCCCAATCATCTTCTCCTCTCTTGGACTCTCCACATGTTCTTGACTTGCATCAATGGAATGTGGTGAAGTTGGTATTGCTGCTCTTGCATTGGAGCTACTACTCCCTAGCTTGATTTGCTTCTTTGGTGGTTCCATGAATGGGTTCTTCTTCTTCATACTCTCATTTCCTTTTGTCTTTGCCATTGTGTACCTACAAGAGCAAATTCTTGGGAAGAAATATGAGTTTGTGATTAATGCAAAAGAAGAATAAGCTAATTGAGTTGCAATAATGATATGGAATAATGGAACAACTCAAGGCTTAATCATGAATCAAAGAGACAAAATAGAAATTTCACTTTTTCAAAATTAATTTTCGGATTTTACTGTTCATCCCAAGATTATGGTGCTTAAAATCAAAATTTTCAGCAAATCAAGAGAAATTGAGTTTCTAATCCAAGTAATCACTAGATAAACTAATGAATTGAAGTATGCCAAGCAATTTCACCTTTGAATAAGGGGTTTGGAATGCCCAATAAGTTTTGTGAAAAACTATTCAATTGTGAAATTAAACTTCAAATTAACTCTAAACCATCTAGGTTCCACCTAGCAAAGTTCATTACAAGACTATAAGGATGCTAATTTCAAGTCTAGACAAGAGTTTAGACCAAACATGAAACTTATTGAAGATTTTCGATCTTGCATAAACATAGGATTAGAGTTAGAAGACATACCTTGTGTGTTGAAAAGTGAATAAGGTTGCAAGAGCAAGTAATTCCAATTTAGAGTTATGAACAGTAAAAGTTTTGAAATCAAAACTCTTAGAGTTCCTCTAATGGAGTTTTAGGGTTTTGGAGAAGAAAGAGAGGTTCTTGTGTTTTCAAGGGAAAGGTGAAGTAAATAAGATCTAAATCCTATCAATTTTCCTTTTCAAATTCGAATTTTGATTGAAAACCGGTTTAAGTTGGTTTAGATTGGTTAAAACCGGTTTGAATTAATGAAAAGGGGACTTACCTTGGCCTAGAAAAGTTTTGGGCCGATGGCCGATGGATTTTGTCGCGGTCGAGCGATTTGGTCGGCCAAATTCGTTTGGTCGAGAGAATCGGCCGAGGCCGAGCGTATGTTTCCCGGATCGACCGGCACGGTCGGTCCGTTCCGATACAAAATCGGCCGATCGCGGCTTCTTTCCCGGTTCGCGCGTGGCGCTCGAACGTTTTCTGTCGCGCAAGAGTGAATCCGGCCGAGCACGGCTATTCCTTCCCGGCTCGACCGTACGGTCGGCCAGAATGAGAATTGCTCGGCCAAAATCACTTTGCGCGTCCGCGGCCAATGTTTTGGCGCGGATTGTGTTTTCACACCTTTTTCTCCTTCTATCCTATCTTAAAACAAAGAAAACACAAAAGCAAAACAAAAACTAAGAAATTAAAGAAAGAAAAGTAAAAGTACCTCATGGGTTGCCTCCCATGCAGCGCTTGTTTTAAGTCTTTAGCTTGACTGTAAGGCTTGGCGCTCAGGAGAAGATAGAGACAAGAGGCATCTTGATCCTCCAAGTCTTTTCTCCTTGCAATGAGTATCTGGTGGGTGATTCACAGCTGGATAGACAATCTCTCCATGAATGTCCCTTGGCACTACTGCCTTAGGAAAAAGCTTTAGAGTTCTTGTCACTCTCTCCTTGAATCCTTCTAGATTCTCATCAATAAGCTCCTTTGGGAATAGAAGCTTCATGTTGCGGCCAGACCTAGGCTTTCTAACCTTCCTTCTTGGCTTGGCCTCATCTTCAATCTTGGTTGATCCCTTGGGCGGTTTTGGTGTAGGGGCCTTAGTCTTACTCCTTGCTTGTTTGGCAAGCTGCTTGGGCTTAGGAATGGGATCTTCCTTGATTGTTTCTTCAGTTTCTCCTTCTTGGGGTGGCTTCAAAGTAGCTTTCTCCTCTTGGACCATGTCAACAAAAGAGTTCTTTGTTGAACACATAGGGAAGAACATACCCTTGTTCACCTTGTTGAAAGAGATTCTTTGATTGGGGAAATCAAATATGGCACCCACAGTAGACAGGAAAGGGGTTCCAAATATGAGAGGTCTATGGCTACTCTCTCTCATTTCCACAATCTGGAAATCAGTAGGGATAGAGCAATTTCCAATCTGCACCATCACATTAGGCACAAAGCCATAGGGTGTTTGTGAGAATGAATCAGCATAGTTGATGGAGATGGATGATGGCTCTATCTTGGTGAGGCCTATCTTGTCAGCTATCCTCTTAGACATGATGTTCACATTGGCTCCTGTGTCACACAAAGATTGCTCAAGAATGTTACCTTTGATGATACAAGGCACAACAAACTTTCCTGAGTTATCTGTCTA